ATGGTAGACTTTGATGTGGAGTGATACCATGGTGGTGTTGGACCTGATGTATTTGAATGGGGTGGAGGAGCTTTCATGAATGTGGTTGTCGACGCGGTGGAAGAGGTGGTCAAAAGTTTGAGGGTTTGATTAAAATGTTCACAGATTTTTTTTTTTTGCCTTAACAGTGCAGAAGAATATGAATAATAATTTTATAAGTGTGGCACATGAAACACACACACACACATACATATATATATATATATATATATATATATATATATATATATATATATATATATATATATATATATATATATATATATATATATATAATGGTTGAGAAAATGTTCAAGCATATACTGGGAAACTGACCTGAATGGTTGAACATGTTTATTTAAGCCTACAGACTTTGGTCACGTAGGTATACAGGGCATTTTAATTTGTTTCGGTGCAGAGTTTGCACAAATTTCAAATGTTTCCAGCTTCTGGCTGATGAAGATTATGTGGATATCATGTACTGTGTACAGATCGGATTTTACCATGAATAAAATATAAAACATCGATGCTTGCTTATCTAACCTTATTCAATGTTTTACATAATGGTCTTGCATTAAACTTCCCTTGCACAGTAAAACATTTAAAGAAAATTAAAACTATCAGAGATAAATTTTGATTACATGAAATGGATGTAAGATTCTGCCTAGCTGTAACGAGGCCCACTGAGCAGCTGTGACCACTGAGCACTCCTCTAACACTCGACACACTCGGCGAAAAGAGCGGCCCTGCCAGGGGATGAGGCGCCCCAGGAGCCCTCCCAGGGGCAGCGGCGCCTCCAAGGGCCCTCCCATGGGTGCTGCTGGGGGCACTTGTTTTTGCACTCCTTAGAACTCTGAGCGATATGACATTAAATAAATACACCGCCCACCCCATTCCCAGTATCATCACACACTAAACAATGAAAGGGAGAACAAATATCCAACAGCAAAACATAAGTTGGGGTGTTGTGCTGACTAACTGTTCTGTTCTCCTATTGGCTGTAATTTGGTGGATTTACATTTTAGTCCACTAATCACAGTTAACTAAGGGATTACTGGTCGTTTGTAATACGTACGACACTACGATCAAGCCCCTGGGCGCGCCGCCGCCCCTGGGGGCGACGCTGCCTCTGGGAGGGCCCCTGGGAACGCCAGCGTCCCCGAAAGGTTCCCTGGGGGCACCGCTGGCCCTGACAGGGCCCCTGGGGGCACCACCGCCCTTGGCAGGGCCCCTGGAGGGTATCTAATATTCATGTAATCCACTAAAACTAATAAATACAAATGTACTACAACTTCGTGAACTTTTTGGAACATATATATATAAACACTGTATTTTTAACCCACACTAAACCTGACCTAACGTAACCTAATTCTTAACTAACTTCACTGTAAAATATATATATATATTTTTTAACCTAACTATTGTTAAAGTGACCTAACTCAATATAATGAAAGTTATTTTGAGTTAATACAATACAAGCAACGGGAACCTAACCTTACTTAACCAAACCTAATGTAATTCTTAACTAAATTCAAGGAAACTAAAAATAAATTCAACAATTATCACCTGATCCTTGCTAAACTAACCAAACTAATAAAAGTTATTTGGAGTTAATACACGCAGTTTGATCAGAATCAACTTACCCTAACAAGCTTGATACAGGGAGGGGGCAACAGCGTCATGTAAAGCACTTGCATTTAACACCAGTACAGTAGTTAAATATTATGATATGAGTGATATGAACAGTGTGGGTTGTGCTGGATGAGCGATGGTTGGTGATGCGACTGTGCCTTGGCTTTACACCATTATATCCTAAATTACCCTTATAATAATCTCGACTTGTGTCAACTTGGTGCAGATTTAACTTCAATAACATCCAACTCAAATATGACAGCTACATGTAAAGTATCACACAACATGCATGTAAATTTTTCCACAGCACCGATAGTTTCATCTGACGTTGCCTCACAGTTAACGATATCAATACTGTACTGGACACTATCAACAATATCAACTAACAGGATGATTTTATCAGAATAACATTTACATTTCCAATTGTTTAATCTTTGACCTTTACGTGTGACTTTCACTTCAACATAATTAATAAAGTGTGCGGTTTCAATCATATGTTAAATGAAAAATAGGTGTTTTAATTAATATAGAATTGGAAACGACAAGTACAGTTTGGATACTTGCAATATGACCCTGACGTCATTACAAAAAAACAATAATTGTTTTATAGTGTCAAATACATATTTCAAATATGATGCATGTTACAAAGAATACCATAATATTTCCATAAGATCATTAATTTTAAAATAAGCTACTACTACGCTACGCTATCACTACATTACTACACTATCCTCACCCCTTTCCTTATTTAAGGCGTTTGTTGTAAGGCGTTTTAAGATGCACGGAATAACTAACGCGTTAGCTTTGTCGGACTGTCATTAAAAAATACGACATTGTAGTTTGTACCGCATCTTGGGAATAACTGTTGTACTACAACACAGTCTTCAGAAAACAGTAACATTAGGAGAACTGTTATTTGGACACAATACGTAAAGAAATGGTGAAGAAAATATATAAAAAATTATGGAAAGAAAGACAGAATAGGAAAAAAGTCAATCAGTCAACAATAAATAAGAATAACACAAAAAATCGGGCCCATTGTAAAGGACTCGGAAGGCACAAGAATCAACCGGAGAGCAGCTCTGCTCTATGCTTCTTCTCTCGCAGCTGTCCGCATATTTGAGCACGAAATACGCCGAATATCAGGTTCGTTTAAGTCATAAATTTTGCACTTACAGAAATGTAATCAACTTGTCCACCCTTATTTAAAGTATCTTATGAGTAATGATATTAAAGTTTTAATCATATTTGAGTAATTATCAATACTGTTACACCAAAGTCACCAACGGCTTATGAAATCTGACAGAACCCACGTAAAGAGGGCGGATCCTATTCAGGTTTCAACTAGGCACACTCTTTTTCAATTCTTTCATGCCTTACGCTTTGTTTTAGGTCCTATCTAATATACTACTGTATATTAGACCGTATATACTACCGTCTAGACTCGCGGGGGGTCGGCCACCAGCGTCGCTTACTTCCGGTGAACGTGTATATAAGCTCACAGCCTCGCCGTGAAAGGCATTCTCTCCGTGCTGTTAACCTCCTCTCTATTCCCACTTCTGAACTTTACCTTGTGCTGTCCCCTTCTTGCACCCTCAGAGTTAATGCTCTCTTCTCTCCGTATCACCGACCGAAAGGCATTCTACCAAGAGCTCTGCAACACACAACACCTCCTCTAAAGAAGCTCCTGCACAGCGCCTCCTCCACCACGCAGCTCCTGCACAACACCAGACTGTTTTGTCTAAAATATATTTATATAAGAAAACGCCATAGCTGAGTTTCCCTTCTCACCTCCATCCTACGTGCGATACAACATCACGAAACCCCACAATATACTATTACATGTTAAATCAAAAATGTTCTTGAAACTAACCATTTTTCTCCCTATTCGTGTTTATATATATTGTGGGGTACGGGATGTTTGGGGTTCACACTCAGGATGGGATGGAGAAAGGAAACTCACAATGTGCTCTCTGTATACATGTTGTATTGAATGTACAATGCAGCTTGGTGCTGGGAAGGCAGCATGGTTACACGCGTTGAGTAGAGAGAGCTGGTTGGTGTGGGTGCTCAGAGGAGGACCAGCTTGTGGGTCGCCATGCTCGCCGGCGGGAGCGAGGGCCGCCAGGCAGCAGCGGAGGAGGAGGAGGTGTTGCTTGCTGGTTGGTGTAGATAGAAAAGACAGAGGTTACCACGAGGTCAGGTCTTAAATAGCGGAGGTAGGCGTGGCTTAGTAGTTGACCTCCGTCATGTAAGGCGGCGCTGGTTGACCTAGACCACGAGGCATACACTGGGGAATTCGCGGTGTCAGCTACTCAGCGAGAAACAGCGTTTGTAGGGGAGGGATCCACTACAATATCATATCTACAGTAAACCGAAAGGCTTGTTCAGGTCTAGTGAGGGTGAAGGACCTATCATCAAGAACCTTAGTGAATAATAATAAAAAAAACGTTAATGACGCCAATGCTGTAGATCACTGCCACTAATTGTGGAGGTGTAACCAGGTGAGGGAGGTGACGGAGGTCACCAGGTAAGTTGTAATACAGTATTCTTACCTGTTACCTCCGTCTCCCCAACGTGAGCCATCGCCTGGATCACCCTCACTGTTCCGCGTAGATTCAGTTTTATTATGTTATAAATTATAATTAATTGTTTTAAGGCGAGTTTGAGTTATTGATATTCTGGCAAAGGGGACTGTTAAGTAATAAGTATGTCATATTTTACTATTTTTTAGCAAAATTATGAAACTGAAAAAAAAACGTTTCGCGTTACGTAAGTGGTTCACAAACCATAACTCGTTACCTTAATCAAGTTTGTTATACACTTAGTTATACGTATAATCATTTAATTATATACACTATTTTAGTTTTATATGATACGAAATCAATAACCCAATAAGCTTAAGGAAATAAATGAAATATTTAGCGAGTTATCGTGGAGGCCAGCTCTTGGGTGCCGGCCTGGCATGGAGGTTTATGGTATCCCGCAAAACTGCGGCGCTTCCCTTGTAGATTGGGATAGAACTCTTACATGTTTGGCTCAATTAAGTTCTCTTTTCAGGTTGATAGGGTAATAGTCTCGCCGTTACTCTAGACAGATACTAAAAAAACATTTGATTATATCTATATCAATCGAAAATTCATAGATTGTTCTGTGCGTTGGTGTCGCTCATGGCGGATGTGAACCACTACCACAGTAAACAATATTCTGCCTTCCTTTATAACCTGGTTTTAGATACTAATTTACTTCCATTCTGCAGTCACTGAGGCTTATCACCTCATTTAATATAATACTTGGATAATAACAAAGATGAAATAATGTTGAATATGGTTGTTTTGTGTTGTTATGGTGGTGTTGTAGTGGATGTGGTAGCCGAGGCCAGGGCCAGGTACGAGGTGGAGGCGCTTGTTGTTGTGGTGAAGGAACAACACACTGAGAGGCTCCCGAGGCAGATGACGGCGTGGTGAGCTCCTCTATAATTCCTCTCGTTTATATTTGTAAATGTATTATTCTTCCTGACAGTTATTCTACTCTATGCGGGGCTGAGGTTGGTTTAACGGTAACATGAAATACACACTAGGAGGAATGGTGTGATGAGGCGTGGTTTGTGGCGGGAGGATATGGCCCGCCTAGTGCGTGTGTATATGGAAGGGTTGTGTGGTGGCAAATTATTCATTACTGTTGATTAAATGACGATACGTTGGGGTTCATTAACTATGATGATGTAACTTTGGCAGGTTAAGACACTATACCTGGAATTCATCTTGCAACTTCATATACTGTGAGGCACCAAGTGTTAGTATACATAGTTTATCTCTGTAGTGCTGAAGGATATCCTGACTACATGGAAAATCATCAAAAAGTTTCCCTAACACATGTGGTCAAGGTTTATAGGTAATTTATTTTAGTAATCCCCACCTTAATTTATTTACAACTAAAATTTTATCTTGCAATTGCATTTTTAGTTTAAAATTAATGGTACAAGTCTAGAGTGTCCATGTAGAGTTAATAAATGATGTATAAACTGTAAGATTTGCCTTAAATTATTTGTTATAGTGCATAGAACATGAAACTGGCGAGGACCAAGGTAAATACTACACTGAATTACCCCTGGAAATATCAAGACTAGGTTGTGGCCTCTATTACTTCGGCTCTCCAGTATTACATGACAAACCATCGTTCATGTATTTGATTTCAGCAGGGTTGAACTTTTTAATAATTTTGTCAAATTTGGCAGCACTTGTAGCTATTTTACAAAGAGTAGACAGTTCAGTGATGGTTTGTGTAAAGTTCAATAAAATTCTAAGAGTGTAATGTGTAACAGCACCTTTAGCATTATATAAATATTCACCCAAATGTATAACACCAAATTATTCACGAAGTTATTCAACAATGACTCGGTAGTTATTCACATTGTGCACGCTGAGCTTGTAACACACTCAGGAGTCGGGCGAGGTCAAACTTACTACGTAAGCAACACATCCCTCCTGACGGCTTCCTCTCTCACGCTCAGAGCCAGAGAAGAGGCCAAATTCTTACCACTCACTAAGGGGTGAACACCTCACTTAAGTGTTCCTATAAAAGTGTACTCAAAACACTTCCCCTGGAGAGAATTCACAATGCATTCTCTCCCAAACTAAGTACATGTAGCTGTGTATATAGACGCTTCAACAATAAAGAAAGTCCAGAACAAGTGTTTACATCAACCATGCGACTTAAGAGTTCTAGAACTAAGTTAAAACAATTGTGTGTGATACGTATAAAAAACCGCAATCACAAATGCTCTGGGTCTTATTGTTGTCTTCCAGGTAAATTGTAAGGTTAGTACTGTACCGGAAAGGATTATTGCTGAGTACAGGCAAACCCCGTTATTCATAGCTTCAGTATTTGTAACCCGTTTATCCACAATCAATTTATTGTTACCCATTTCCACTATTTTGCAATGGTTGCCCCGTTTATTCGCAAATTCTTACGAGCAAATATTTTGAACCGTGCGCCTCGACCGTAGCGTAGGACAGCGTGTGTACGTATTCCTTCGCCATACTCTCCCGCTCGCCACAGTCTCACACGTGCTGGTGTGTGTTTTGTGTGATCTCGCAATGCCTAAGCGACCAGCTACTAAAACTCCCAGCAATGTTGCTAAAAGATCACTTGTGGCAGTTACGTTGGACGTGAAATTGGATATCGTAAAAGGACATGAACATGGAGAAGGAATGTCAGTGATTGGGAGCATGCACGGCTTGGCTCCCTCTACGGTGCATTCTATAGTTAGAAGCACTGACAAAATCAAGGAGATGGCCGGGTCTGCAACACCACTGACGGCTACGGAGGTGAAGAGGTTCCTTGATGTCTACGTTTAAAACTTACCTCACACACCTACTCACATAAACATTCAAACACACACACTCAAACATGTAAAGTACCCCTGTATATTGTATTTGTAAACATATACGCCAAACAAATTCAAAGTGTTTGTTATTGATGTTTATCTAATATTATGCCCTTGTTTCTTTATTTATTTTATGTTCTAAATGTATTGAGTAAAACAAGTGTTAAAATGTGACGGCTGTGACCACCGTGATGCCCGTATCCCCCCCATTTACATTATTTCTTATGGGAGAAATTGCTCCGCTATTTGCAATTTCGATATTCACAACGAGTTTCATGCCCGTAACCTTTGCGATAAGTGAGGCAGCCCTGTAATCACATATTTGAGGAAATTTTTCACTCGAAGATGAATGTTTTCTTACCTCGTGAAAATGCCATAAAGTGACGTGGATTTGCAATTTGAATAATATTAGTTATACAGTATATGTGGTTTTTCCGTCCTGAACCCTAATGTAGGTCAACACACAACGGTGCTATATTTGCTGTTAACATGTGCTTAACACTTCATCCACAGGAATGCTTATAAACTTAACAGCTACTGCTACATATATATGATTTATTAGAATGATGAACCATCCTAACCCACCTCTCCTATGTTAGGTTTGTTAATTTTTTCTCTGATATATCATATAACGTAGAAATAACTGGTAAGTTGTTCCTTTGTAGAAGCTTTGGTGTGTATGAAACACTGTTCACGAAAAAATCACCGCAAAATATTAAAAAAGGTGTAAATCCTCATCATTTTATCACATTTCCATGAGGTGAGAAAAAGATCATCTACATAAAAAATTTCATTAAGTTCACTGCTAAGGTGTGATGTTTTCCTCCAGTATTACCATTATAAGTTTGTCTTACTCTGTAATTAGATTCTACACATCGCAACAACTGTTTTCGTAGAAAATTTTATGGAAACAAACCAAAATTAACCCTGTAGAGCCATTATAGACAAACCGTATATCTTGTCTACAACCTGTACTGAGCTACAGTACAATATACTGGTATAATGTAATCTAGTTCAGTACAAAAATGAGTTTTCCTAATTTTCCAAAATACGGTCAGTCCCTGACTTACGATGGGGTTAGGGACCGACGACCAGGTCGTAAGTTGGATTGGTCGTAAGTCGAAAATGCGAAAATAATATATAGAAAATCTAAAATGGGTGTCTCTTTTTCTTCTCAGCACCACGAGACTCACTTTTACGCATGCCAGCCATTTTATATGGAATTACAAACAAAAATTTGGTCAGTATCCCGTACACAGCGTGATCACTAACGTCGGGACTCAAAAATACATAATTTGAAAAAAAAAATTGTACGACTGCAGCGGTCGTATGTCCGGGTGGTCATTAGACACCGGAGTTGTGTCATTAGACACCGGAGTTGTGCCAGACTTGTGGAAACAGGCAAATGTAGTACCCATATTCAAAAAGGGAGACAGAGGATCAGCGTCAAATTACCGGCCGATCAGTTTGACGTCAGTAGTGGGGAAATTTCTTGAATCAATTATAGCAGATAGCATCCGATCGCATCTAGAGAAAAGCAAATTAATCTACGACTCGCAACATGGGTTTACAAAGGGAAAATCTCATCTAACAAATCTGCTGACGTTTTTTAGGAAAGTCTTCGAGGTAGTAGATAATGACGAAAATTACGATGTTATTTACTTAGACTTTAGCAAAGCATTTGACAGAGTACCGCATCAGAGGCTTCTGAGAAAAATTAAGGCTCATGGTATCGAGGGGAAAGTTTTAAATTGGATAAAATCATGGCTCACCGATATAACGCAGAGGGTCAGCGTAGATGGTGTTAAATCTGAGTGGGGCCGTGTAACCAGTGGGGTTCCCCAGGGGTCAGTACTAGGCCCACTCTTGTTCATAATCTACATAAACGATCTAGACACTGGGATCAGCAGTGACATAAGCAAGTTTGCGGATGACACCAAAATAGGGCGGCAGATTAATTCAGGGCAGGATGCAAATGCATTACAGGAGGATCTAAATAAACTGCAGGGGTGGTCTGAAAAATGGCAAATGAAATTCAACACCAGCAAGTGCAGCGTACTTAATATTGGAAGAACAAATACTTATAATGTATACAGCCTTAACAACATCAACCTAGAGAAGTCGACTTGTGAAAGAGACCTAGGGGTACTTGTAAGCATGGACCTACGGCCTAGAAAACAGTGCGTTAATGTTCGAAATAAGGCAAACAGAGTATTGGGTTTTATATCTAGAAGTGTAAGTAATAAGAGTGCAGAGGTCTTATTGCAACTATATCTTGCGCTAGTCAGGCCGCACCTCTATTATGCGGTTCAGTTCTGGTGCCCTTATTATAGAATGGATATCAATTCACTAGAGTCGGTGCAGTGAAGAATGACGAAAATGATTCCGGGACTTAGAAACCTTCCATATCAGGATAGGTTAAAGAAACTTAACTTGCATTCCCTAGAAAGACGAAGAGTGCGGGGAGATATGATAGAAGTATTTAAGTGGGTGAAAGGAATCAATAAAGGGGATATAGATAAAGTTCTTATAATATCCGAGTAGGATAGGACTCGGAGCAACGGATTTAAGTTGGATAAGTTTAGGTTTAGGAGGGAGATAGGAAGAAACTGGTTCACAAATAGGGTGGTGGACGAGTGGAACAAGCTTGCCAACTTTGTAGTAAGTGCTGGAACTCTGGAAAGTTTCAAAAGGAGGCTAGATAGATTCATGGATGATTGAGAGTGGTTGTAACTCTCGACAGGAGCTGCCATGCACAGGCCAACTGGCCTATTGCAGACTCCTTATTTTCTTATGTTCTTATGTTAAGTCGAGTAGGTCGTAAGTCGAGGAGTACCTGTATTGCAGGTGGTGGTGTCGGGAGGAGAAAAAGGACTAGTATGTATCAGGAGGTTATGAATTACAGTAAAAATATTAAAGATTCATGCCGGGCTGATCATTTGGAAAAATTTTGTCTCGTCACTTGCGATGGCAAAGAATTAAACAATTCTTAAGAAACTAAGCTTTGCCTCAAGCGAGATAGAATTTGACGAGAGCAATTTCTTAACCATCGTGAGAGACTGTGGCAAGATATGTCATAATAGTTAACCATAGTGTTTATTTTTGATGCTGCATCTCATAAAACAGGTAAAACAAACAAACCTCACCAATAGTCTGTTCACTCCATCCCTACAACTGAGGCCTCGGGTCTGTTTGTAGCAAAGCAGCTGATTGGCTGGTGGATGGACACCCGAATAGTCACTACAGTTCTTTCGTATTTAATCTATTGTATTTATATTCTGATATTTTAAGGCTAATAACTTTTGTGTTGATCTCTGATAACTTCTGCACTTGAAGAAGTAAAAATTAGCTTAAGAAACATTCTGGTAATAAAAATATTTACTATAAAGAGAACTCCAACATGATAAAGTTTAGTGACAAACTCCCTCTTGCCGTGTGACGTTGGTTGATGTTGATGAAATTTTGCAATATGTACAGTGTTTTTCTTGTTCTTTTTATTATATTTATGTTACCAATGCAAGTCACATACTAATTTTTGCTTCCCCAAATGCAGAAATTTCACACAAAGGTTTTGAATAATGTATGAATTGTAAATCTGCATACAAACCACTGTTGTTATGTGACTGAAGTTGGAACTTAGGCCTGCAGGCTGACACCATTGATGGTAGGAATGAATTAACCGTCTTAACCTAGTGTAATGATCTTATATTTATATTTACTGGTGGTGTCACTATTTTCATATACATGTAAATGATTTATACTCATCGCTGTCTTTGTGACTGCAGATCTGTCAACGTTACTGTGGTCTGTTGTATGTAGATTTCTTCCTTGTTAATATATACGTATTGTAGTATACTGTATTGACATTTTCTGTCGCCTTCACTGGATGTGAAACTTAAGCATTATTGTAAACTTTCCTGAAATGTTGGTACACTTGCTTGTACAATAAGATTTACAGAGTTTCTTATACCAGTTACGAATATTTTTTGATAGAATTACATTATTTTTTTTATTTAACAAGGAATTTGACTCTAGAAATATTAAATTCCAGCTGCTTTAGAATCATGTTATATTTCCTGACTAAGTGACTGTAAATACTACTGTTAGTTCATGTTGCATTCCTTTCTCATCACATGTTTAACCCTCTGAAGATGAAATGGTGAAATTGTCATCCTCAAAGAATTAAACCATTGCCTTAAAAGGGTTCAATCATCATCCTGGAAGTTAAACCATGGTTCTCAAAGATAAATCATCCCCCTCAAAGGGTTAAACCATCCTCCTCAAAAGGTTAAAACTCTAACCTTGTAGTCACTATATATAAGACAGATTGGTGTGCTTCTACTTATTTTAGTCCACTGCTATATACAGATGTGGGCAACAAAAAATTTGAAATAATGAAAACTTCCAATTAAACCTTTGCAACAGATGGAGGAAGAAGGATCGGTGCAGCCCATCCAGCAAGATGAATCTCTCGACGACGAGGATTTTGCCAAGACAATGGAGGTCGAAGAGGAAGACGGAGACAACTGTGAGGGGAACGACGCCATAGAGGAAGTAGACTCTGATGACCCTGGCTCAAATGATGGTCACTCTGATGGTGAAGGGGGTCAGGAGGGCCAGGAGGGGGCTCCTGCCGAGGTCGCTTCACAGGATAAGGTGAAAGACAATGCAGACAATGGTGCGGAAGAACCAGCAGACAACGCCAAGAGTGATGAGAAAGATAAAGAAGTGGAGAAGGGAGACGCCAAAAAATCCATTGAGAAAGATGTGGGAATCACGCAATACGCTGGAGACCACAAAGGCTTCTTTGGCATCATTAAACAGAAGTAAGTCATTGTTTGTGAAAAACGTTAATATCTAAATGTAAAATTTATGAATATACTGCAGATAATATTGATAGCTAATTATTAACTCCTTTTGTATGGGGTCCCCTCTGGGCTGAATACAATTGTCTGACATCAGCCAAATATAATATTAAAATTGGTGATCCCATAAAGGGGTTAGCAATCATTCCCGTCACTATACTGTATATTAAATATTACCTGTGCTATTCAGGTCACTGAAGGTTCACCCCTCCAGCTTACTCCACCTGAAGAATAACCACCCTGACACTAACCTGGGAGGTTAGTGTCAGGGTGCTTTGTCTTCAGGTGATCAAAACTGTCATACATTACATTATAGAAAAAAAGTTCAACTTCAAGTAATGCCAAAGTTGCACACCTTTCCTGTTCAATCACCAATCACAGGAGACACCAACACCTTTATTGTGTTCAAGTGACAGAGTGGCTTATGTCTGCCGTAAGAAAGATTTAATGACTTTATCTGTGACAGGTATTCTGACTTTTTGGTCAATGAAGTGAACAGTGCAGGGGAGATTGTGTGCATCACAGAGCAGATGGTCCCTCATGAACCAGAGGAAATCCCAGGTGAGTACAGTACATTGTTCTTGGTAGTGTATAAAAGGGTTGTTCCGGTATTTTAATCTTCATCATTCCTGTTTTATTTTTTATTTTTATATGTTCTCCTTTCACCCTCATTTGTACAGTAGGCCGGGGGTGGGGGGGGGGTGTTACATTTTCACTTGTGTACAAAGAATTTATATTCCCTTTATGTGTTTGCCTTTAGGACAATTATTTATTTTGCCTGTATTGTATATGTATGTAAGTGTGTGTGTGTGTGTAGACACACATAACACATACGAATAAATAATAATGGGAAAATCCTCTCACCTAATCTGAAACAAATTTATTAAAAATGTGAGTCTACCCTCAAGTTTGTGCTTTGTTAATAAAGTAATAAAGCATGGACTTGAGGGTAGACTCACATTTTTAATAAATTTGCTTCTGGTTATTTGTGAGAGTATTTTCCCATTATTATTTATTCGTAAGTGGTGTGTGTGTGTGTGTGTGTGTAAGTAAACACACACACACATGTATAATACAGGTAAAGGAAATTACTGTCTCAAGAACGAATGGCTCCCTGTCCCAGCCGCAAAAATGTCGACAACTTTAAAACTACCCGCAGACATTCTTGGGTACATCCAGGGTGTCATCCTCGAATAATAGAGGACTGAAATAAAAATTGCGAATTATCCGGGTGTACTGTACTTCGTGTAAGCAGTGTTTATATGTTGACTTAAAAACTTAACCGAGATTTGGAATTGGCAGAGTTGTTAGATTTAAATCAAGTTGATGTAAATCAAAGGAATTTCAATTACAGTAGTACCCCGATTTACGCGGTCAATTGAACCCACAGGGTACCGCGTAAAGTGAACAACAGAACATATGGGATTAATTCCAATAGAGACTGGCCCGACCCCCAAACTCCACTTTTTGACGACACACAACTATGTTGTAGTAAAAATATTATCTTAACTTTATGATGGTATGCACACACAATTAATAATTAAGAGAAATATCAATAATATTAGTTTTTTTAACACTTACATTAGTAGAAAAGATGGCTGGGCACACAGGGATGGGGGGTTGGTGCCGAGGCAGAGGGCAGATTATTGGCCCTCACCTGTATCACTTGTATCAATTGTATCACTATCCACCACATAGGCTTGCAGGGCCTCTTTGTCAAACCCCTCAAAGTCCATATAAGTCCATATCCTCACTATCACTGACTTAGGCCGGCTGTGGTGGGTGGCGGGTGAAGAACTCGGTAATGTTTTGATGACTGGGCGACCTTGTGCGCATCCTGCCCGCGCCGCTTCCCACGTATATGAGTAGATGCACCGCGGAAAGTGAAAGTTCGGTTCTGGCGAGGCACCGCGTAAATGAGAAATCGCGGAAAGTGAAACCACGTAAAGCGGGGTAATACTGTAATTGATTTATAGAACAATTTGCTTTTTGTATGCTAAATGTAAAAGGAAGGAAGTAAAAATTATACAGTTAATTATATGCTGTATTATAAACTAATCAGCCAAGGAAACAAAGAATATTAAGGAGTGTTTTTAAGACAAATGAGAATATAAGTGGTGGAAAGAAACCAAGGATACAGCAGGAGCTGTTTAATGTTTCGACCGTTCAGGGTCTCATTCAGAGACTATTTACAAAAATGCAGCTCTGACCTTATGTACAACTCAGGTCATTCACCTTGCTGGATGCCTTAAAACTCTGCCTTCTGGTTGGTCGTTTTGCCTTGCTGAATCTGCCCCCTTCATTGACAATACCACTAATTTACATGTAGCATTGGCTAGACACACAAATACATCACTGTGGTTGATAGTGTTGCTAGTACAGTACCTATATAAGCAGCCTCCATCATTTTTCTTATATTTTTCTTACATCCTTTATGAATTATTTGTACTGTATACCTTGCCAGTTTGGTAAGTGACCAAATTCACCAATGTGGACAACTAATGAGTTGGACTGCCTATGTGCTCGTACATCATTCTTATGCTCAACTACATGCCTCTCCAGCTCGTGTCCACTTTCACCAATGTAGGAAGCTGATCAGTATATTACATTAAGCGTGTTTACATCTCTTATCACCCATTTGTTTATCTTTATTTTTTAAATTTCACCAATTTTTTGTGTGAGAAGCTTTTAATGTAAACACTCTGGCCTCTGTCAGAAACTTAGATAAGTTCTGAATTAATTAAGCATCTTCGTAACCATGACCATCAAAGTCGTTATAAAATAAATGCAAGTTTTGCTGTTTTTTCTGTACCAAGGCAGTTCCTTAGTTTGGAATGAACAAGTCCGTAGGAGAAGACTGAGAACAGTTGTCAAGTCTATAAAGGAAAAAATTTTATGTAAATTTTTACAAATTTAATTTAAGTAAAAAGAAATCTGGTTTAAATCAAAATCAGTTTTTTCATTTGTTTAAAAAAATCAACAACTTTGAGAAATGAACAGCAGAAGTTTCCATTATTGCTGCTCACTCTTAAACCACAGCATTGTGAAACTTAATAGGAACCAGAGTCATTGTTAAGACTGACTGACTCTCACTCTCTTTGTGAGAGACATAGCAATATGGTTTTGATTGGCAGATATTTAAGCTTACAGCTTAATAAAAAAGATTGAAACACAACCATTATTGATGTACTGTACTACCCTGCATGTATTTTTTTAAGCTGAACCCCTGGAGCTGCCACCTGAACTTACACCAGAGAAGATCAGTGAGTTGAACAGATTGGTGGGGATCAAGGAGCCAGTGAGACTCCCCCTGGTTCCTCCTCCTAAGAAAGACACTCAGGTAGAGGACAGCACAACTCTCTCTGAGAAGGGTGAGAAAAAGGAGGAAGAGAAACCTGAAGGTGAGAAGGAGGAGAAGCCTGAAGGTGAGGAGGAGGAGGAGAAGCCTGAAGGTGAGAAGGAGAAGGAGGAGAAGCCTGAAGGTGAGAAGGAGGAGGAGAAGCCTGAAGGTGAGAAGGAGGAGGAGGAAGAGTGTGAGGTCAAGAAGGAAGAAGGGGAGGAAGCGTCTGAACAAAAGGAGCAAGAGGAAATGGAAGATAAAGAAAAGAAAGAAGTCTTTAATAAAGATGTTAAAAAGGAAAATGATGACATTGAGGAGATGGAAGAGGATGATGATGATGAGGATGATGATGGTGATGATGAAGGAAAAGAAAGCGAACAAACTATTGTGAAGGAGGAGGATGAACAGGAGGAAGAGGAGGCACCTGAAACTACAGAGGAAGCTGTAGAAACTAAGGAAGAGGAAAAGGAAGTGAAGAAAATGAAGAAAGAAGAAGAGTCAAACAATGGGGATCAGACAGGAGTAAACAGAAGGAACACTCGGACTTTTAATAAGAGATCGGGTAAATACAGTACTGTACATGTATTTAGTGGATATACTCATGAACCTTATTGCACCATCCAATACCAGTAATCAAATGTAACCTGATCTGAATTACCCTTACATGTATCATTATAAGTGCTGCATATATATATATATATATATATATATATATATATATATATATATATATAATATATATATATATATATATATATATATATATATATATATATATATATATATATATATATATATATATATATATATATATATATATATATATATATAGTATATTTTTATTTTTTATTTATTTATTTTTTTTTTGATAAACCTTAAACAGTAATCAGTATTCTCTCACATTTTTTAAAAGATCCTGATGCTCCGAAGGAGGTAATGATCGACGTAAACAACACAGATAAGGAGGGACGGACGGCCATTCATCGTGCAGTCAAGGCCAAGTTCCGTGTGGTCGACAGCATATTCAAAGAGATGAAGGATGGTGGCCGGTACATTGTTGTCAGAAAGAAAAAGGGTGAGTCATCGTCACAAAGATCCACGGCCGCATGATAACGCATCTACTGGGATCACCTGAAGATCCTCCAACCTAGTGTATATATTTCCCTTAAAGATTAAAATATATCCTAACACTGTTTGAGGGGAATGAGGTTACGTTAGCATTAGGGCAGTTAGGCTTGGTTAGGTTAGGTTAGCATTAGGGCAGTTAGGTTAACATTAGGGTGGTTAATCTTGAGGAGAAAGAAGCTGGGGTGGAGGTTAACTGTTTAGCATTTTCATCTGTTTTAACAAATGATGATTGTCTCAGCTTTTTAGAAGGAGTGTTAGCTACAGTAAGTAAGAGTTTTTAGAGGTTAATTTTATACTATTCCTGGAGAATGTGACACTTTTAGGGGATAATGTTACTGTATATTCTTGTGTGAGATGAGACACTGTTTTAGGGGATAATGTTACTGTATATTCTTGCGTGGGATGAGACACTGTTTTAGGGGATAATGTTACTGTATATTCTTGTGTGGGATGAGACACTGTTTTAGGGGATAATGTTACTGTATATTCTTGTGTGGGAAGAGACACTGTTTTAGGGGATAATGTTACTGTATATTCTTGTGTGGGATGAGACACTGTTTTAGGGGATAATGTTACTGTATATTCTTGTGTGGGATGAGACACTGTTTTAGGGGATAATGTTACTGTATATTCTTGTGTGGGATGAGACACTGTTTTAGGGGATAATGTTACTGTATATTCTTGTGTGGGATGAGACACTGTTTTAGGGGATAATGTTACTGTATATTCTTGCGTGGGATGAGACATTGAAGATAGTGGAGATAAGTTACATGACTATACCTTGAGAGAGTTGAAGTGAAGTGAAGGATGATATTGATGTGATGTTGTTTCCCTCGTCTCAGCTGGAAGTGTACGGCGTGAGAGGACCACGTGGCCCAAGTCTCAGATGTACACCACGTTTGTCCTGTACAAAGAAAACATTGACACAATGGAAGCTATCAACCACATCGCCTGGAAGACTAGGTCGGTTAATATGAATTTTTACTCACACTGACCTGGTACATACTGTATGTTGTAAAGAATTTTTTCTCCAAGTAAAACATCATCTTTACAACTTTTGTATAAATAATTGTCTTGTTTATTTTATGGGAAGTACTGTACAGTACTGTATTTTGTATGCTGACTGGGATAAGTTCCAGAGAGCAGAACTCAGTAGCAAACAGAGTGGTTATTGTAGTTTTTCTGAATGTTAAAAACATGTAAAGTATGTATAGTTATTTTAGCATAATAAAGAGCTTCCTGGTTTCATAATATGTCTGGATTGTCCCCAGAAACTGAATTTTAAAACATAATATACTTGAAGTATTTTTGTATTTTAATCATTTGACATTTTCTCCTCTCTAGAGTAAAACCCAACAACTTCTCTTATGCTGGAACTAAAGATAAACGTGCCAAGTCCAGTCAGCTAGTGTCCGTGAGCCGAGTAAGTATAATGATGTGTCGGGTTTTATAGCGTGTGCATGTAAGTAAACTTGTCTCAATTGTTTTCTAGATTCAGCTAAAACTGAATTAAAAGAATAAATTGATAGAGCATTAGGTAGTCAAATTAATGCAGGAATGTAGTTGTTGGGTATGTCACAAGTTCTTATTACACTGTTGAGTTTTGTTAACCTATAACTGTTGAATTATTAGTATTAATATTACAGTACAGTATTGCTCTCTCTCTCTCTCTCTCTCTCTCTCTCTCTCTCTCTCTTTTTTTTTTTTCCAGGTTGCTCCCCATAAGCTGTGGCATGCGACTAAAAATCACAGAGGAATCCAACTTGGCAACTTCCGCTTCAGACCCACGCCTCAAAAACTGGGTCAGCTCCGTGGAAATCACTTCCGAGTCATATTAAGGTTCGTCTGTCTGGTTGTCCGTGTGTAGGTGGTCCTGTCTCTTTACTGTATTCTGTGTAGTTAAAGTATAGAGTGTAGATAGGGCATAGCTCCTTCACCACAGTACAATACATGTATGACCAATCCACCATATTAGTACACTGAGTAATTTCACATTATTTGGAGGGAGGGAGGGAGTGTAAGCTGCATCTGTCTCATAATTAAGCTAAAAAAAAATCGATATATGGTGTGGAAAGAAAATTGCAGACTTTTCATTGTCATCTGCGTAATTCTTTTTGTCTACAACTGTACCTATCCATCCATCCATCCAAATGTCCTCCTGTGCCAACAAATTTTGTTAGGATTAAACAAAACATATTATCGTTAAGGCATTAAATCTTTGTGAATTTATATACAATACATCACTAATTAGATATTCAAACTATACAGTACAATACTCTGTTTTCTTTTTCTTGTAGCAAAGGTGACTTATGTGTGTGTGTGTTTGTTTTACTGTACTAGTGTTTTATTTTTACATGTTTAAAAGTTAACAAAGGTGCTTTCACTAACAGAGAGGTGAAGGGAGAGGATGAAGTCATAAATTCAGCCATCGAGTCCTTAAAGTCCACAGGTTTTATTAATTACTACGGAACACAGCGCTTCGGCACCTCAAACATCCACACCCATGTTATTGGTCGGGAGCTTCTGAAGAGTAACTGGCAACAGGTGAGTGAAGTGCTTTTACTTCATGTTGTGTTCTCATTATTTCACTTGATGAAACACACTAATGTTAACCCCATCACTAAGGGGATGCCACTTTTAGTATTTTATTTGGCTAATGCCTGACAATTTTATTTAGAGAAAACCCCATACACAAGTGGTTAACCTAGCCTTAATTTTTTAATGCATTGTTTAGGGTTGGCAAAAACTTTTTTTTTTTTTTTTTTTTTTTACAAAAACCATGCAATAAATCATAAACATTACATTCAGGATAATTTACCAATCGTTTATACTCCTTTTCCATCTCTAAAAATCACTGAATAGGACGAATTTGATAGGCACAATCTTTGATTAGTCATCCAAACGTATCCTACATGCTTAAAGAGAGAGAGAGATGGGCAGTGTCAACTTGGCTCCCCAGGACCCATATAATACATGATCTAAACACATTAGAATCAGAAACTCGGAGCCCAACCATAAACAGAAATAGTCATCAGTTATACTGGACAGTGGCAACTTGGCTCCCTTATAATCAGGATTTGAGATGTGTACAGCCCTGTAAGAAAGCTTATTATCACCACTTTCACCAGCGTATAGTACAGTGGGGTATGCTATAACGAACGGATCCTACTACGAATATTCCTATAACGAACGGTTTTACCTATAAAATTGAGAATGCTATAACGAACGAAACTCCTACAACGAACATAATTTAATTTTTTTTTTTTCTAATTTATTGTTTTATTATTGCAAATATTAATGATATTCTTTATTTCAGGGGTTAAGATGCATATTTATGCACGTTTTTACAATTTTTACAATTTTATATTATATTTTTCAGTGTTAAGTGGTTGTATTTGGGGGCCTGGAATGGATTAATCCTATAACAAACGAATGCTATAACGAACAAGGTTCTAGAACCAATTAGATTCGTTATAGCATACCCCACTGTATAATAGTTCACATCCATGTATATATTGAACAACCACGGCGGGGACATGATGCATCCCTGTCTAACACCCACATTTATTTCAAATGTTTCACATTTCTTCCCATTGACTGTTGCCCTGCTGTTCTTATAGAATGCTCTTACTGCATTTAATAGCCTTCCTTCCACCCCATATACTTGTAATGCCTCCCACAATGCTTTTCTGTTCACCTTACCATACACCTTTTTTAAAACTACTATACAGTGGTCCCTCGGTTAATGAACGCCTCGGTTAACGAAATTTCGGTTAATGAATTACCTTCCATAAGAATCTTCATTTCGGTTAACGAACAAAAATTTGGTTAATGAAATTCTTACGAAAATGTTTCGACATGCTTTGGCTTGCTCACCAGCTGGAAGATTAGTCCGCCAATACAAAAATCGGTTCTAGGGCTTACATTCGTTAAAATTGGAGTAAATATCAAGAAGGGTGTACTATTCAATAATTTTCCAAGTTTTATATTAAAATTTTTAGTCATTTTAACACTTATTTAACATAATTGCAGTACAGGGAACTAGTTTTTGGTGTGCCCATCAGCCACTTCACTCACCCACCAAGGCCTCAGTTTGTATCTCTGTTCAGTGGAGGACATCTTGCTTGTGGGTCTCTTGAACATAGAGTATTTTTACGTTTTTACAGTACAATTATTGGTCATTCTGAAATTTATTTGACATATTGACAATATATAGTGCAGTGCAGTGTTGATTTAAAGAAAATAATCTTGAATTACACCAAGTGAACTTAAAATTTTATGGGTGAAATGACAGCATCAAGCATGGGGTGATTTCTCTTCTACCCCCACTTCTAATTCCCATCATCATCATCATCAACCAGGAGCCTTCTACATACACACCTTAAAGTAAGTGTACTTTACTGCATTTTTTTTTTTTTTTTACTATTGTATGTAATTTTTGGTGAGCTGGAACCAATTACCCAAAATCCCATTGAAACAATGGTTTCGGTTAATGAACAACCTTCTGGAACGAATTGTGTTTGTTAACTGAGGGACCACTGTATATCATTAAAACCATCTGTAAGTAATAAAAACCAGTCTAGATGCCTGATAAAAGCTTGTGTTTTTCAAATTCATCCTCTTTCACAGTGATTTTTTTAAGATAGAAAAGAGTATAAATAATTGATAAGTCATTCTGAATATTATGTTTATGATTTATAGCACATTAAAAGTTATAAAAAGGGCTACAAATACTTTAAGCTTATTAAAACCAATCATAATAGCATTTTTCATTGCTCATTATTTATTGGCACATTCCTTTGCTCAACAGGCTGTAAACCTCATTCTTGCTCCACGTGAGAATGACATTCCAGAAGTCAACCGCTGCCGTACCACCTGGAAGGAGACTGGAGATGCGGAAGCCGCCCTCAAGTCTCTGCCCAAACGCTGGGAATCATCCATCGAAGCTCAGCTCCTGACTGGTCTTGTTCAGCTGCAGAGGAATGACCTTGTAGGAGCTCTTGATCGGGTGAGACAACTGTAATGTGTTTACCTTCACACTTCAACCTCTTCACTATGGGGACGCCAATTTTAATATTTTATTTGGATAACGCCAGAAGATTTTGCTCAGCAGAGGGAGGACCCAACACATCTGCCTCCCCCCCCCCCCTTGAATATTTTTATCACTTTTTTTTTCACAGTTGGACAACTCATCAAAGAAGAATTTTATTTCTTGTTCTTTGTCATTATCATCTCGTTTCACTTTCACTGATGTTTGGAATCAACAGCACATAAGGTTTATTTCTCTTGTTCAATTTGAGCAGGGTTGGCTGATTTAAACCATTTTTTTTAATCTATGCATTTTTTATTGGTTTTAATAAGTTTTTTATTGGTTTTAATAAGTTTTTTATTGTTTTTTATTACTTACAGATGGTTTTAATGATATATAATAGTTTAAAAAAAGGTGTATGGTAAGGTGAACAGAAAAGCATTGTGGGAGGCATTACAAGTGTATAGGGTGGAAGGAAGGCTATTAAATGCAGTAAGGGCATTCTATAAGAACAGCAGGGCAACAGTAAATGGGAAGAAATGTGAAACATTTGAAATAAATGTGGGTGTTAGACAGGGATGCATCATGTCCCCACCGTGGTTGTTCAATATATACATGGATGTGAACTATTATACTATACGCTGGTGAAAGTGGTGATAATAAGCTTTCTTACAAGGCTGTACACATCTCAAATCCTGATTATAAGGGAGCCAAGTTGCCACTGTCCAGTATAACTGATGACTATTTCTGTTTATGGTTGGGCTCCGAGTTTCTGATTCTAATGTGTTTAGATCATGTATTATATGGGTCCTGGGGAGCCCATCTCTCTCTCTCTCCAACTGTACTTTAATGAATTCTTAAAAATTTCAACTGTAAAAGTAGAATAGTTTTTCCGTGCATTAAGATGAAAAACTTAGTTTTTATCTTTTAAACATGTAGGATGAGTCTAGATGACTAATCAAAGCTTGTTTATCAGATTCGTCCTATTCACAGTGATTTTTTTTTTAATGGAAAAGAAGTAAAATTTATTGGTAAATTATCCTGAATGTAATGTTTATGATTAATGGCGCATTAAAAATTTTAAAAAGGGTTACAAATACTTAAAACTTAAAAAAAAATATAGGATTATAACCAAACGATTTTTTTATTTATTTTTTATAAACAATGATTTAAATTTTTTTTTTATCAACCCTGCCTTACTCTGAGTATGGGTATAAACTCACGGATTCTTCCTGTTATTTGTGTAAAATAGATCCATTAGGATTAAATATACTACAGTACTAGTAAAGGCATAATATAATTTAGTTAATACTGTACTGTAGTAATATCTCCATTTGCCAGAATCCATCAAACCTAGAACTCTCCAATAGCCGGAATTGAAATTTACTTGGAATTTTTCCGGAAATTTCTCTCAATTTCAGGTTTGGGAACAAATTCTGGGGTTGAAAATCAAGTGCATTTTATGAAAAATTCAAGAAATATTCAAGAATTTTCAACACATTTTTAATTTTGGGCCTGGGAATAAATTTTCGGGCATTCCAAAAGATTGCATTATGCTCCAACCCATCCCCACGTGCCAGGCGCATGGGTGGCCCAGCTGCTTGTATTGCTTAGTTCTTTTTTTGCTGCCCTTGTAGAAGGATGTTCTCTCGCTAGCTGCTGTTTTTGTGTATAATTTGTGTTGTGCAGTGCTGTACATTATTATACCAGAACAAAATCTGCCTCAAAAATACCTTAGCTTTCGTCTTTATTCAAGACATCTTCAGGTCACGAGACCCACTAATCCCCCACCCAATAATGGGTGACCTGACATTGCATCCGAAGGTCAGTAATATGAGTCAACTAATCCCCCCACCCTACCTCCACCTGACATTGCATCAGGTCAGTTACGGGAGACCCGCTAATCCCCCACAGCTCCATGGGAATGGAAAATATCAGTCTTTGATGTAACACACAGCTTCATTCACACCAGTATCATATAGATTTTTGTTTTTAAATATATTTATTTAACCAAATTTCTATATACACAGCAGTATTCTGGATTATTCTAGTAAAGAAATTGAGTTTCTAACTTAATTAGAACTGCTTTGACAGACTCCGGTAGTTTAGACTCTCGAAAAACATTCCCAGGGACCCAGAAACATTCTGGGGATGTGGGCTAGTGTTTGTCTGTGCAAGATGCATAGTTTAGACTCTTAAAAAATTTTCCCAGTAACCGGAAGTGATTCTGGGGATAAGGAATTTTCCGGATTTAGAAAGTCTTCTGGTTACCCGGAAATCTCTCATCCCTGGAAGTGCTCTGCATCAATAGTTCCAGCTAACCGGGATATCACTGTACAGTATTGACTTTTTTCTGCAGATTCCACGCAACACTCGGCTGCTTTACCTCCATGCCTATCAGAGTTACCTGTGGAACACTGTGGCTTCTCGGCGTATTGAGAAGTATGGCCTCAAAGTACTACCTGGAGACCTCGTGCGTCGGAAGGAGAACCGCGCCGAGGAAGAAGGTAATCCGAGTAAATTTTCCAAAGTGAAAGTATTTTATATGGTGTTTCTTAAGTGGGTATAGTAAAGTACAGTTCAGTATATGAAATACTGTAAATACATACAGTATGTTTATGAAGGGACTTTTCCTAACCAAACTTTGTCACACAGTCATCTTTACAGTCAGTCAGTTGCCTCTCCCTAAAGCAGCAGGAATTGGGAGACACTTTTAAAGAGCAATTATAGACTTTCTTTTGAGGGCATTTGTTGTTGATTATGTGGTAAATAAATATTATGGGCTGTATGTATTATTTTTTCCAGTTTCCTTCTCGTCCTCCAACCTTTTCATATTTAAAACACAAGTAATGCTTTACCTTTAAAAATCACTGTTGCTTTTGAGACATAAACACCTCCTGTTGTTATTAGTGGCGTGTGGACATAACCGTTATCTCTGAAAAGGTGTAATATAGTGTTGCTGTTTTATCTGTAATTGAAAGACTGGAACTGTTTTGTTCCCTTGTATAACTGTGTTACTGATTGTATTATACATAGTATGGTTTTGTCTTTCTGTAACATACATAATGTATCTCACAATTCACTCCCATTACCCAAACACATTACTATACTGCTGTATCTCATTTCATTATGAAAGTATTTTCCACCTTTTGCTTACCCAGTTCCTATATATATACAGTTCAGGATATATGTAATTCCCCCACTTTTTGTTATGTTCAAAAGCTTCAAATAATGTTATCAGTATTACAGGGTGTCTCAGAAAATTTTTACCCATTGCTCTATGTATTTTCATTTAAACACTTATGTTTGTTTTAAAAGGGCAACATTGTCCTCACTTGTTAATGTGTGAGGTCTGTCACAAGTGAGGACACTGTTACTTTTGTAATACTGTACAATACAAGCATTCACACAATCTCTAGGAAAGTCTGTAAGGCAGTGTGTGTACATTTTTTAGACACTTGCAATATAATATTCATGTGTGCAGTGTGTTTGGAGACAATTCTTCATGTTGCATTATGATTTATACAAATTGCAGTTAAAGTATTGAATATGGAGAGACATTTAGCTGTGATTTACTGTCTGCTTGTTTGTCTTGCTGTCATAACAGGAACTTCCAGTAAAACTTACCAGAAATATTTTACAATTTCTAATGTGAGTGTTTTGTCATCCCTTCTTGCCTGACTGCTCGCTGCTTCTAAACCAGATCATAGTCGTGACCAACCACTTAGCTCACTCTGGTTGTTCTGTATTCAGTCAACTGCTCTCTGTCCTTTACTTTCAGTTTAAAATTATTTCTCAGTGTCATCATCGAGCCTGATGTCTTCTCCAGAATTGCCAGTTTCAACACCATTCAGTAATGAAGGCTCCAATTGTGAGAAAGTGGGGACTCACTGGTGGAATGCTGAAGTAACAAAAGCTGTACAGGAAAAGAAGGAAGCCTATTATTTGAAAATGCAGACGGAGGGTGTAAGTGAAGAGGAACAGAAAGAGCGCCAGAAGAGATACCAAGAGGCAAAGCAGAAAGCAAAGAGGGTGGTAAGAGAAAGCAAGAGGAAGGCTGAAGAAGAGTTAGGCAAGTACTGGGCCAAGCTCCAAACTCTCCCTCCGGAAGCAGTCGAGGATGAGAGTAACGACAGTCACAACTCAGACGGAGAGAATGCCGACCAGGAGGCCAAGGCGGAGATTGAGGGAGAGGAGGCCAATGGTCACAAGATACCTGATCTTCACTTCTTGACAGAGGAGGAGGCCAAGACAGCAGATATTTTGGATGTAAGATTGTCACCTTTTGTTATTGTTTCTAGTGGCTGTTATTAACCGATCTCTGTTAAGTTGGCCGAAGACATAAAGTTGATGAAGACGAACGATATTTAGTGTAAGTGGTCACCATTTGTTTACATTTTGTTGGTACCACAGTTTATACATAGTTTAAACCAGTGCTACAATTTTTTGCAGTTCATTCTTGTTACTTGGGTTTTCATGAGGAGAATTGTAATGCATGAGGAGCCTGGCTGTGTGGATGAGTATGGGAGGCTGTGAGGAGCCTTTTACAGGGACACTAAGTGACCTGGCTTCACAGCTGCATCTGATACATTCTCAAGGAAGTGAAAGTCAGCTAGTTACCAGTTAGTGATCTCTGGCTCAGGTCACTTTGCATCAGCTCACATCACTGTGCTGGATGCCATGTTATTGTATTACTTTACAATCGGTAATTATTGTTAAGGTGGCGAGTCGGTGGATGTTCAGTGTATAGGGATTCAAAAGTTGAGGTTATTTTATGTGTTAGGTTGACTTTTACACTACCAACCAAATACATTAGGAACAATATTGGGCAGATGAAAGTGATATCTTGTTCATGAATAAATGTGTTTTTTATTGAATTTTTTTTCCCAAACTGTATTTAAGTCACTCTTCCAGGTTTTGTTGCCACTGCCGGGTTACAATGTGGAGTATCCTGATAATGAGATCAAGGAGTGGTACAAAGAACTCTTGGAGACTGATGGCTTGTCCTTTTCTTCTCTCAAACACCGTGTCAAGTGAGTTTTTTTTTCTCTCTTTTCTTCAGTACTAAACTTACATCCAAGGTTTGTTAAGCTCATTGATATAATCCATCTTAGGATAAGGATTAGGTTCTGCACAAATGCATTATATATGGCTCCTGTTTTTATTGTTTTGTAATTCTACTCTCGAGATGTGGATGGTGCTAATTCACCGAAGGATTTTCTCCCATCATCAACCTCAATTAATTGCTGTGTGTGTGTGTAATAATAATAATAATAATAATAATAATAATAATAAACGGTTTATTAATAGAGTTGCAGCCGGTGGCTGAAAATATACAGACTTACATCTGATTTAGACATCATGATATAATGTGCGTTGAATACATTTACAGGGATGTACAGTACATAAATCAGGAGTTGTTTATTATTTTAACAATAGATGGGATGGTGCTGTTCTTCTATCTATCGGTGCGGGCTCTTATGGGCTGAATTTTGTTGTAGTGGCGCACTGCGCGAGGTGGGTGGGGGGGCTGCCGGTGGCAGGAGGTGGCGATGATGAGGGTGGTGTATTAGTTGGCTGCCAAACCTTTCCAGTGCTTGGTGGTGGATGTCACTGAGGGATGGCATTTCCAGGGTGGAGAGAGCGTTGATGTAGCTGTAGTATTCTGCGCTGAGCATGATTCTGCAGGCCCTTTTCTGTACCTTCTTTAGCCGACGTTGTTGGGTGGAGTTGAGAGAAGACGACCAGGCTGGTGACGCATATGTTAGTTTGGGGAGAATAAAGGCGTTGTAGATAGTCTTCTGCTCTGGCATGGGTGTCCCAAGTGACCTAAGTCGTTGTAGCATGTAGAGACGGTACGAGGCTGCCTTGACTGTGTTATTTACATGGGCCTTCCAGTCCAGTTTGTTGTCTATAGTTACACCCAGGAGTTTGGCAGACTGCACCAGCTGGAGAGGATGGGCACCCACTGTGACTGCTGGGGCTTGCACTGGAGTGGTGGCGGTATTGATGTGCATGACTACTGTTTTAGTGTGGTTGATGGTGACCTTGTTCTCCGTAGTCCATGCCTGTAGCCTGTCCAGGGTGCCTTGTAGCGATGAGTAGTCTGGTGCGGTGTTGTCCACTGAAACCCCCACAGTGCAGTTATCCACGTACTTCCTCCTGTGAGGAGTGTCCGATAGAGCGTCGTTGATCAGGATGAGGAAGCACAGTGGTCCCATCTTGGTCCCCTGGGGAACACCGCAGGTGGGGTGTTGGAATGTGGAGACCGAGCCCTGATAACTCACTGCCTGGCGACGTCCACTCAAGAAATCAGTGAGCCATGAGACCAGGTTGGTGGGCAGCCCTAGTGCAATGGCCTTGTTGATAACAATGCAGTGATCAACAAGGTCAAAGGCCTTCCTGAAGTCAACAAGGGCAACGGCCAGTGATGTCTTACGTTTCTGCAGGTTTTTGTGCAGAAAATCCAGAAAGCTTACTAAGCAGTGTGATGTAGAGGAGGTCCTCATATTGCCAAATTGCTGTGGATCAATTGACTGATAGATTCTGGCAAATGCCCACTCAAAAACAAAGTCCTCACAGAGTAGACTGGGTATGGGGGTAATGGCAACTGGCCTGAGGTCGTTAGGGGACTGTGGGGATGGGGGTGACAAATGCGGTTTTCCATTCATTAGGGCATTTGCTTTGTCTGAGGGATGCATTAATAATAGAACAGAGGGGGGTGGCAAGTTCAACTGCAAACTCCTTGTATATTTTGATTGGGAGGTCAATTGGGGTCATGGAGCGTTTGGATTTAAATTTCAGGAGTTTGTTGGCGATTTCATATGGTTGAACACTGGGAGGGGGGGAGGGGGAAGGTAAGTACGCTGGGAGGAGTGAGGTCAAGACTGGGTAAGGTATGACATATGGTAGCAAAGTGGCTATTAATTATCTCAGCTGCCTCCTCTCTAGGTAAATGTGAGATGAAAGGAAGTGTGGGAGACTGACGGTTGAGACCACAGAGATCTTTTACCTTGGATTACCACTGACCGATGCCGACTTCCTTGAGGCCGTGCACTTTCCTGGGATAATAAGTGTGTGTGTGTGTGTGAGTGAGAAACTTAGACCCTTTACTTGTGAGGCAAATGATATTTCACTCAGGTATGGAGTAGTGATTCTTCACATTGGAAAAGTTCTCGCATATAACTGTGATCATACTGTATTGTTTCTTTATTCATAAATTTATGGCGAAGATAATGCTCAAAAGGAGAAATTATAAAACTACTGAGGTACAGTAACCATGGTACATCTATCATCTCCCACGATGAGTTTTGTGTCGGTAGCCAAGACGTCTTCTTACTTACACTGACACAAGTTAAAAGAGTATGTGAAGGTAATTTTAGATAATGGACAAAGCCAGTCTCTCACAACCACTGAAGGGTAATTACACTTTGCTTTAAATTTTCACATCGTATCTCAATGAGTTGATTGATCGATGCTAGAATTCAAGTTATTAAACACTGTTTGTACTTGCAGCCCCCCTCCCCTCCCCCACCTTTCCTCTCCTTTTCCAGACATGTTTTTTGGCATAAATTAACAATTATATGTATTAGATTAGATATTGATATAATTTTGTATTGGATAACTTTTTTCTATCTTAGCACTCAAGTTCACACATTTCTTCATCAGGTCCTATGCAGTGGGCGGAGCTTACAGGCGACTGATTGTCCGACCAACAAATGTTAACGGTACGCTGTGTTACTACAAGGACTCCAGTAAACCACTCATACAGTCAGACATGGACAAGTTGAGAGAAGTTGAGGTTAAAGATAATATTTTAACTGGTAAGTTTATTCTCATCTTTATGTTCATCTCACCTTACCTTACTTTGCCATACCTAACCTGACCTTTTGTGTACTGCTTCTTCAGTACTCAACATTTTGACCATCATACAGGGTCTGTTTAGGTTAATCTGACCAATTTTAAAACTTAACCTCAAAAATAATAAAGATGGAACACCCAGTTTTATCATTTGGTAGTGAAACCTCTATTTAAGGGACTATTTGTGAGAGGTCAGTCCATTAAATATGAAACTTGCTTCTAACAGAATATATATATCCGTTAACCGGAATCCCTCAAACCCTGTACTCTCTGATAGCTGGAATTGAAATTTTCTCGGAGAATCTTTCCCAAAACCGTAATTTTCCGGAAAATTACGGTTTTGAGAAAGATTTTCCGAGGGCCACATTTTCCAAAAATTCTGAGAAATTTTTCCCGATACCCGGAAAATTCCGGGTATGGGGGAGTTTTTTTTCTGGGTTTGAGAGATGAAAATCGGGTGCATTTTGCGTAAATTTCAAGAAAATTTTTCCAGTACCCGGAAAATTCCGGGGATGGGAGATATTTTTCTGGGTTAAGGAGATGATGTAATGGGCAATTTCTGGAACTTCTGAGAACATTTTCCCATTACCCGGAATATTCTGGGGATAAGTTTATGTGGAGGTTTCACTGTAGATACTTGCTAATGCTTGACCATAAGTATCTAGCTGTTAAGAGCTGCTGGAATATGGCATTTAAAATTTTTTCTTGTGCACCAACAGAAGGCCCGCATAAAGCTGTAATCCTAGAGATGACTCTGCCTGCATCTTCATACGCCACGGTGGCGCTCCGGGAGTTGCTCAAGATGGACACTTCCTCCCAGGTTAGTACAGTACAGTCCATCCCATTTGAGATATGTATTTTATGTTCTGAAATTTTAAGCAATATTTAGTGCTCTTAATGTTCTTCTGTATCACACAGAAAGGTAGTGTTGTGATCCTTCAAGTCTTGTAGGTATGAGATCAATGGTTTTGTGATTCTTGCAATTCCAGATAAACATTTTTTATTTCCTAAAATGCCAAAGGGGCCAGGACCATAAATCAGGAGAGGGACCAAATTGGCCTTCACTTGGAAAAGGTTTTAGACTAGAGGGGATTTATGTTCAGTTTCTGCTACTATAGAGTTTGGTCTGGTTAAGAACATTTTCTTGGTACGGCACCCTTCAATGTTTGGTAATGTGGTGCTTGGAGCATGGGAAAAAAGTTGTGTACATTGATACAGATTATCACACACGACAGTACACCTATGTGGGTCACCATGTGTGTTGTTGGTATTCTAGTCCCTTTTTTTATGCAATTTTTCCATTAATGGTTCCTGTTTCAGTTTCAGGCAACATTAAATCCCCAAACAAACTACACACACAGAAATAGAGATTTCAGTAGCAGACGAGGGATGCCCCGGGGAAGAGGGGGACCGTGGCGAGGGCCAGACAGAAGAGGAGGTTGGGAGGAGAGAGGGTCGTGGAAACATCAAGGATTTCGAGGATCTTGGCGGGGCCACGACAACAGTGGGTCTTCTTGGCGACAAGGAAGAGGTGGAGGTGGTGGTGGTGGCAGTGGCAGAGGGGGGTCCTTCAAGAGCAGAGGGGATTATGGTGATTATAGAGATCATGGGGACTATGGAGGTTATAGAGGGGGTCAGGATTATGGATGGAACAGCAGCCGTGGCGGAGGACGGGGTGGCTATGGTGGAGGTGGTGGATGGGGCGGCCGGGGTGAGAAGAGATCAAGAAGGGGAGGAGACAACTGGAATGCTAAGAGGGGAAGGTATTACTAGACACACTATTTACCTGTTGTTCTTGGGTCGGGGTAAAACTAAACCTGCAGAATTTAAACATTTGGTGTCCATAGGCTGTTGTGAATGTCTGATCACTATGTGTATTTCTGTGTTGCTCATTTGAGGCATTTGTAAGAGGCTACATGTTCTAAAATTCCACATCATTAATGATGCTCTAGGATTAATGAATAGAATTATTTCTATTTTTATTTGTAAGTGCAATTTTGACATGGTGTGAAATTTTTGTTTAATAATGGTGGGATAGTGTCCTCTGCATACCTGCCCAGGTTAAGTCCATTTTGGTCTGGTCTTGAAGGAATGAGACTACATGTCCAGGCTCAGATACACCATAAGTAATGTCTTTACAACTGTAATTTTTTATATATATATATATCTGTAGGATGCACTATTTCTCATACCCAATATGAATAGCCTAAAGGTTGATTTTAGTAGATTAAAATTATTTAGCAAAAGTTTGTTCTTTTGCTTTAATCTGTTGCATTTTCTGTGTGTTTATGTAAATGTATATATGCTTTATATACATACATACACATACATGTGTACATACGTGTATATTTCAATCTACCGGTAATGTGTTTGCCTCAGAGCAGAGATTGTTACATCTCTATCAGATACATCAGTCACCAGACGTCACCAACTTATACATAAGACTTCAACGTGTTGGTTATAAGTAAGTTGTCACTTGTTTGTTCTAACAAAAGTTACTGTTGCCTCAACCTTTTATACATAAAAAGGGTCGGGTGGGGGGTGGGTAGGGTAGATACAGAAACAGGAAGGCAGAATCAACTCTGTAAAACCCGGGAGAAAATGTTATTCACCAATGCATATTATTTTATCATTATAAAACTTTGTGGCAGATCACTTGCCTAGTGTTGTGAATGTGCTGAGGAACAGAAGTGTCCATAGGGTAAAAGCCAACTCCGTTCTCCTCTATGGGCGACACGGGCCAGCAATCTATTAATTACAGTTAAGGACTTATATAAGAACATACAAACATGTACACATACATTCATTTATACCTATGTACATATACATGCATGTATGCATATGTGTGTGTTTATATAATTGTAAATCAGTATGCAATCTGAAGATTTTCAGCGGTACAGTACACAGCTGGCTATAGATATATTTTAAATTGACAGATCCTTAAGAAGACAGACAGTTTATTACAAAAAGTTAATTGTATTCTTATTGTAATAGTGTACTTTTTATGCAAGTATTGATTATATAAGAGACTAGTTTGGACTGAGATGATGATATACAGGTATGTTCCTGAATGTTTAATTAGTAAGGATTAAAGTCATCACTTATCTTTTACTGTCAGACTGTTAAGAATAATTTAATAAATGATTCAATATGCATTTATTTTCCAACAAGACCTTCCATTACAAGTCAACAGACCAAGTAAAAAAGTTACAATTTGGATCTTATTGTGAACATCTTTATACACTTATGCTGCAGTTTCTCAATGATTCCTGTCCTCTAGTTCCCATTGTTAAACCCTCATTGTGCATCCAACATACACAACCAGACATTCTTTGCACAGCAATAAGTACCTTTATATTTCCAAAGTAATTCTTAATACAGTTGTACCCCACTTAACGCGGTCAATTGAACCCAGAGGGTCCCGCGTTAAGTGAAATCCGCGTTAAGTGAACAACAGAACATATGGGATTAATTCCAATAGAAACCGGCCCGACCCCCAAACTCCACTTTTTGAAGGCACATACCTATGTTGTAGTAAAAATAACATCTTAATTTTATGATGGTACATGCACACAATTAATACTTAAGAGAAATAGAGAAATACAGTCGCCAAGTTAATGTCCATTCAAATAATGGACTCAACTCCCTCCCACTCTCACACTACACTGCCGGCTCTTCCCTCTCAGAGAAATTTTTGGGGGAAAACCACTAAATTTTAATAAATAATACCTCAAACTAAAGTTAGGATAATACAATTGACATTGCTGGATTCCTTGTAAGACCAGGAATATTTTGAATATAAATGTCATATATTTTGCACAAAAGATAACATAGTTACCTAGAGAAAAATTTTTATCTAAAAATTGTATGTTTAATGCAAAATATATGATGTTTATATTCAAAATGATCACCAAATTATAAGAATTCCAGCAATGTAAATTATATTCTGACCGGGTAATTTGTATGAATTTTATGAGCTAAAACAAATATCTTCAGTTAATAAAAAAAATAATTTCTTCACGGGGTAACAGATGGTCGGTCGGTCCCTCCCTCCCCCCCACCCCCCACCAACCGTCCCAAGGAGATGTGTGGGATAACCACTAAATTTTAATAAATAATACCTCAAACTAAAGTTAGGATAATATAATTGACATTGCTGGATTCCTTGTAAGACCAGGAATATTTTGAATATAAATGTCATATATTTTGCAGAAAAGATAACATAGTTACCTAGAGAAAAATTTTTATCTAAAAATTGTATGTTTAATACAAAATATATGATGTTTATATTCAAAATGATCACCAAATTATAAGAATTCCAGCAATGTAAATTATATTCTGGCCGGGTAATTTGTATGAATTTTATGAGCTAAAACAGGCAGGGTGGCGGGTGGGGCAAATCTAAAAATAGCGTCTCGAGCCGGACACTCACCGCGTATATGTGGAAAAAATCCGTGTTAAGTGAAAGTTCAGCTCTGGCGAGGCACCGCGTATATGATAAAACGCGTTAAGTGAAACCGCGTTAGGCGGGGTAATACTGTAAATGCCTTAGGCCAGTGAGAGAAGATTTTGGTTTGGTTCAACAACTGCGACATCTTACATTATTAGGTCAGTAGCAGCACGATGTGTTGGTCTTACAGAACCAAGCATGAAATAACTTAGATAATTGCCTGAGTTTGGAGTTGCTAAGTTAGTACCCCTGTCTATTCTATCCCAACCCAAATCCTTTACTTACAGTAGATGTGGAGATTCTTTACTAAATATTTTGGTAAATAAGCAGTGCCTTATCTGCAAATATCAAAACTTATTTGAACTAATGTACTTTTAAAATTGTCTTCCTTTTAATATTATTCAGAGAAACCATTACTGCTTTTAACCCTTTCACTATGACGATGCCACTTTTAATATTTTATTTGGTTAACGCCAGACGATTTTATTCAGCATAAAGATGAACCTGTACACAAGGAGTTAATCAATCATACATCCCATCCACTTTTGTCACACTGAAGCATCCTCCACATTTATTCAGCCATTTCTTTATGTTAATCCTCGACCCGTCTCGTCCTGGACTGCAGAACTACACGAGTATCCCTAATAAAATTTACAATACCCAACTGAAATACTGGAGGTAGAACTGGTAAATGTAATTCCCAAGTTTAAAAGGGACAAGGCAACTGAATTTATGCATTGGGATTTTCATTGAACACAAGTTTTTGGTATAGTAGTTATGTTGCAAGTCGTCAAGTAATCACTGATGGTTTTTCTGTACCTTATTGGAGCTTTTCCACAATATGGTACTTGCTTTACCATAGAATATTACAACGTTGCTATTATGTTCTAACAGTGGTCCCCCAACACATGGTTTAAGAGCCAAATGTGGCCCTTTGAGCCTCTCGGTAAAAGGATGGTTATCTGCAACATCACAGCGATTTTTCCTATTTAAAAATTTAGACAAGTTTACTGTAGCAGGTCAGGTCATATATTTGTATATGCAGTAAATATAATCCTGTTGTCAGGCAGTAGAGTTTTGTGAAAGGCTTCATAGTGACAACATTGGATATCCTTTGCTGGAGTATCTGGCCACAAGGCAAGAAACATTCTATTCTACCATATACAGTGGTCTCTCGATTAACGAACGGTTCAATTAACAAATTAGCTCCCATAAAGATTTTCAGTTCCATTAACGAACAAAGCTTCATTAACGACAGCCTTACGAGAAACACGCTTTGTTGTGTGCATCAGCTGATCGGCTAGTCTGCCAATACAGTACTGTAATTGGTTCTATGTTTACATTCGTTTCCAGTGGAGTAAATATCAAGAAAGTTGTGCTCTTGAATATTTTTTTGCATTTTTTATATTAAAATTATTGGTCATTCTGAAATTTAGTTAACATATTGATAATACTGTATATACAGTACAGTACAAGAAACAGTTTTTGTGTGCCCTTCGGCTGATCGAATCGCCCACCAACGCTTCTCGGTTTAACTTTGTTTACAGTGGCGTGAACATCGAGTTTGTTGGTCTCTTGAATATTTTTGCATTTTTACATTAAAATTATTGGTCATTCTGAAATTTAGTTAATATATTGATAAGATACAGTGCAGAAATTATTATGAAATATGAAGAAGGCATTAGAACCAATGCACTCTGTAAAGAATATGGCATGTCATCATCGACTGCCTCTACAATCATGTTTGATATGTAAACAAAGCTGCCGGGAATGCGACATCACACCTCAAAGTAAGTTAAAATGCAGTATTCTATTGTTTTTTATTTATTATTGTACAGTATACTGTACAGTACAGTATACTGTACAGTACAGTACTGTATTTAGTTTATATTTAATGTTTTGTTAACTCTATTACCGGTATACAATACTTTGTACTTTTTCTGCCAGTTGAACCAATTACCCAATATCCCATTGAAATAATAGATTCAGTTAACGAAATTTTTTGGTTAACCGACTCTGTGGAACCAATTGTGTTCGTTAATCGAGGGAGAACTGTACTGCACTGCACTAAAATGAGACCGCACAGGGGGTCCCTGACCTGTGAGCGTCCAACCAAACACCCACCAATATGAACGGGGTTAAACTTGAAATTTACAATACAGGTATTTTGTTTACCTGATGATTTATTTTTTACTTTCATTTACTGAATTTTGTCATTTCATTTCTTCTTTTCTCTTAAATTAAGTGATTTTAGATGTATATTTAGGCTATGATATAGTAGGATTTTAAACATTGTTTTGTAAGTACGGCATACACACAGCATGTGTTCTGACCTAAGTACAAATCCGACTTAAGAACATCTTCAGGAATGGAACCCGTTGGTAACCTGGGGACCCCTGTACTATACTATAATACTGTACCAGTATTACCGGAATTCATCGGCGTAAGGTCCTATTGTGCTAATACCTTTTCTCTGATTTATATATGACTGGATCATAAAAAATATGATTTTCATGTAAATTTATTAAAAAATTAATTTTGTTTTTACCTGTATGGAGTAATCTCATAAGGAATTGGCCCAAAGCTTGTAGATGGTCCCTCAACTACAGTTTCATGTAATAACCCATAATTTACAAAATGTGGAACAGTCATATTATGGCTTTGTTTCTTCATAAAAGGTTCACTACTATTAGGTCCTTGATACTCCTTGACAAGATCCTCTCTCTTGGCCACATTGTGGGGGAGAGAGTCTGCAACAAACTGACGGTTTAAGTTTGTAACGGGAGTGTAGGCTTTACTTGCACACGATCTCACTTTTGTATATGGATGGTCCTCCCATTTGAAATATTTACAGCATGTTGCCTTTCCATTTTTTCCTTGCGGACAAGAGAAAAAATTTCTTCCTTGATTTGGTCCGGGTTTGGACACTACAAGAAGCTTCGCTCTCCGGCCACAAGAACACAATGGAGGCGTCTTCTTAAAGAGTCGTAAATTTGGAGTAGTATCTTGGTAGAATCTAGTGTGTGAAAGTTGAAGCTTCTGATGTGACTGAAGACTTCTGTTACCTGTAGATGTATTTGTTTTGGTAGCCATGTTGGTTAAGTCTGCCAGAACATTAATGGTGGGGATCACCTTTGTTTCAAAACTATTTATTCTGGGATAGTTCAGTAACTTTGGCATATCTTTCGTACACCCAGAAGAATAACTTTCGTTCTGTAAAACATTTATCTTTTTACAGATTGCAAGACTTGGAACTTTAAAAGGCTTGGAAAGAATGCTAGAACTGTGTTGAGATTTTGCTTTAATCAAACCTTGTCTTTCCTTTATGTTATCATTAATGCTCAGAGAATGACCTTCATAACTCCCAAGAGGATGAATCTCACTTTCCACATTATAATTACAAGAAAGCCCAAAATTAACCCTATCTATTGAATGTGAAATCTGTGCTTTCCCAATTCTCTCACTGGGCACTATGTTCTGCTCGATGATTCCATCCCTGAGACCTGATGTTTCTATACATTCACTGCCTCCTGTACTGCATGACACTTGAGAAGGATTCAGGTCTCCATCTTTCTTGGTGTCTCTCTCTAAATGGCCTTCCAGTTTTCTTTTCAGTTTATTGCCATCACAGTTATCTTCTACTTTCCTCCTACTAAACACAATCTTCTTCATCTGACCTAATAATATTTCTGCCGCAGCTCTCATGGTGTTGACCTGCGGAATTTCAAGTTGGATTTTAAGAAAATTTTTACAGTGTAGGATATTTCTTTTATACAATTCTGCCTTAATAACATTTACAGACACATATACCTAGAAGTCAGAAACCCTCCCTCTTGCCATGGGTGAGTGAGGCAGCCTAGAAGACAAGCATGGCTGACTCAAAAGAAAGTGAAAGTGCATAGGATTTTTCATGGCACAAGCTCCTCCCTGTTGTGGGTGTAAGGAAGAAGTCTCTCTTAGCCATTTATGTCTGGACTTCTGGATTTTAAAGCAACAACTTAGTGAGAACATTATACTTGTACAGTAATCAAGCTACCTGCTGAAGGGAGGTTGGCCACAAAAAACTTTATGTACTGTTGATGGAGGTGTCACAAGAATCGAACCTTGGTTGTCTTGGCTGACAGAGTCTTGGTGACAGTTATGACACAACCATCACGGAGCATGCGGGAGATAAGAGCTGCAGTGTTACGGGTGTCACAGATCCCTGAGTGTTCTCGTCCTTCAAATGCTATGCCCAAGTCTTGCAGCGCTCCAGCCAAGCCCTTTGGACTTCTTTGGTAAAATTTCTGTGTAAAAGTTATATAAGTGTACACAGGATAGTTCTAGCGTTAAAGGAATTCATTATTCCAAAAATAATGAAAATTATCATTACAAAGTTCACAACTTCATCAAACTAGTTTCCCATACAGTATCATATAAGACTCATTAACATACAGTGGCCTTGTGCGTACAGTACAATACAGTACAGTACAGTATACATACATACCTTGTAAGTAACTTTCACATCTGTCCACTGGTTGAAGAACTCAGGTTTTCTCAAGTGCTTACGAAGACATTCATAGTGAAGACATACTCCAAGATCCCAGTCTATGATATAAAAGAAAATACACAGGTGAAATTTTTATCATCACTAGCAAGATGAAAATGAGAGAAGTTAAATCGTATAAATTTTTCAGAACGAATATTTGCAGCCATGGGCCTGTGATACAGTAAAGCATATATTTCAACAGTTAGAACTGTTGTTGAAAACTGGAAGTAATGATTATGTTGTGAGTTGATGCTGAATGGATCTGTTACTGTCTGCAAAGAGAAGCTGGAGGAGGACATAAAGGTTCCAATAATCCATATCAATGTCCAGATAATTTAGTTCAAGAGCATAACTCAAAAACCAGTTACTGTATTTGCTTATTGTGATACTTGATACACCTGTTCTTTAGTCTGTGGTTGATGGTGGAAGAACTCAGAATAAAATACAAAAGTCAGAGTCTCATAAATTATCTTACCAGTCCAAGTAGCAAATGTCACATGACTGCTTGGGACACTTATGTTGAAGGACATCTGGTACTGCTCACATAACTTGTGGATCCACAACGAGAACAAAGAGAGGCAAGCCCCCAGGGGTATACCTGCCTCCACCTGCTCCTGTGTTATCCCTGGCCCAGGAGAGTGAGAAATGATGTAAAGTTATAAAGCTGCAGTTAAGCATCACTCACTGTTTTTGAATACTGATATCAAAGTTATACTCTATACCCCTTGTACAGTGATCTGCCACTTAACTTCCTAAAATGAAAATAATGTGTTGAAAGAAATAGTTATTCATTTCAAATCATCTTCAATAATAACAATTAGTCAGTTTTTGCTTCATTAGAATCATTCTCTGTATACTGTACAGTAGTACTTAGTGGAAAGGGCTGAAGGGTTGCTGGTTCACACCCAGGGCATTCCTAACTCGCCCAGCTATGATTAGGTACCAAACTTTACAGTTGGGAAAATGAAGGTGGTCAAATATTGTAGTGTCAGTCATGCTGCCTCTTTGTGTATTGAAGACTAAGTATACAAAGTGGTACTGTATATCTAAATGCCCCTAACAAGCCACCAGGTGTATGGGTCCCACTTTTATTTTTATTAATGAATTCAAAGACAATATGGATAAAACTAGACAACATATCATTTTGCAATCTAACTCGTCCAGATAACATTAGGATGTTTATCCATCATGTGAAATAACTAACCTGTGAGACTTTTACAGAATGCAGACAGTATTGGTTGATCCGTGGGCATCACATACTGTTGAAACTCTGAGAGAATTTTTCCAGAATTGAGGTCCAAAAGAACTGCCGGGAATTCAATTATCTCCTGTCGTCCAACTCTAGGGCCAGTTTCCCAACACGTTGCTTCAAAGTCTAGCACAACCAAGTAGTCAAACTCCTGTTCTGAAAGCATAAGAAGATTTTCCATTATGGTAAAACCTAAGAGTGCTGTACTGTACTGTACTAACATTAGGTGCGACTATGGAAGGAAGGTAGGCAACTTGATATAAAAATTCACATTAAATATAAAAAGTATCACGTCTTTCTTACCGTACCATTCCCTTAACATAATACCTGAGAACTCATGCACTTCTTTCTCAATTTATTTATGTAGAACTGTTTCAAATTCAGGGTCAAATTTCTCGGATTAGCTTAAAAATCAACATCCCAACTTATTTCACCTAAAAATTAACCACTCTAACACTATTTGAGGGGAGGGGGGGAGGGTAGGTTAGGGGATTCATCTTCAGGCGAAATAAGCTGGGGTGGAGTTATTTCAGGAGGTCCAAATTATTTAACCACCTTTCCCAAACCCTAACTCCAGCCTTAAAGAATTCTACAATGATAAAGTACATATATGAATTCCTTACACTGAGTAAAAATCACACAAAGAACCTAAAATAAATGTAAAACAATTGATCAACCTCAAGTGTATAGCAAAAACCTGACATGAATATAGGTACAGCAGGATGGGGAGACCACAGTTAAAATGGACCTCCTCACCACAACCTCACAAACAACCCCTTGTTTCTGTCTCATGACCTCTTCATTAAGGGGATGCCACTGTTAATATTTTATGTTAATGCCAAGTGATTTTACTCAGCTCAGAGGGGACCCCGTACAAAAGGAGTTAAAACGAACAGGTGCTTTTGAAAAACAACACCAATTATTAATATTATCAAAACTACTGAAACAAACATTTCAGATAAGATGGAGTTCTTGAGCACCCTTGAAGATGCACTCAGAGAAATTACTGAAATATTTTAAATGTCATGCAAGATAATCGTTAAAATCTGCTTGTGAGTCTGAACTTTACTTCCAAAATTGTATGAATAATGTAAATACTGTATCACTTACTTGTCTTATTTCCTGTTGGTAATAACACATTCTTCACCTGCCTCTTCTGTACTAAACCAAGTTCCCTGTAAGATGTTATATTTCTTATGATATATGTACAGAAGTGTAGTTACTGAATAAGTGTAATAATGTATAATACAGTACAGTACTGTATATATAAGGCTACAGCAAGCCGTGATTATTATGATGTACAAAGCTACCTGACTGAAATAACTTTTTCAGTAATTATCCTGGTCTGTTATTTGGAGTGACCCTAACCTGACTTATCATCTGACTAGGTGATGGTGGGTCACCTCAAAGTAATAATTGAGAATATATTGTACCTTACTGTACAATGATAAAACTATTAACACTTTGGAGGGCAATGTAGCCCTCAGGCATTTTATTCTGGCTAATTCCACATGATTTTATTCAGCTGAGAGAAACCCCTGTCTTCTACAAGTTAATACCAGGCATTAATTTTTATTGCTTTGAAATATGCAAATACTATACTACAGTAAACATGGTACTATACTATACTATACTATACTACAGGTGAAAAAAAAAATGGGTCCCATATGCCTGTTAAGGAGTACTGCACATGTCATGGCCACAGTGGCACGGCTGGTCTGTTTGAAACCTGATGATTCATATTATGCTCCACGCCCTCAAAACATGTGGATAACTGGCGAGTTATCCCTAGGAAGACATGCGCTTTCTGAAACCAACCTCACTAGAAAGTATATTTGAATGTGAGAGAGAACACCGCTGTTTTGCATCAACTTAGATATGTCTGATTACAGATGAAGCATTCAAGATCCTTTGTGAGTGATGTTGAGAGCTTCAACTGTCTTTATTGTCAGTAAAACTTATCAAATAAGTGAGTGTTGAGTCTGCCAGCAAGAATGGCATCTTCTGAAATTAGACCATTTTAATGCCTAAATCTCAGAGAATCTGATGTTTGTAGTTTAGTTATTGTCAGTTGTCTATTTGAGAAAGTTATTAATCTGAAAAGAATCTGTCAGTCTACTTATCTTGGAGATCTCAACATATACCCATAGAGGGTCCTTGTCTGAAAGCCCACCACTGCCACCATTTATAAAGGGGACTGCTTCCACTGTCACCATTTATAAATGGTAACAGCGGAAGCAGCCCCCTTTGTACACACTGTTGACTATTATTGGTCAATTTGTAGTTTCGACCAACCACGGCTCTCGATTTGAGCAATGTATTTTTCCAATGGCTCAGACAATTTTAAGAAACCTTTCTTCAATGACGTTTTCCTCGCAAATGACCCAAAATTACCTAACCTAACCTCTTAACAGGGGGCTCCGCTTCCCTGGATCCCCCGGCATATTTAAGTGATTTGCGAGGGAAACATCATCTAAAAAAGGTGTCTTAAAATTGTCTAAACCAACGGAAAAACTCATTGCTCAACTCGAGAGCCGTGGTTGATCGGGTAAAGGTTTACGAAAGCGCTACCGCCAGAAGGAAATGTGCAATTTGGTTTAAATTTTTTCTACACAATATTAGCATGATATTAAACACAGGAATGGAAACAACAATGCAGAAAACCTAGTAGAACCTACTAGAACCTGACCTAACAAACCCAACCTATTAGGTCAGGTTCTATGCATTATCGTGTTTATTTGTTTAATATTATGCTAATCGTGTGTACAAAATATTTAAACCAACGAAAGCAAGCAAAAGAACCAAGGAAACCCAACCTATCAATTGTTACAAGAGGCTGTAAAAAAATATACCCGGAAGATGATATAAAGAGAACAGAGAATGCATTTAATAAGTAAACAAAAGAAGAATAAACCGGTATACAGTATATGTAAATCTAAACTTAATAAAGATGCGTAATTATTTTATAAGGATCAGAAATAATGGAACACAATTATACAGAGCAATGGTGGCGGCAGGGGAATTATGAAAGGGACTGAGTTACGGTAAGACAATGATTTGGGTGTTTGAAACGTAACTAGAGACGTAATTTTAATGTCATATTATCAGTGTTTGCTGTGTTTTTACCCCGCAATTTCCCTCATCTTTCATGCCCTGCCCACTAACAAGGAATTTAAGATCGTAGGATAGAGTATATGAAAAAATTCCCCCAACATACTTAAAATTATAATAGAAAGCTGTCGCGTTTTTAATATACTTAAAATCATCAAACCAATAAATAAAGCAGAAATAAGGAAAAACAACAAACAACTTCTGGTGGTAGCGCTTACGTACATCTTTACCATTGATCGAAACTACAAATTTACCGGAATATTAACCATATGGCTAACTTTAACATCAATTTGCCTTCAACTATAGCACAGGTACGCATAATATACTTACAAGGCTAAACGTTTAGTGGCCATCACGTCTTGGACAGATCTGATGATGATGGAAATAAAGAACGCCTATAAGGCCCAAAATTCTTCTATAAACTTATCCATCACTTTCTTAAAGACACAAAGCTGTTCGAATGATGATGGTGGTAATTATTAGATACCGAAAAGCCTGTAACCGATGTATAATGTGAAAGAATTGTCCGTCACAGCCCTTACTTCTCAAGTTCTCACCCGTGAAGTTTAATGTGGTCACCAGCTTCACCACACCGGACCACAGCATCCCCCCCTAAGGTACCTCACACGGGCCCATAGGCCATCACTAATTGGCAACTTCACTCTCGAATTTGCTAAACCACGCCCCCTTTGTCACTTCATGCGTTTGTAATATTGTGGTATTATTATCTATAGATTCTTTCTCTCATCAAAATATACGAGCATAAAATGTTATTGATCAGATATATATTTAATAATATGTTGTGGGGTACGAGTTATTTGGGTTCACACTCAGGATGGGATGGAGAAAGGAAACTCACAATGTGCTCTCTGTATACATGTTGTATTGGATGTACAATGCAGCTTGGTGCTGGGAAGCCGATCCCGCGAATTCCCCAGTGTATGCCTCGTGGTCTAGGTCAACCAGCGCCTCCTTACATGACGGAGGACAACTACTAAGCCACGCCTACCTCCGCTATAAAAGACCTGACCTCGTGGTGACCACGCTTTTTTCCACCCACACCAACCAGCTCTCTCTACATCACGCTTGTAACCATGCTGCCTTCCCAGCACCAAGCTGCATTGTACATCCAATACAACATGTATACAGAGAGCACATTGTGAGTTTCCTTTCTCCATCCCATCCTGAGTGTGAACCCAAATAACTCGTACCCCACAAGCTCTTTCAAGACCAGACTTGACCAACACTGGAGCAGGTTCAGGAGCTGGTGCATGTCCAGCACTTGCTAACAGTGCGTAACTGAGACGAGACCGATCGCCCAAGCGGCTAACAAGCCGATCAGTGGTGAAGAGGATAAAAGTAAGTAAAAAAGCATACATGTACACTATATGTGCTATTTGCATGCGATTGCTGAATATATCTATTTACAACACGTTTCAACGCATACTTACCTCAGGTTTTTCTTTAATTTAAACCCATCTTTGTACCGATTTTTGCGCACTCCTCTAATAACTCATAGAACAATTTCTTTTAAATTAAGTTTATTAACAATCAGAGAGAGAGAGATTCTGTAATTTTGATCATTATAGAAAGCTATAGAGTTTGTTTACGTTTGGGAAATTGGGATGATAACTAGTAAACAACGACGCCCAATGTACTGTATATTCACGTGCTTCTACTTTATCTCCTTCGTTGTCAACATACACACGTAGGTGACCCAGGTAACCCAGGTCTTTTTTCACATTTGGTCTGTTAACCCTTAAATCCTGGGTGGCGTTCCTCTATAACATCTATGACTATGTCCACGGGTCCGACTAATTACCATAATGTACCCAAATGTAGCCAAATATAGCCGGAATGAAGTCAAATAATGGTCCTAGATGAATAAATCGGACTGCCAATCAATTCTCGACTAGTATTTGGTGTTAGAAAGTCACAAAATTTGGAAAACTTACTATAATTTGAGTTAATAGATCGCGTGCATGTACCGACGGAGCGAGGAATTACCCAAATGTTGTCGCAATGAAGTCAAATAATGGTCCTAGATGAATAAATCGGACTGCCAATCACTTCTCGACTAGTATTTGGTGACACAAAGTCACAAAAAATTGGTAAACTTAATTTAATCTGAGTTAATAGATCGAGTGCATGTACCTAACCTAACCTAACCTAACCTCACCTCACCTCACCTCACCCCGACTAGTATTTGGTGTCACGCAGTCACAAAAAATTGGTAAACTTAATTTAATCTTGAGTTAATAGATCAAGTGCATGTACCTAACTTAACCTAATCTAATCTAACCTAACCTAACACAACACAACTCAGATTAAATTAAGTTTACCAATTTTTTTTTACTTTATGACACCAAATAATAATTGAGAAGTGATTCACAGCCCGAATTACGCTTGTACAACCATCATTTGACTTCATTGCGGCTACATTTGGGTAATTCCTCGCTCCGTCGGTACATGCACACGATCGATTAACTCAGATTAAAGTAAGTTTTCCAATTTTTTGTGACTTTCTGACACCAAATACTCGTCGAGAAGTGATTAGCAGTCTGATTTATTCATGTAGGACCATTATTTGACTTCATTGCGGCTATATTTGGGTACATTTGGGTAATTAGTCAGACCATATGTCCACTATAACCCTTGGAACAATCTACCAGAGAGTGTTGTGACGGCACCAAGTGTGAGCTCTTTCAAGACAAAACTTGACCAACACTGGAGCGGGTTCAGGTACATTCAGGAACCGGTGCATGCCCAGTATTTGCCAACAGTGCATGACAGAGATGTGACTGATCGCCCGGGTGGCTTGCGAGCTAATCTTTTGGTGAAGAAGATAAATGAAAAGGAAAAGTAATCAGAGACGTGACCGATCGCCCAAGCGGCTAACAAGCCGATCAGTGGCGAAGAGGATAAAAGTAAAAGTGCTTCGGGTGACTTTCCTCTTTGACCTTCATTTTTGGGGGCATAGTTTGTATGTCCAGTTAAAGAGTTTTATCGCTCATAATTTTTGTAATGTTGTTAGATTAGTGGGTAAAGGTTTACGAAACAGCTATCACTTGAAGTTGTTTGTTGAGTTTCTTTATTTTTGCTATGCTTATTGTTTTGATGATTTTAAGTATATTAAGATTAACGGCAACTTTCTGTTATAATTTAAAGTATTTTTAGGATTTTTTCATTTACTCTATCCTCCGATCTTAAATTCCTTGTTAGTGGGCAGTGCATGAAGGATGAGGGAATTTATGGGGTAAAAACACAGCAAACACTGATGTTATGGCATTAAAATTACGTCTCTAGGTACGTTTCAAACGCCCAAATCATTTTCTTACCGTAAGTCAGTCCCTTTCATAATTTCCCTGCCGCCACCATTGGTCCTTCCTCTCCAACTGTATAAATTGTGTTCCATTACTCCTGATCCTTTTATAAAATAATTACACACCTTTATTAACTTTAAAATTACATATATACCAGTTTATCTTCTTTTGTTTACTTATTAAATGATTCTCTGTTCTCTTTATATCATCTCTGGTATTTTACATCGTCTTGTCTACATCCACAAATTCCTCCTCGCCATTGCTAATGTATATCAACCTCATTATTAAGGTAAGTTGTTTAAGATTTTTTTCGTTAGTGACAATTGTTAGGTTGGGTTTCCTTGGTTCTTTTGCTTGCTTTCGTTGGTTTAAATATTTTGTACACACTATTAGCATAATATTAAACTCATAAATGAACATGATAATGCATAGAACCTAATAGAACCTGACCTAATAGGTTGGGTTTTTTAGGTCAGGTTCTACGAGGTTCTAAGTATTGCCACTTCCATTTCTGTGTTTAATATCATGCTGATAGTGTGTACAAAAATTTCAACCAAATCGCACATTTCCTTCTAGTGATAGCTGTTTCGTAAACCTTTACCGAATACCAGTAGTGTTATAAGTAACCTTGCTACGCGATTAAAGACCTTCGTTGTTGAAGTGCAGCAATAACATTATAACAATACTGAATGTCCTAATGGGATGTAGAGTTTGTTGAGGCAACCAGCAGTGAGGAGTCAGGACAGGGTAAATGTTAATTTTAGTCCTATAATCTTCTAGCGACTCAAAAATATATTTGTCCTATGTATTTTGCTGTGTTTTGAATGAGTTTGACCTTCAAAACTGTGGCGCAAATCCAAAATTTTTGAGTTATTATCCCTTTACCCCCAACAATAATGGGGGAACCCCGTGGGAACTGTGGGTTTTGGGGGGGGGACTCAAACGCGGGTGAGTTGCGCCAGTTTTGAAGGTCAAATTCATTCAAAACACAGCAAAATACATAGGAAAAATGTATTTTTCATCACTAAAATATGCAACCTAACCTAACAAGTCAAAGTAATGAAAATCACACCCGTTACACAAAGCAGTCGTACAGCAACTGAAAATCTTCAATAGTGGACGGTGGATAATTCAAGCAAAAATGAATTTGATTGGCCGGAAATGAAGCAGATGGTATAAATTTTGAAATGGCTAATTGTGATTGGTCATGGGCAGCGCTGTCCGGCAGATGTGCAACTGGATTTCTGAAGATGACAGCGGATCACCCGATAATGGCTATATGTCACGGTTAATTTCCAAACAAAAACTTTAGAGTGCCTTATCTTCTTTATTATGCATTTGCGACGGAAATATCATAGAAAAAAATTGTCTTAGAATTTTCTGTAGATTTCACATATGTTGCCAGATTTATCTTAAAGAATTATAGGACTAAAGTTAACAAATACCCAGGACAATGATACAGACACTGGTGCTCATTCCCTATCCTTACCCTGGCAGCCACCCCTTCAGCGAGTTCGAGGATACCACGGTGGACGTGGACATAAGGGACCATGTGCACGCCAGCCACAACAGGACACTTGTAGGGACTGCACTAATTTTACGCCTGAAATACCAGTTTTCGACTGTGCACCCGCAGGAATACAGGATTCTTTCCTGTGTGATGAAAATTCAATGCCATTGGACTACTTTTGGGCATTTTTGATGTCGAACTTATGAACTTTGTGTGTGACCAAGCAAATAAATACCAACAGTGGTGTGTGGACAACGACTTTGGCCACAGACCATCTCCCAAAATGCTTGGAAAAATAAAGCTAAAAAAGTAGCAATTCTTACATATTTTTTTTTATATATTCTAGAACAAAGGACGTTTTCTTAAACTTTAGAAAAAAATTTTTGTCACTCTTTTTTTCACGAGTCTGTGATGTAGAGTATTAAAGCTAACCTAACTTCAAATAATGCACTTCCATCCTAGGTGAGATAGGTGTTTTTTTTTTCATCTTATCTATGATAAACCACTTATGTGTTTGTTTATATTCTGCCTTTATTGATTATATATACATTATATATTATGTTACTTCTTACCAAAGTTAGGGTGTGTCTAGGCCTGTGTAATCACGAATGTGTTTGGCACGTATGACAACAACAACAATAAACTATCTGAGTAAGAGTCAGCATGTGGCTTCTCCTTCTCCCATTAAATAATGTAAGATACTACAACTGTCACTACAGTTGTTCATGTGTATGGTACAATTGCTGACAAACATTCATATTAACTATCTAAATATGTTTTACTCTCGTGTAAACAGTCAAATGGCATCACCAGGATGTTACAAGTCAATGGATATGAGTTACTTGATGAAAAAATTGCTAAAATTATACAATGATCTCTCCATTAGCTGGATAATTGATGCGGAGTGGTTCTGGGTATGGAGACGAATTTTCTCATCCATGGAACATTTCTGGGTACAGTACTGGTGAAAGTTTTCCCAGAGTCTAAACTATGCAGTTCACACAGGCAGACACTTTTACTTTTATCCTCTTCACCACTGATTGGCTCGTTAGCCGCTTGGGTGATCAGTCGCGTCTCTGTCACGCACTGTTGGCAAGTGCTGGGCATGCACCACCTCCTGAATGTACCTAAACCTATTCCAGTGTTGGTCAAGTCTGGTCTTGAAAGAGCTCACACTAGGTGCCGTCAAAACACTTTCTGGTAGATTGTTCCAAGAGTTCACAACTCTCATTCCGAAAAAGTTACCCCTCACAGTTTTCTGGACCTACGTCTCCTTTAATCTTGAGCTGTGATCCCTTGTGGGGCGAGCGTCCGCCAGCTCCAAGTAATGACACTCGACTGAGGAGTGCCCCTTGAGATGCCACAAACACCACTGTACATGTACAATATATTGTAAATAAGCCAAATATACTCCTACTGTACTGTACATACTGTACTCACCAGCAGATGCTGTTGTCTTGAGCTTGTGATGCAGGCGGGCCAAATGGTGATATGATGATACAGGATGGCCTGCCTTTGTTCTGTATCATCTGTAGCATGTACGGTATATACTGTATTGTACATTCACCCTCTACACTAACATATGCTGTCCACTCTGCTATGCACAGCACAGTACACTATTGTACATATGATACTTTCACACTTTTCGGATGCACAGTATGTAACTATAATCACATTTTACATCTTAACACTGATGTAACAGTATTCTTGGCTGATTATATACAGTACTAGTACAGTAATGTATTGTACTGTACTGTACTGCATAACACAGATCTTATGCAAAAATGGCAGTGAGCAAGCCAGAAGCTTGTACAATGGCAGCAGACAATGAACTGAGTGTCATGATGCAAGACTGAGGAGATAGGTTGCGAGATACATCAGCCAAAAATAGGCTTCCCGGGCAGTCACATGACAGTAATGGCCAGTCATAGTTCACTAGCACTCTGAGTCTATCCACCCACGTGCCCAGCACGCGTCTCCACATTGGAAACATGATGCAATCTCTGAACTTCATTCAAATGCCCAGAATGGTGAGATTTTTCCCAGAATTTCTCGGAATACTTCAAAAAAAAATCCACCTTTTAGAAAGGTCTGGGATCAAAGATTCCGACTAATGGAGAGATTAGTGTACAGTATTACTAAAATTTAAAATCCTCCACCTGTTTTGGAATGATATTGATTTTCTTGAATTAAACAAAGAAGTTATCTTCTATAGAATAATTTTCTTAAGTTGCTCGTTAACCTGTTGTTGTATTGGGTTAAATTAAGTTAGGAATGGTTAGGTCTCATTAAAGTATGAAATTTATATTTATCTGTAAATTATTATTGTTGTCCTGACCTACCATAATGTAACCTAACCTGAACTGGCCTAACCTAATTTAACCTAACCTGAACTGACCAAACCTATCCTGAACTGACTGAACCTATCCTAACCAAACCTGAACTGGCCTAACCTATCCTAACCTAACCTGTGCAGTATTTTATATCAGCTTAAGAAATAGTATATAATGTATCACATGCTTCAATAACCTGGAAGTTTTAAGTCACAAGTTAATATTTAATGATCAGGGATATACAATAAATGTTTTTTTATTATGGTAGTACTGTATTTGATAGATGACAACTTGTGTATAATCCAAGTAAAGATGCACAAGTACAATATACATAAAGACAGTAGTTGGGGCAGTACAGTATTATTTACAAAGATAAAGTTGCATAAATATTTCAATTTCAGGGTTGTCGGAGACAAAAGTTAAGGTGTGATGGCTCCCCAAGACAGCATTCCGTCTCATCTGGTGCGAGTCATTGAGTGTAAACAAGGTGCTGTCAGAGCTGTCAGGTTTAATGGTAACTTTCTTCTTGGTGCTATTTATTTGCATGTATTTGATTTATTTCTCATTTCACCACTTGTCAGTTTACCAATAAGCAGGGTTGTTATGATTTAAATCAAATGATTTTTTTACTAATAACTGTTTTCTCTTTTTATTCTACATGATTGAAAAGTATATGCAATGCAGCAGGCTAATAACATTATTTGGATTTACATAATTATGTACTGTACTATAGTCTGTTCTTTCCAGTTTTGCGAAACTTTGATCATATTCACCCTTCCGAACAGTGGAGCACGAAGAGTTTATCAAGATGATTAAAATGCTAAGACCAGGATATGTTCCACCTAATAGACATCAAATTGGAGGGTCTCTTTTGGATCAAGCCTACGATTCAGTGATTAAAAATTATTCAGAAGAACTTAGTGGGAAAACAGTTTGCATGGATGGATGGAGTATTGTCCAAAATGAGCCTATAGTATGTATAACTTTAACAGCGCACAACCGTATTTAGTTTGTTGACTCTATAGACACAGAATCAAGACACAGCTGAATATCTGTTGAAATTAGCTGAATGTGCTACAAAAAAGTGTGAAGACAAATTTGGATGCACAGTAAGAAGCTGTGTAACAGGTAATGCTGCTAATATGGCAAAAATGAGAAGTGAATTCGGACAAGATAAAGCCATTATAACATATGGTTGCTCTGCACACCAAATTTGCTTTTACAAGACCTGCAAATCAAGAACATTAGGAGCACATTACTGAATTAATTAAGTACTTCAGAAATCATCACATCCCAGGATCTTTGTATAGAAGAGCAGGAGGAACAATGTTAGTAATGCCATCAGACACGATGGAACACAGTGACAGATTCTATTGAATCTTATTTGAACTGGGAGACCCTTGTCAAAGTGTACGAAAATAGTGAAGACATTGATAAGAAAATTGAGGAGAAGTTAATGATAAGGCATTAAAAGAACTGCAGAAGACTATTTAGAGAGACTAGCTATTGCTGTGGCATTGGACTGTGTCCAGAGAGAACATACCCTATTAAGTGATGCTGTAGAAATCTGGGTAAAACTGAAACTGATGTGAGTATTTAACAGATAAGAAGGATATGGATAATTTTGAAAAAGAATCAAAGTAGCATTGAAACCTGCCCATTTCTAGCTAATGTGATAGATCCAAGGTATCAGGGCAGACATCTGACTCCTGAGCAGCGGACATTGCAGAACAGTATGTTGTCTGAGTCTCTTCCACATTTCCTTTCAACATTAATGTCCTTCCATGGAAGAAGTGCACCATTTAAAGAGGTCTATTTTGGTAAAGATGTTGTAAAATCTTTCACCCCTTGCTTAGTGGCAGTATTTTGCCAATGATATGACAGAAAATGTAATGGATGTTCCTAGGCAATTATTTACAGCTGTTGCCTCATCAGCAGGGGTTGAGAGAATTTTTCCCACATATGAATTTGTACACTCAAAGGTAAGAAATCGCCTAGGACAGGAAAGGCATCTAAGCTTGTCACAGTACATAAGCATTTCCATTTTCAACTAAGCTAATTTAAATATTTTGAACTATTTTTGTTTGTATACAGAATGAGAATATTGTGTTGACTTGAAGTTATTACTGGTAATTCTTAATACACTATAATCCTACAAATGTAAGAAAATAAACTTGTTACCAGTATTATTTTTTACAAATTGAGAATATTATTCTCTTGACTTGAATAAGTTAAGTTAATTTTGAAACACTGTAATCCTATAAGAGCATTTATGTTAAATTTCATTATTACGTTTGGATTTGTGCACTCAAATGTAAGATATGTTACCAGTTTTCTTTTATTTTACAAAAAGAATATTATTGTGTTAAATTCCATTGGTACATCTACTGCATAAAAATCGTAATGCCAATTTTCTGTTTATTATCCTGAATAAGCTTTGGTTGAAAATACTGTTTTTATGGTTTAAAAATACTATTTTAATGCAATTAGTAAAAAATAAAAAAAATTGATTTAAATAAAAAAAAATCCAATTTAAATCAAATAAATCGATTTTATTTTATTTATTTTTTTAAATCATGTTTTTCCAACCCTGGCAATAAGAGGTTAGTCTGTTCTTGTTATTTTGTTATGATCTTTGTTGTCCAGTGCTAGTACAGGAGGAACCAAAGTACAGTATTGTACCCGGAGAAAACCATACATGTTTGGTAGTGTCAGACTGCATAAGATCAATCCCACATCTGTCGTTAGCTGGGAATTGAACCTAAGACACATTAGTGAGAGATATTTGCATTTATCCTCAGGTACAAAACAGTAGTAAGGTTGCTCTTGGTACTCTGTTAATACTGTATATCTCGTTAACCTTTTAGTGCAGGAGGCCCGTAACCCTCATATTTATGGCCGCATGTGGCCCGAAAATTCATATTTTCGACCAGAATGACGGCATCCAAAATATATGATGAACAGCCTGCTGAGTTGATAGGTAAGATAAGGCTGTTTGAATACTTGTTGTTGCAAACACCTAATCTGATACTCTTTGTAAGACCAGGAATCATTATACTGTACCTGGCAGCTGACAACAAACACACACACACACACACAAATTACATAAAGTGCTTGTAACGATTACAGTTGGGATTTGCAGATTATTATTCTGAAACTTAGAATAAGAAAACTTTGTTTTCATTTGTTTTAAATTCTTTTCTTTTTAAGCAGACGAGGTCAGTCATTGTCAGCCATATATTGAGGAGGGAAGTCTTGGTGATACATGTTGTAGCTCCTGGACCCGCAGGTTAATGTCTTGAAACACACTCACAAAACATCAAAGTCATTGTTGGGCTTTTTTGAAGAGTGTCAGATAACACTGAAACAAATATATTTCATAGTGTTTTCAATGTGTTGCCAGCTGATGTATGTAAAAAAAATACTGTACTGCTCAAAACTCTCTAGCACTCACACAAAGGAACTTGTGGAAACAGCTTTTACTAAATTTGAATCATGAGTTTTGGTAATCACTTCCATTGTACATATTTTTACTTACATTTTTTTTGTGACACCAGTACAGTACTTGTCTGAATATATGGTTTAGGTCTGTATTTGTTAATGACCAACTTCATATTGATTTAATTTAAAAAATTTTAGTTTAATGCATATTGCATATTTACACTGAGTGATGGCTGTGGCCAATTACTGAGTTCTTATTTGTATTGTGGATGATTACTATATAAAGGTTGCAGATATCTGCTTCAGAGGGCAGTGGAGCCCTTAGATATCTTATCCTGGCTAATGCCAAATAATTTTATTCAAATGAGAGAAACCCCAGCCTCCTAAAGGGTTAAAACTTGCAATTACAGTGGTAAGGTTCTTCTTGGTGTTGTGGAAATGTAAAATAAGCTTCCCTTTTTTTCGTTTGTTTTATAAGTACAGTACTGTGCTGTACGTTAAGAGTGTTTTACTCAGCTTGGTCACTTTAACCCACACCTATTGGGTACAAAAACTTAATTTAATACATTGAGTATAATGTTATAAACCTTTACATACAATGACCTCACCATTTAAGTACAATGAAATATTTGAGATGCTGTTGTAGTCATCATATTGAAGGGGTTCAGGCAGGCTGTGCAGGTTACCGTATCCACATTTATTGTCCCAGGCAAGTGACTTCTGAAATTTACTTGCCATAACTTTTTTGAACAAATTTGCTTGCCCAGATTTTTTAAAGGAAAAGTTAAGTAAACACTTAAACATTCAAATTTATTGTGTGTATCAGCTCATAGATCATGAATGTCCATCCAAATGGTGTCAGTGGTGGCAACACTTGTCATGTGATGTCGTAACTCCTGTCACCTCACCTAACACCTGTAGGGTGTGTGGAAAGGTGGAGGCAGCACCTGTAATCACCTGTCCTGCCCTAACTACAACTACCACTCCCCTATAATCTGGTGTCAGTGGCAGTAACACTTTTCATGTGAGATCATAACTCCTCTCGCTTCACGTCTGCAGCCTCTCAGCTTTGTGGTTTCTTTGAAATGGTGACAACTTGATACATACTGACCAGAGGCTTTATGTAGAAATAAATTACCTGCACCTGACATAGTTAACTAATTCTGCTACATTGATGACAAGCTGTTCATTGAAAGACCCACCCTGGTTAAACATGTACAGTGAGGTGGAGTCGTGCAACACCTGACGATTTACCGTTTAGACATTTTCCTCCAAAATATTAGCTTGTCCACCGGGCAAATGCCAGGCACATGGACACCAAAAAAATACTTGCCCGGCACCTTGCCTAAAAATGTGCGGGCTGCACAGTCTGGGTTAAGGGTGTGTGAGATGACAGTAACTAAAAATAAAGTTAATTTAAATGAATCATCTCATCAGCTATACTAACCTAAGATGAAAACATTGTAGTTATCAAACATAGAAGTACTGTTGAAGTTTTTCTTACTTTGTATCACACAAGTTGGGGATAATTATTAGTTCAACCAAGTTTGAGGGTATAAGAAAATTAGGTTTCATTGGTGTGCCTGTTTGACCATCTGTTGAAACATATGATTATCTCTCCATTTGATTATCAGTTTAACCACCAGTTTAATCCATTTGACCATCTGTTGAACCTCTTTCCATGGGACCCCTTCTGGGTGAATAAAATTGTCTGGCATTAGTCAAGTAAAACTTAAAAGTGGCATCCCTGTAGTGAAGGGGTTAACCATTTGTTATAGTGATGTTCATCTTATTTTCATTGTGGGGGTATATAATTGAAAACCATTCCAAATGTTCTAATAAAAGCTTATACATATGCAATTGTTTTCAGTAGCCTTTTGCTACTCTGTATTCTCTACTATGTATTTAATAATTTTTTCCATAGCAGGATACAGGTAACTGTGTTTTCTCCGTGAGTATATTTTAACATCTTGTGAGACTTAAGGCACCTGGTGAGAGAGATGCATGTAATCCATTGGAGAGGGAAATAGATATAAATTTTATTGAGGATTAAAGAAGTGTAAAAGATAGAAATATAAGAAGGGAATGACTGATGAAATACAGTGTTTCTTCATTCATCTTCTTCTGCATCACAACCTCTATGATGTATCTTGAATTGCAGTAGACGGTGAATACTGTATGACGTGCGGCTCCGAACAAGTCCATCAAACTCTGGAACCCCCACCGTGGCACTCTGCTCCATACCTATGCTGGCTGGCTATGAAGTTCTAGATGCTCGTGGCTCCAGTGATAACTCGTAAGTGGAGTATAGATGAAAATTTGTATACAATATTATATATATATATATATATATATATATATATATATATATATATATATATATATATATATATATATATATATATATATATATATATATATATATATATATATATATATATATATATATATATATATATATATATATATATATATATATATATATATATATATATATATATATATATATATATATATATATATATATATATTGGGGTTAAGAATGTTTACCAATAGTCGTTTATTTTATAGTTGACAATACAACCCCCCCTCCCTTGCAACTCATTGGCTTAAACGTAATGTTCGATTGATCTTGTTATATCGCAAATAAATTCTTATACCCTGTACAGTATTTTCTCGATTTAACGAACTAATTTGAGTCACCCCTTTCTCCTAAATTGAATTTCCATTATTTTCGCGTGATTCCTTTAAATTTCACCGCTTGGCGCGTGAGATTTGTTTACATCCGCTCAGTCTGACCTGCTGCCACCGTGTGTGTTGTTCACTGCTACCTCTTGTTCAACTAACTACTGTGCTTAGACATCATGCTGAAAGTCTCTTGGAAAGGAAGTGGTGTGGGGGAGAAAGTCAGAAGAGTGCTAGCTGTCAATTTGAAAAAGTTTGGAAATACTGTAATAGAAAAAATTTAAAACAAACACCAAACCCCTAGTTTAGGTAAGCAATGAATAATGTTTCTATGTACACATCATGTGTTTAAGATGTCTCTGTAGGTGTGAGCATATTAACAGAATTAATCTTTATTTAGCGAACTAGTTTACTAAATCGAGCAAAAAGTAACGAAAAAATTCTTCTGCTAAATCGAGATATTGTTATATCAGATTCCGTTAAATCGAGAGTATACTGTATACTGTACAAGATTTTACAACATATAAGATGCACCCCCTGTTTTAGCAGGGAGTATTTAGGACAAAAACTTTTGTGTATATTTTCCTCCTGTAGCCATAGTTTTCTTAAAATAACATATACTGTACAGTACCAGTAAATGTGAGGACTAAATAAAAATAATACCAGTAAATAAAAGCCAAATGAAATTTTAATACAGTTGCCATTTGCATATACTGTACTTACTCCCGACTTCATAACAATGGAGATCAGCAAGGACACTACCTCAGCCTATTCCCTAGCAATGCTCCCTTCTCCCTTCACACTGGGCCATCCTTCTGCTCCTCCACTGAGGCAGCTAACTCGTGTGCAAAGAAATGTATATTCCCTTTATTTGTTTGCCCTTAGGACAATTACTTTTTTTACTCTTTTCAAAATATGCATGTAGGATGGTGTGTGCATGTAACTGAGTAAAAATAAATGGAGAAAGTTATGTATATCTACCTAAAAATACGAGTTGAAAAACAACCATAACGCCTCACGGCTTAGCTCAGTAGCCCGGTGGTTACAGTGACGAGCCTAACCTGGCTACAATGCTGCCAGCGATGTTGACAGATGCAAGTGTGAAATGAAAATTATCAGTAGTAAATCATCATTTGTGTGTTAGGTATTTGTAGATTTAAAAATAAATGTTGCAGATGTGACAATGATAGATTGTAATGCTTGTAAGTGTTCAGAAATGGTTGGTACTGCTTAGCTACCTCAGAAGAGTTGGGTGTCTGCCATACAAATGCTAATCGTCTCTGCTTATCATCCTTTGAACAGTAGTTATATTTACAATAATTATTTTTTAATTAATTAAAAAATAATAATAATGATGTGCTTAAGTAAGCAATAATATAATTTTAATTCTGGAGTTGGATTTGGTCAAATTTAGCCTATTGGAGACAGCAACTGGGGGATTCATTAGCTTACGGAAGACCTCAGCTTCACATGATTATAGGACGTGGGATTTTTTTTTTTTTTTTGCCATTTTTCAGACAAAAATGTGAGTTTTATATACCGTAATACACGGTAACTGCTAAGGATACCCAGTTCTGGCTCATTTTAATGCTGAACTTAATGTATGTAAAGATAAAACTGCTTGAAAACATTAACTTTCAAGATATAAGTGGAAAAAGTTTTAAATAAAGAACATTTACTAGGAAATTCACGCTTTCGTCGAAGAGATGAGGAGAGAGGGGGGCTTCTTAATGTAGTATCATCAACTAAAATAAAATACTGTACAGTAGTTGCCATTTAACCACCACCATCTCACACATAACCACTGTTACTACTTTTTCTTCATCCAGTTTGTGTATGTAAACAATGTAGAATCCCACAAGAAATACACTAATATTTGTTCTCTTAATGCTTGCTATTAAGTTTCACTTCTTAGAATTTGACCTTAATTAAACACCAAGTCCTTATACTGTATACCATAGTTATGTTAACCAGGAACCTTGTGTGATGTTTGATACATGTACCTGTATAAGAAAACATATGAAATGTGGAATTGTAAAGTTTAGAAAACTTAAATTTTTAATGATTTTTGGCTTGAACCATAAATTCTAAAACTCAGAAAATACCTTTATCCCAAATTTGGAAATTGCTTCACTAAGGTAAATAAGTTCTTGTACTGTATATACTTTTTTCATTTTGTCTATTATGTTTTCTTCAGTTTTCAGTAATTACAGTTTATACACATCACTTGGTATATTCCAAAACTTGGAAATGGCTGGTCTCAGTCACTCCCATTTTTTAAGTTCTGCTGTACACGGTATTATCAGACTCTCCTAACAACTAATTCACCTAATAATGGCCACCACAGTTAAGTGTTTCTGTTACCTCTTGTGTGAGTGTATGTGTTATTCCTCACCTCATCATAAATGTTGTCTCGCGTATTTTGATCGAGGGAACCTGCTTCTTAAAATACTTTATCCTCCAAGAGATATTTTGGACTACCCGGTATGTATAAAACTTTTGGTATTTCATCCACTTCTTTTATGAATAGAACAAATGTGTTTCTTTAATAGGATGTTTATCGAAACAGGTCATTTGTTTTCAAGTAAAACAGTTTATTTTACCACCTTTTCTATTAAACTACTCTAAAATAATGTTCTAAGTAGCCAAAATTAATTTAGAAGAAGTGATTACTGTATATTTTTTACTCTTTTGTGTAAGGTTAGACTCATCACAATTTCTTATACTTCAGGCTTATAGGTTCCTGCAGTTTAGACAAATCTGTGATGATGTGGAATGTTAGTACAGGAGAAGCCCTGAGGAAGTTTCGGGGTCATGCTGCCAGAGTGAACTGTGTTGCCTTCAACGAGGAGTCCACAGTAATATTATCAGGCTCTGTTGATGGTACTGTTAGAATATGGGATCTTCGTAGCCGCAACAAAGAGCCTATTCAGGTGGGCAGAGTTTTTGTCTTGGTACATTTTACTTTACACAACCTTACAGTAGTCATGTATTTGTCAATAATGTGTCTTGGGTTCAGATGTTATCCAGTGTGACACTACCAAATGTGGCAGGTTTCCTCTTGTACAAACAATGGACAGTAAAGGTCATAGAGTAACAGAAAACAGACAGACCAACTGCCCAAACAGCTAGTAAACTGACAAGTGGTGAGGTGTTAATAATTTGTTTTGCATTAAACAAGCTGATTGTAAATAATGATATCAGAGTAAAATTGGGTAACAACTGTCATAGGCTAGAATATACCCAAGAGTAAAATGTGGTCTGTTACTCTGACCTGACTGACAAATTCAAGTGATGTTTGAGGCAGTTTATGTTGTTCCCGAACGAAAATCTTCCATTATGTGATGATAGGACATTAATAACTCGACATTAGTTACATCTAAATATATTTATTTATCAGTTTACTAGCTGTCAATCTGTTCTTTGTTACTTTGTGATGATGTATGAGGCCCAGTGTTGGTACAGGAGGAAACTGGAGTACAGTACCCAGAGAAAACCTGTCATGTTTGGTAGTGAGAGTCACACTGGATAACACCCTTCCCACATCTGTACCATGACTATTATTTACCACTAATTAACTTCACTTCATGTCAATGCATTATGGATACTAAATTGTATGAGGAGGTTCTTCATGTCACCACTACAATAACACTTATGACATGAACACTACAAGCTTGAGACTTTAATCCTTTAAGGGGGTAATGGTTAAACCCCATAAGGATTACAGAAATATTTCCGTTAGCCAGAATCCCTCAAACCCAGAACTCTCTGATAGCCGGAATTGAAATTTTCTTGGAAAATTGTTCCCAAAGCCAGAATTTTCCCTGAAAATTCCGACTTAAGGAAAAATTTTCTGAGGGGCACATTTTCTTTAAAATTCCAAGAAAATTTTCCCGATATCCGGAAAATTCCGGGGATGGGGTATTTTTTCCAGCTTTGAGAGAATCGTCTCGTTACCCGGAAATCTCTCATTCCCAGAAGTGCTTTGCACCAATTGTTCCGGCTAACAGAGATATCACTGTATAATTTATTATCCTTTAAGGGGGTGATGCTTGAACCCCTTAAAGATTATAACTTATTATCCTTTAAGGGGTGATGCTTGAACCCCTTTAGGATTATAACTTATCCTTTAAGGGGGTGATGCTTGAACCCCTTTAGGATTATAACTTATCCTTTAAGGGGGTGATGCTTGAACCCCTTAAAGATTATAACTTATCCTTTAAGGGGTGATGCTTGAACCCCTTTAGGATTATAACTTATCCTTTAAGGGGTGATGCTTGAACCCCTTTAGGATTATAACTTATCCTTTAAGGGGCGATGCTTGAACCCCTTTAGATTATAACTTATCCTTTAAGAAACCCCTTTAGATTATAACTTATCCTTTAAGGGGGTGATGCTTGAACCCCTTTAGGATTATAACTTATCCTTTAAGGGGTGATGCTTGAACCCCTTTAGGATTATAACTTATCCTTTAAGGGGGTGATGCTTGAACCCCTTTAGGATTATAACTTATCCTTTAAGGGGTGATGCTTGAACCCCTTTAGGATTATAACTTATCCTTTAAGGGGGTGATGCTTGAACCCCTTAAAGATTATAACTTATCCTTTAAGGGGTGATGCTTGAACCCCCTTTTAGGATTAAAAACTTTATCCTTTAAGGGCGATGCTTGAACCCCTTTTAGGGTTATAACCTATCCTTTAAGGGGTGATGCTTGAACCCTTTAGGATTATAACTTATCCTTAAGGGGTGATGCTTGAACCCCTTTTAGGATTATAACTTTATCCTTTAAGGGTGATGCTTGAACTCTTTAGAATATAACTTATCCTTTAAGTGCGATGCTTGAACTCTTTTTAGATTATAACTTATCCTTTAAGGTGATGCTTGAACCCCTTTAGATTATAACTATCCTGGTGATGCTTGAACCCCTTAAAGATTGAGTAACTATCCTTTAAGGGCTTATGCTTGAACCCCCCTTAAAGATTATAACTTATCCTTTAAGGGCGATGCTTTCTGAACCCTTAGGATTATAACTTATCCTTTAAGGGGTGATGCTTGAACCCCTTTTAGGATTATAATTTATCCTTAAGGGTGATGCTTGAACCCCTTTTTAGGATTATAACTATCCTTAAGGTGATGCTTGAACCCCTTTTAGGATTATAACTATCCTTTAAGGGGTGATGTTGAACCCCTTTAGGATTATAACTTATCCTTATAAGTATGCTTGAACCCCTTAAAGATTATAACTTATCCTTTTAAGGGGGCTTATGCTTGGAACCCTTAAAGATTATAACTTATCCTTTAAGGGGTGATGCTTGAACCCCTTAAGGATTATAACTTATTATCCTTTAAGGGGGTGATGCTTGAACCCCTTAAGGATTATAACCTATCCTTTAAGGGGTGATGCTTGAACCCCTTAAGGATTATAACTTATTATCCTTTAAGGGGCGATGCTTGAACCCCTTAAGGATTATAACTTATTATCCTTTAAGGGGGTGATGCTTGAACCCTTTTAGGATTATAACTTATCCTTTAAGGGGTGATGCTTGAACCCCTTAAGGATTATAACCTATCCTTTCAGGGGTGATGAGTGAACCCCTTAAGGATTATAACCTATCCTTATAAGATAGTTGGAACCCCTTAAGGATTATAACCTATCCTTAAGGGAAGATGTTTGAACCCCAAGGATTATAACCCTATTATCCTTAAGGGGGTGATGTTGAACCCTTTAGGATTATAACTTTATCCTTATAAGATAAGCTTGAACCCTTTTAAGGATTATGCAACTTATCCTTAAGGGGTGATAAGTTGAACCTCCTTAAGGATTATAACTTATTATCCTTATGATGTTTAAACCCTCATGATTATAACCTATCCTTATAAGATGCTTGAACCCCTTAAGGATTATAACTTATTATCCTTAAAGGGCGATAAGCTGAAACTCTAAGGATTATATAACTTATTATCCTTAAGGGGTGATAAGCTGAACCCCTAAGGATTATAACTATTATCCTTATGTAGATGTTAAACCCCTATGATTATAACTTATTATCCTTGCAAGGGTGATGCTTGAACCCCTAAGGATTATAACCTATCCTTGGCAAGGAGGCTGAACCCTTGGCGATTGGTAACTTATTATCCTTTAAGGGTGATGCTTGAACCCCTTGCGGATTATAACTTATTATCCTTTAAAGGTGAGGCTGAACCCCCCAAGGATTATAACTCATCCTTTACAAGATGCTTGAACCCTTAAGATTATAACTCATCTTTTAAGGGGGTGATGCTTGAACTCCCTTATGATTATAACTTATTATTTTAAGGTGATGCTTGAACCCTAAGGATAATAATAAAAACCCCTTATGGATTATAACTTAAACCTTTAAGGGGGTGATGCTTGAACCCCTTATGGATTATAACCTATCCTTTAAAGGGGTGATGCTTGAACCCCTTAAGGATTATAACTTATTATCCTTTAAGGGGGTGATGCTTGAACCCCTTAAGGATAATAACTTAAACCTTTAAGGGGTGATGCTTGAACCCCTTATGGATTATAACTTAAACCTTTAAGGGGTGATGCTTGAACCCCTTATGGATTATAACTTAAACCTTTAAGGGGTGATGCTTGAACCCCTTAAGGATTATAACTTCTTCAGTGATATTGTTCTTAAGGGTATTAGCTTAAGCCATCATCCTAAGAGGGATAATTTTATTTTCAGGTGTTAGATGAAGCAAAAGATGCCATAATGACAGTTGGTGTATCGGCTCATGAAATACTGACAGCTTCACTAGACTGTTACACTCGTATATATGACTTGCGCAACGGTCAGTTAGTGTCAAACTGTGTTGGAGGTAAGATTTGATTTTTTTCTTGAAATTTTTTTATTGATTTTTACAATAAAACTTATACATGAAAAATTGGAAGATTTACCTTTGGTTTAGATTTAAAAAACGTTTCTTTGTTCAGAGATGAATTTTGCTGTGAAATTTTGTTTTTCTGGATTACATCAGTAAGTTGGAATAACAGAATTAGTAGAGTTATTCATATTTTAAATTATGATTGGTAATGTTAGGTTAGGTTCTGCTATATCATGTGAGCCTATGATAAGTTAGATTTGATTAGGTATGCCCTAGTGTGAGGTGTTTGTGTACACAGTCCTGGCTCATCTACTGCTGCCTCCCTTCTCTCTCTATTACCTCATAAAACTTTTACACTACTCAATAAATTAACTGGCATAGCAGCAGCAGCAGTAGTTTTATGAGCTGTATTTAGGGCATACAACACATTGCAGTATGTAGGATATACATCACATAGCAGCAGTATGTAGGACATACCTCACATAGCAGCAGTATGTAGGACATACATCACATAGCAGCAGTATATAGGACATACCTCACATAGCAGCAGTATGTAGGACATACCTCACATAGCAGCAGTATGTAGGACATACATCACTGTAATTCACTATGGTATAGTATATGAATACAGTAGTATAACCTTTTCTTTGTACTGTATATTTCTTGTAAACCAGAAAGTGTGACATGTGCATCATTTAGTGGTGACGGCCAGTGTGTGCTCACGTCCACCATGGGGTCTTCAGTCCGCCTTATGGACCGAGAAACTGGGGAGCTGCTGTCTCAGTATACTGGCCACTTGAGTAAAGAATACAAGGTATATGAAGACATTATATCTTTTTTAAATGTAAGTGATAATAGTGAACGGATAATTAACAAAAGCAATGCTGTATTGCTCAGTAAATTTTGTGTCCAGTACAGTACTGTGTAGATGGCATTACAATATAATTAAATGTACCAGTATGATATATCGTTTGTGAGAAAATATAAACTGAATACAGTGCAGGGATACCTCATATAGCACTCAGGATGGGTTCCGTGTAAACAGGGCACTGTGTGAGATCATTGTAACAATGTTCTAGTGGAGATGTGTTCCAAGCAACTTCATTTCTTACAAATGAGTTCCTGCTTTTGGGTATCGGTAATAGCATTAATAATGATATTTTGAACATCATGAATGTTGAGATACAGTTATTCTCTAACAAAGAAAATGAGTGTTTAATGATGACAAAAAAAAGCGTATACTGTCCTCACAACTTGCAATTTTATATCTATGGTGATGCTGTTCCTTGACATTTAAATTCCAAATCTGAGAGAAAAGTAATTTGTTGGCCAAAATATCTCAAAGGATTTTATTTATTTATTTATTTATTTTATTTTATGGGGGGGGGGGCGTTTTTGTGCTATTCTGGAAGTACCTTTGTATGAAATTTGAAAAAAAAAAGTATGTCTTGACCTCATGTGGCAAAACTCAGGTTAATAAGTCAGGAGATTTCGGGTTGACAAACGGCTTTTTTTTTTCGTAAAATTATTTTATTGCGAACTGTAACATATTTTGGTGAGCCAAACACATGTTGGATTGTAAGTGAAATCAGCTCGAACTATCCTGTTTTACTTAGTGTCAATTTACGAACTAGAAAGGCTTTACAGTATACTATATGTGTTATAAATAAAATCTCTAACCTTGGGACTCATGTCTTTTATATTAGGTAGAGAGTTGCTTCACGTCTTCAGACACTCATGTGATGTCCGGCTCAGAGGATGGTTATGTCTACTGCTGGGATCTTGTTCAAGCTTCTTTGACTAACAGGTAACATTAATTTTTATAAATTTGTTTAACTGCAAAAACCCACTATCGTATACTTATATACAGTACTGTACTGTAAAAGGTGCCACTGCTTGCATTCTGGGAGAAAACAGTCTTATTGTCATTATTACTGTTTCTGTAGACTTATTTTAACTTAACTATACAGTATACTCTCGGTTTAACGGAATACATTATAACGAACTCTCGATTTAGCGGAAGGAATTTTTTCCATTATTTTTCGCTCAATTTAGTGAACTAGTTTGCCAAATCGAGATCAATTCTGTTTATATGTTCACACCTATGGAGACACCTCAGACTCATGATATGTAGATAGAACCATTAGAAACATTATTCATGGTTTACCTTAAGCAACAGGGTTTGGTGTTTGTTTTCAATTTAGATCTATTATTTCCAAACTTTTTTCCGATTGATACCTACACTCTTGACTTTCTCCCCCACACCAATTCCTATCTGAGACTTCTGAGAGACTTTCAGCATGATGTCTAACCACAGTAGTTAGTTGACCGAGAGGTAGCAGTGAACAACACACGAGGTGGTAGCAGGACACAGACTGAGCGGATGTAAAAAAAAACCACGCATCGATACTTTCTTTTTTTTTAACGGGGAATAGCCCACCCGGGCACAGATCATCGACCCACAATGGGGCCTAAGGGGCAAAAAATATAAAAGTAAAAAGAAATTAAAAATAGAAGAGAAAAGGACTGTATTAATCTACACCACAAAGATGCCGGAAGACCGGCTTTTTGAGGTGAGACAGATCGTAAGAGTATGGAAACACAGAAGAAGGCAGAGTATCCCACAGTTTGGCTGTGTGAGAGGAAAGAAGGATGTACTATAACGGGATATTCTAGTGTGACCGACATCCACACAGAAACGGTGGGCACCGCGGGCAAGACAAGTGTTACGAGCCCACAGTCTTGCCGGCGGCACACTGGATGCCGAAAATAATGGAATTTTGATTTGACGGAAAGGGGTGGCTCGAATTAGTTCGTTAAATCGAGAAGATACTGTAGTTGTACTGTATTCAATATGAGTTTTCTTTTTTCCAAATTGAGCCATGAAGGAATAAACACCTAGTTAATATTTTTGTGACAATCCCATACCCAGGTTAATTATAATTTCAATATTTAAATGTATTCCAAGTGTACTGTATAGTATATAAAATAGGAATACTGTAGTTAAAAAAATTAATCAGTGGATTGGTAGTGTGATAACACGACTAAGAGATGGAGCTTTATTCCCGACGTTTAGTGATGAAATGTCAGCAATAAAGCTCAGTCTCTTAGTCATGTTTCCTCCACTACCATCTGTCCACTATGAACAATGTTCAATCAGTGGAATGTTGATGGTGTTTGATGGTCTGCAGACTGGAGCACACAGGCAGTCGTGTAGTGCACTCATTGTCCTCGCACCCGTCCCAACCCTTCCTGTTGACTGCCAGCCTTGGTCAGGTATGGCTATGGTCAAACCAGCCCAACAATACAGAAAATACTTGAGAACAGTTGTATCACAAGTGAATAAAATCACTTCCTACAGGTTTATTGTGTTTTATCAATATCCAATTGCCAAATAAATAATGTTATTCAAAGGCTTTGGATATTTTGAGATAAGTGTTAAACATGTACTAAGCTGAGTCCTCTCGATGATAAAAAAAAGTATGTATGAAACACGATGATCTGATCAGTTTGAAAAATAATAAACTTATTACATAAATCAGCTACAATAGTGATCAAATGTTATGTTTTTAGAATGTGTCACCAGTTTATAATTAATACAGTATCTGCTGTGTTGCTATTGTACAGTGACAGCTTACACAAACACCTTAATAAGATTTTGAAACTTGAATGAAAGGCTCAGTCTTAGTCTCACATGTCTGGAACTGACTTTAATCACCTGCACTTGTGGACTCCACTACAGTACTGTACAACAAGTACCAGAAATAGACAGCTGATATAATCTACAATTAACTCTAGGTTTAGACTTTTAGAGTGTTAAAAATGCCTTTATAAAAGGATAATGTCATTTATGCCAGAGTGTGATACAATATTTTATTAATTACATGTTCTTTTGCTTTTTTTTTATACTGTACTAGGTATAAAAGTTTGAAGTAATTACTTACTCATTTAAAGACAAAACATTTGTTTCATTGTGAAGGTCTATTAACTGTAAACTTCTCTGTTGTCAAAATACACTAAAAAATTTTGCAAGAGTAAACAATATGGTGTAATTATAAACCAAAAAGAACTTAATTTGCTTCATAATCAATCATAATAATCGTTCAAGGTTTTACTTAAGTATAATTATACCAAGTTCATCCTTCATCATGCATGACATCATCTGGCCGGCAGCCCGGGGGGTGGTCTGGGGTGGGAGCTCAGTTACCAGCTGGTCGTCGTGATGTGAAGGTCTATGGCAATGCATGATAAATGCTCTGTATTTGGATGCATATCAAATAACAGACTACATGATAAAAGTTTGAGATTTCATCGATTTCCAAGTGATGAAAGAGAGAAAAAAAGGTTGATTTTATTGTGCATGCAGTAAATATATAGGGTGAAACAGGAGGAAGGGCAATACTTGAGAGCTGTTGGCAGAATTAAATTCCCGAAAGTCTAACTTTCGGCTTGAAACTGTTGTATAGCCTTGTCATCTGTAATATATCTTGTGGCCATATTGATTAATTGAAAACTTTTACACATTTATACATGTATTCACTGGTTTACTGTAATAGCTTTGGGAGAGAGAATGATAATCATTAACAGTTTTATTAATTTCTTTAACTATTTTGTTTAGTTCTTGTATCCCCCCCCCTCATAAATAGCTAGCCCATATGCTTATGATTACTTAATTGCTTTTACACTGATACTGGCAGCAAAATCATAAGAGAATAAATAAGAAGAAAGAGAGGAAGAAGATAATTGTTAATAATAATAAATTTTTAATAAGGATAGGAATATCATAATAATAATGATTACATGAAAATTTCAAGTGGCTAACTGAAAGATAGTGAACTAGGGGATGAGAAAATCAGGAAATTTGGCAAGAATATCCACCTCGGCCAATGACATGACATAATAAGCTTCGCCCATGCATGTCGGTAGACCTGGTTTATTTAGACTTTGGGTTTTACATTATGGTATAAATGTTTTTGAAATTTTTTTATCTAAAACTACAACTTCACAAAACAAATGAGAACAGTAATTACTTGTATCTAACTTACACTCACTGTCTATATTTTACTAGTGAAGCAAATTAGGAGTAACATTACACACAGTTAAACCATTTATGGGAACGTACAGTCGATCAGAAAGCTATCTTTACAAAATTGTGTGAAGACAATATGACAATGGATGAAGGATTTTGGCAATCCTAAGAAGACTCGGGTCACTGTGTTCAATCTGAAATTCATCAATCCCCCCCCCCAAGTACAGATAGGTTTTTGATCGAATGTACAATTCTTGTAGTACAATACACAGTACTGTTAGTAAATAAATTTTGATCAACATATGAAAATCTGTCATTAAGTATGGAATAGATCATAAAGAGTTATGTAATTTAGTATGTTTTACATTAGGTGGAGTCCTTTCTTGTTGAGTGCGATGCAACTTCCTGCAATATTTCACTCCATAATCTGGCTCTCCCATGTAAGGTAGATATATTATACAAGGCAATCTTTATGGAACAAATAGAAGTAGGTTGATTAACAAAAGAGTACTTCTGGAAGTAATGTATCATACTGTACTGTATACAATATACTGTATATCACTTTATGGTTTTGCATTCAAGAGGTCAGCAAAGTTAATTAACACAATATCTATGAACAGAAGTTTTAAGGCAATCATCTAAGGTGTAATCAAACACTTTTTCCTAGATCTAAGTGATACTTACTTACTCTCAGTGTAAACTTTGAAATTTTAAAGTAACTGAGTAAACACTTAATATCAACAAGTTGGTACATCATCAATGAGTTTTGGTGCTACTACTGTTCAGTGACCACACATAAAATTCCTATGAACCAATTGGCATCTTCTTAAACACAATACTTCTACAAAACAATGTTTTAACAGTCTTGTACAGACTTGTTAAATTCAATACTGTATATGCAGTTAATAGTTGTTTTAGTAAGGCTGCTTAACCCTTTCACTGCGGTCATTAATTAATCAGGATATCCTGTGTGCAGACATTTTCGAAAAAAAAAAATTATTATGCAGTTCAAGAACACTGAATTTTTTTCCCCCCAAGATCAAGTATACATATTTCAACTTGGTAGAAAAAATACTTATGTATAATACAGTTGCATTTTTGCTCGTCAGGCACTCACCCCAATTTTAAACTGCATGATCACATATGATATAGCCGCAGTGATCAAGAAAATGTTACTGTATTGTATATGATACAGACTCAGTGAAAGGGTTAATGAGTTATTATTCACTGCTCACATAACACTAACATTTGTAAGAAACAAATATAGAGTAGATAAATTTACAAAAGTGAATGTAGTCGACCATAAAACTGACAATTAATCGCCTAAAATGTTTCACATTGTCAAAAGTTATATAATTTTCATTTTCTTAAGATTATTAAATATTTACGACAAAAAAATCACCTCCCTACAAATATTGTGGTGTAGGGTACAATTCACTTAAAAAGATATGTACCTTGGTTGCTGTCACAACAATGAACACTGTCAATGACTCTGAGGTGATGTATTTTTCTCATTTTACTTCACCTCTGCCTTGAGAAAATATATCTTCTCATTTAACTTTTCATTAATATAAAAAAGCTAAGCTTAAAATTTGTACTTTTCATAATAAAAAAATCATAGAAAATACTTATACAGTATTATAAGTCTATCAACATTATTTCTTTCTATAATCCAAATGGATGACTAAAAGTATGTTTTCCTGCTTCATTTTACACTGGTTCAGTTCTTTAAGTTTCATTCTGAGCTCTCTTCCTATTGGTTTGGAGGATAAGTGAAAGGAGCATCAGCAACAATGTCTAAATAGTAATTCTTAAAGATGGAATACTACAAGGATATAATTAGTGCTTTAGAGTCATCTGATGAAGCCATTTATTAAAAGTATTTTACTATAACTAAAGCCCATCATTAGGCAGTCAGGTTACATTACGTTAGATTTTCTTACATTTTTTTTACTATAACTGCTCAATTTGCACAGAAAACACTCTAGATGAAAAGTTAAATTTTATTATCCAAATAACCATTTCAAAATACCTGCTTCTTCAGAGACCCCAACACAAGTCCTTCTTATTTAATTTTAATGGCTTATTTGTTAGTAAATGAGACCTCTTCATGATATTTGAAAATTAACAGTTCACAAAAAGTGGAAAAATATTTTATATATGACTTAACATTAACTATCATACTGTACTTTGTTTTTAATAATACAGTACCCTGTACTGAAATTTCTAAAAGCTCTTAATAACAGACTGGATCATATGGGCAGCCATTTTCTGTTGATGCTTACACTGGTCACTGACAGCTCCTGACTTGCCACTGTGCATCACGGACAGCACTGCTCACCAGTTGAAGTGGGACAAGTCTTCGATCAGGCCAAGGTTAGAATGATAATGACTGGTGAAACTGTGTAGTGGGAGAATGCTGCAACACTGATTGACACTACTAAAACTGGCAGGAAAATGTGGTCTAAGTCCCTCAGACACAGCCATTAGTATGTGAGGTTTACATGGATATAATTGCAGCACAAGTTTCATGCCTATTATATGGTATAATTTTATAATTTCTTTGATTTATACAGGCAAGATGAGTTTAGGTAACATCCAGGTGTGTCCAATCCTCTTGAATATTTTTGAACTTGAAAGACATCAATTTTCTCTTTCCTTTCACTAAACACTATAGTTTTTGCTCTCTCATAAAGGCTTTAATTACTTTATTAATACTCTAGTTTTTGCCTTCTGAATAAAACTAAATCATTTCATGACATTTCAGTTGTGGTATTGTCATCCTGAACTAAAGCACTTAATCTCTGCACATTCCTGGATCACTGTATAGTACAGTCTTGAGGAGTATAATGGTGTAATGTACTTCAGATACAGTACATCAGGATCATTGTAAAACTCCCCTGACCTTCACACCATCTACCACATCTTTATAATCTTCTTGGGAACTTGAGAGAAGCAAGTAATGATAGTGGGTAAGTGATCAGTTTTAAAGCATTTATGAACAACAACCAAGGTAAAAGCAGCATGTCTGTTGTCATCATTCTGTTTGAAATCATTCCTGGTTGCTCTTAAGATAAAAAAGAAAAAAGATCAAATGAGAGTTTTGGCTGATAATTGAAGGAACATCTTCCTCAGCCTTATAAATATTTTAAGGAGAGAGTAAAATATAGATACTATAACTGTAATAGACACACTCGCATAAAACACCACCATGGCACTTGTGACGTGACGTACTTCACAGGGACAGATCCAAAAATATTGGGGGGAATATGGCAAGCACAGCAATCCCACCCAGCTAGGGGTGGTTTTTTTTTATATCTGACCAATATCATGGGGATTTTGAGGCCATTTTGAAGCCATGTGCACTTGATATTAGGAGATATTCTGAGGTCAATAGTAATTACTTTCTACAACACAAAAATGCCTGAGTACAATACTGCATTAAATAAAATGTATTTCTGATGAAAAGGGGGGGGGGGTGGTCCCAGGATCCCCCTTAATATGCCCCTGCTTCATTTTCCGTCACTAATTCATTCAATACAAATTTTAAAAATAACAAGTTCTACTAACTAATCACTCCCATTTCTAAGAAATATTTGTTCACTGAAATTTGAATACTCTACACAAGTTGATGTTCCTCCATGACAATTCTGTATTATGTAAAACTGTGGAACTTTATTTTACACAGCACAGTTGTTATAAAAAACTTTATACACAACCATGATATCACTTCCTATGAGCACTGAGTTGTCTTTCTCACGCAGGTTCATTATTTTGTTAAGACTCAAACTCCATCCTTATTTTTTAACTAAAGCACTGTTTGGCAACTAGTCAGTGGGTCATTATCTTTTTCAGCTTACTGGATGCTTAGCCTCTTCTTTGTTACGACTTTTCTTTTCCATAGTTTGTTCAGGAGGAAACCGGAGCACCTGGAGAACCCTGCAACATGTGGTATTGTCACACTGGATAACACTTTTCTTACATCTTTACCATGGATAGGGATTGAATCCAGGACATCATAGTTAGAGATACATATTGTACTATTGTACCACCAACACTCTCTATGTCTATAATCAGAGTCATCCAAGTTCTTAGAGTAACCAGTGCATCTGGTCAGGTTCAAGAAACTTCACTTCTCCTTCAAGAGTTGCTGTGCTTGCCTGAAGGCCGGACAATGAATGTGACAGCACACATTTCTATAATATCCCACAAGTTCGATTGGGAATAGATATAATTATGCATCGCATGGTTCTCTTTGATTACACTGAGGTGACTGCTGGTAAACATGTTACAGAAATAGTAACTTAATGCTCTTTACACATCACTCACAACTGATTATGCAACAGATCCTGGAATATATTGTTTGTGACGTTTAAAAGCTTCACATATCCAAGTCTATAACATTGTATAAAAATCACATAAGTACAGTAACATACTTTATGAAAGTATTAAAATAATGAACACATTTGAAATCAAATAAACAAAGCAGGTCATGCAGCAATTGGCTCCTCCATGATGGCACTTTGCATAACAGGAGATTTGTGAGGATCAGGCTTTATCCTGCTTTCTGGTGGGCTTCCTTCAGATATGGAACCTAATCCACTGGAACTTTCAGATAAAGTTCTACCTCTGCAAGCTTCAGGAGATAAAAGATTAGCATATTCTTCGTCACTCTTGGCCTCATTCAAGTATTCTCGCGGCAGAGACCTGGCCGTCGTTTTTACAGCATCAAAGTTCATGTAATGCTGTTGATCGCTGTGGTGCTGGTCAGCCTGGAGTGTTTTAATTTCTTGTGCATCCTCTTTAGTGAGATAATTGTTTTCATCAGTTCTTGGGAAGCCACTCATAATCATGTAATTAGGGTTAGTTTGCATGCATGCTGTTGGGCTGTAGAGGCCGCTGTCGTGCTTTTCCATTTCTGATGCTCTGCGAACCAGTTTGTGACGAAGACTAACAGAACCTTGATGATTTGAAGATAAATGGCCTCTAGGGACATCCTCGATCTTGACAGGCAGTGGGGAATTTTCTCTGCTGTTATAACAGACTGATCTGTTTGTTTTTGATTTGGAGTCCATCTTCAAGTAGATATCATCATCAACTTGATCAGTTTCCTCCGAGTTTTCATTCAGTGCCTCACTGTCTCGTTTTGTTATAGACTTCACAGTTTCTTGGTCAAAATTGAATACATTCTGACTTTGTTTGGATGGAGAAGACATTGGGAGGTAACATGAAGCAGAGCCCTCAGTGTCCACGCTGCCCTCCTGCTGGAGGTAGTCCATCTGCAGGGGTGTGAGACGAGGAGTGTGAGTGTCTGGTCTGAAGTGGACTTCCTCATTCGTGATGACAACTCCACAAGGACTTGGACTGAAAGGCATCTCATATCCATTTTCATCAAGGTTTGGACTCCCATCACGCACTTTGGCAGAATAGTCAGGACTCTGCAGCAAGCTCAAGAAGCTGCTTTCAGTGTTCTCTACTTGGTAAGGTTGGTTCAGCTCCAAGTAAAACTGCAACAGTTTTGGAGTTGTTAGTGATGTGAGGAAAAAGTTCATCAATTATTAATGTATATTACACAAGAACAATATACAAAAAATACTCGAGAATAGATACTATACTACAGGTACCGTATATCACGGCCTATAAAGGCGGGGGTATAAGACGCCCCCAAATTTCCATTTAAAAGTAGCTTTTGAGCTCTATTTGCTGTATAGACCAGTACCAAATGTGACACTTACCCACTGACTCAGTAGTCCTTACCAACCATCCTTGATTTTTTAAAATAAGGCCAATTCACTTCAAGTAATGTCATCAATTATACTCGCTGGTGTAGTGTAAACACTAGTGACGTCACTGAAGGTGGTGAGTGTTCCTCGTCTGGGTGGTGTGACTATTTATACAACATGTGGTTAACAGCAACCACCGTATTCTAATGTGATGTTTCATTAGGATTTGATGAAAAAGGTTACCAGTATACTTACTACATATTTTCATATATATATATATATATATATATATATATATATATATATATATATATATATATATATATATATATATATATATATTTTTATATATATATATATATATATATATATATATATATATATATATATATATATATATATATATATATATATATATACTGAATATACTATGTACAAAAATGAATGTTCAATGAATTATTTATGGTGCATTAGGTACTACACTTCTGATGGGCTATAAATAGCCTTCTTTATCTCCCTACATCTCACCTAGCCAGACGGAAGGGTCTTGGTAAATAACATGTTTGCTTATTTTCCATTTACTTTAAATAAATTTACCGAATTATTTGTTTTATTTATTTATTTATAATATACTGTAATATATTAAACACACTGTAATTATTTTCTTTAATTTATAAACTGTTTTTGCACAGAGAATGTTCTCCAGTAGTGTTTCATTAGGATTTGAGTGAAAAATATTACGTACTTACACAATTGTTCCTCTTACTTTGACAACACAACATACATACAGTATATTATTTCTCAGTTTGATCTTTTTTAATTTTTGTATTTATTTATAGTTAGTTACTTAAAATAAGGCCAATTCACTTCAAGTAATGGCATCAAATATTACCAGCTGGTGTAGTGAAAACACTAGTGACGTCCTTGAGTCTGTAATTAACGTGGTCACTTTTCCTTTCTTGTCTCCTCACTGGCAAATGGGCGTGGGGAGGGGTGTGTTATGATAGCTGTGTTTATACAGGGTATAATCTCTTTACGGTATGTTAGACAGGTTTATAATACATTTTATTATTTTAATATACCGGTAATCTTAATTTGAATCCAGCTTAACGTAAGTTTCAGTATAAATAATTAGTGGTAGACCTTGGAGTGGCTTCTGATGTTTTCATCACACTCTTGACACACTAAACCACAATATTTAGAGGTAGAATTTTAAACTTGGTGGTTTAGCGACCCCCTAACTTTGGGCAGATTTTTTAATGTTCAAATTTCGTCTTATAGGCGTGATATCGAGGTATACACAAATTAGAATTTATTATAAAATGAAAAGAAATACCCCGGTATGCAATATTTCCCAGTCATTGAATAAACTGCTATTTCGAGTATAAATTAATGTTTCAACTGAATATACAGTATAGTTTTGGTAATAAACATTATAAAATCTAAGTGGGGAATAATTTTTATAGAATCTAGAATATGTATGTAAATATTCTTCTAAACTGTTAAATTTGCTTTGCTTTAAAATGTAGAGGATTCCTTATACAGTACAGTATAAATAAGTATACTGTATATAATGGTAGCTCTGCATAAAGGCTTTTTTATATCATACAGTATACTGTATATCATCTTGGCATAACTTACTGCACAAATATTACCTGTCACTAGAGTTAGAAAAACTGTGAAAGTTATTATTATTGTTTAGCATAAGATTAGTCACTGTTATATGAATATTCTTAACAACTCAGTTGGGAACAGCCTAATTGTTCAGCTGTATCACCAGTAAACCTACAGCACACCCTCTCAAATGGGGACAGTCCAGTTGTTTGGGCATTTTACCAGAACTACTTTACACTTTATAAGAAAACTTGTTCAATACTGTGAAGACTTTGTGTTCTGTATATTTTTTTTTTAGGGAGATGTACGTCAAACGACCCTACAGGGGCCTGGGGGCGAAAAAAAAGAACAGAAAAGAAATTGAAAATAGAAGAAGAAAAAGGTTATACAGTACTGTGTTAATCTACACCATGAAGACCGAGGAAAACCAGCTTTTTAAAGTTGAGACAGATTGTATCAGTATGGAAACACAGAAGAAGGCAGAGCATTCCACAGTTTGGCTGTGTGAGGAAAGAAGGAGGTACTATAACGGGTTATTCTAGTGTGACCGACATCCAGAAATGGTGGGCACAGCGGGCAAGGCGTTATTCACGAGCCCGGCCTTGCCGGCTGTACACACAGGATGCCAAATCCACCGAACATTGCCCGTTAAAGTACCTGTAAAAGAGAGAGTGAAGCAACATTGCGGCTTAGAGAGATAGTCGACTAAAGGAGGAGAGTTAATAAGACGAAGTGCCTTTGATTCCACCCTATCTAACAGTTGGACAGAAGAAGAGCCACCCCAGATATGAGAGCAGCACTCCAGGTTAGTACGAATAAATCCCTTATAGGCTTATATACCTGGAGCAACTGCTCAGGCGTGAAGTAGCTTCGGCATCTGTACAGCATTCCTAACTTTCAGGAGGCAGCTTTAGCTATATTAAGGATGTGTGATTTCCAGGACATTGGAGGAAATGGTGAGGCCTAACATATTTATTTCAGAATTTGGCAGGATGATAGCATCCTGAAATGTAATTGGGGGATACGACGCTACCTGTTTCTCTGCTTCTCCCAGTATCTCTCCAAGGCTCTGCTCCAGGTTGGAGAAGGCCGGCCTCCAAAGGTTCATTGTTCCAGCAGTCCAACATGATACGGTACCTGCCATACATAACTTATTAACCATCATATTACAACAACAATCATAGCTGTTTATTAACAAATTATGCATATACTGTTTATATTTTTTTTAATGAAAAATCAACAATGAATAAGAGATTATTGATAATGTTATAATTGGAGGTAGGCAGTTTAAACAGCCTACAACTACAACGGCTGTAGGATTAACAGCACAAACATAGTTAATACTGTACTCACAACTCGTATGTGGAGAATCTTGGCTGTTCCAACCTCTAATCTCCAACTTGGCGACAAAGCTCTCGTCAAACTCCACCATACGATACGGGTTTTGACCGAGACTGAAAATCTCCCACATCACAACACCAAAAGACCAGACATCACTTTGGGTGGAGAAGACGCCATCCCGTAAACACTCCAGTGCTAGCCATTTAACTGGTACAGGTCCCTTTGTAAAATATAAAATTTAAAATACATAATTCAAACTGACAACTTGCCTATGCTTAGGAAATGGAGAAAAAAAGTGAATATATTACGAAAACTTTTGTCATACCTTGCTATAATTTTTAAGACAAAGTTAGCTTACAATTTGATTAGTTATAAAAAGTAATGATTGAGGGATTAAAGGTTAGCTTAGGTGAAGCAAATAATGATGGTAGGTTTAAGGGTTATATTGAATTTATATCTGCAAAATACGTACAGAACTTTTCTTCTTGTAGTTTTCATCTTTATAGATGTCCTTGGCAAGTCCAAAGTCACTAATCTTGACAATGTTCTCTTCAGCCAGGAGAATATTACGGTGGCCAGGTCCCCATGAAGCACCTGGCAACAACATATAGTATTATTATCTTTATTAATTATAACACTTTTAAAACAAGAAATACCTTAAATGAGAAAAAAAAAAAAAAAAAAAAATATATATATATATATATATATATATATATATATATATATATATATATATATATATATATATATATATATATATATATATATATATATATATATATATATATATATATATATATATATAAAACACCATTGTTCTTGATGTTATAAATAATTACAAAAGTACTGTACTCAGATCTTTTTGTGTTTGTTTCATGTTGGCTACTTGTCCATTCCAACACACATACACTAAGTTTCCCACAGTGTAAACTCTTCTAAATTTGTTTGCAAACACTAATGTAGTAATTTTTCTTCTATACTGACTGACCTCCAGGGTCATCCATGTTACCTGCCAATTATGGCTACAAGTACAGTATTACCAGCAAACCTCACCTAACTAACTGAGATAAGTACACATAAATCAAACTAAACTGACAAAAAATATTCTTAATAAAAAAAGAAATTTCATGAGACAGAATTATTAGTGTGGGTGAGAAGAGTTTTACATGCAAAATATAACGAAGACATAACTACTTGTAACAGTAAAAAAGATAATGTAAATAATTACAAACATTTTTATTTATGTAAACTCACATTGAGGTGGTATACCTTAGAATATTTATTTAATAGTGTGTAAGAAAAATAAATTAAATAGGATGTTTTACCTTCTTAAATGCAAGATATTCCATGCCCTTAGCTATCTGGAAAGCCCAGCAAAGAAGATCTTTTGTACAAAAGCTAGCAGGATGAGGGCCAACTGCCCTAGAGCTGACATAGCCATCAGAAGCACCGCTGCTACTCTCTACACCAAAAACAACAACAATTTACAATTATTAATTTCACATAGTAAAGCCATTCATATTTTTCATAGAGCTGAGAGTAAGTCTATAATTTTTATACCGAAAAACATGCATAAAGTTTATTGTAGAGTCAAGCATATTAGTCTGATAAGATACTAGACATGCTAAAGTTTTTTTTTAGTATAGTAGAGTAGTTACTGTAGTTATACCAATGCCAACATAACTACAAACCATTGAATTTAGTAAAGTTATAATTATCAGTGAAGTAATACTTGAAAAGTTTAATATTAGTAAAGTATTAAAAAAATATATACAGTAATACCCCGCTTAACACGGTTTCGCTTAGCGTGATTTCACGTATACGCGGTGCCTCGCCAGAGCCTCACTTAATGCGGGTTTATTCCACGTATACGCGGAGAGTGTCTGGCTGGACGCTATTTTTAGATTCGCCCCACCCCCCACCCGCCACCCTGCCTGCCTGCCTGACTGCCTGTTTTAGCTCATAAAATTCATACAAATTACCCGGTCAGAATATAATTTACATTGCTGGAATTCTTACAATTTGATGATCATTTTGAATATAAACATCATAGATTTTGCATTAGACATACAAATTTTAGATACACCTAGACCCCGACTTACGACTACGTGGACTTACGACCGCCTCAGATATAGATAAAAAAAAAATTAATTTTTTTTTTTTTTTTTAAATGACACGCATTTTCTATACCGAAACGTTTCCAGTTAATGTAGTCTCCATGTATAATTAGAAAATTATGGGGGCCCCATGTGCATTCAGCTGACTACATTAAAGGTTAAGTGCTCAGTCACACTGTATCCATTCCTTATTATTTATTACTTTCACTGTACTGTATCCATTCATCATTATTCATTACTTTTACTGTACTGTATTTCATTGTAGATTTTTTATTAAAAAAAAAAAAAAAAATTTTTTTTTTTTTTTTTTTTTTTTTTATCTATATCGGACTTACGACCATATCGGACTTACGACCTGGATTTGGGTCCCTAACCCCGTCGTAAGTCGGGGTTTAGGTGTATAATGTTTACTCTGAGTAAATATGTTATCTTTTGTGCAAAATATATGACATTTATATTCAAAATATTCCTGGTCTTACAAGGAATCCAGCAATGTCAATTATATTATCCTAACTTTAATCTGAGGTATTATTTAATACTAAATGTTAAAATTTAGTTTTTTCACCCAACATCTCTTGAAGGGAGGATTGGTGGGGGTGGGGGGGAGGGTTGGGACCAACCGACCATCTGGCGCTTGGAAGAGGGGGGAGGCAAGTTGGGGTACTTTGATTGACAGATAGTGTCGTGAAGAATATTTTTTTTTTTATTAACTGAAGATATTTGTTTTAGCTCATAAAATTCATACAAATTATTCGGCCAGAATATAATTTATATTGCTGGAATTCTTACAATTTGGTGATCATTTTGAATATAAACATCATAGATTTTGCATTAGACATACAAATTTTAGATATAATGTTTACTCTGAGTAAATATGTTATCTTTTGTGCAAAATATATGACATTTATATTCAAAATATTCCTGGTCTTACAAGGAATCCAGCAATGTCAATTGTATTATCCTAACTTTAGTTTGAGGGATTATTTATTAAAATTTAGTGGTTTTCCCCCAAAAATTTCTCAGAGGGAAGAGCCAGTGAGTGTAGTGTGAGAAGAGGGGGAGGGAGTTGAGTCCATTATTTGAATGGACATTAACTTGGCGACTGTATTTCTCTATTTCTCTTAAGTATTAATTGTGTGCATGTACCATCATAAAATTAAGATGTTATTTTTACTAGAACATAGGTATTGTGTCGGAAAAAGTGGAGTTTGGGGGTCGGGCCAGTTTCTATTGGAATTAATCCCATATGTTCTGTTGTTCACTTAGCGCGGGTTTTCACTTAACACGGTACCCTGTGTGTTTTATTGACCGCGTTAAGCTTAACGCGGGGTACTACTGTATATTTTTATGCCAATGATTTACCACAGGTGAGGGTGCTCATGTCTGAAGTTACATGGTGGTGGGAGGAGGAGGAGGTACTTCTTAAGCGGAATGGTCCCAGTGAGTCGCTGTTAACACCAGGAGTGAGTGGTGGAGAGCCCGGAGACTCCCACAGAGCCTGACCCGAGTGATTGGAATCTGATATCTGTCCATTATTGTAATGAACAGCATCTTGGTTGAAGGCCAGGTGGGCGTACTTTAGCCCACGAGACGTTCTGCTCCTGTGGAAATGAAGAAAGTCACTGAGCTAGACAGTCTCACATGTTTCAAGTAAAAAGTTTAGTGAAATCAATCACTCAAAGACACATCCTTAAGTTTGAGGGTACTGTACCTGCATTGTTTATATGCATGGTAAGCTGTTCTGTGTACCTTCATTGTCTATATATATATATATATATATATATATATATATATATATATATATATATATATATATATATATATATATATATATATATATATATATATATATATATATATATATATATATATATATATACACAATGAACTAATTGTAAACTTGTAAGATGATTTTGCTGAACAAATATCTATCTACTAATCAATTTTATTAATTTGTTCACCGACCCTGTTGGTTTATGCTTTATTACGTGAACAACATGTGAGTGCGGCCATATGGATGTTTCAATAAATACAGACAAGTGGGAGTCACATACCTTGACCCCGAGCCACTCCTCTGCCTTATTCGTTGATCACTAATCGACGGGTCAATCTTATCCTCGTCGTTAATCTGATTCACAAATTCCTTACGACGGCGACGCATGTAGTCGAGAATGTTGCCATATTTGCAGTACTCCACCAGGAGAAGCAGTTCACCTACAACACAACATAAAAATCTTATTGTCCATCTTTCCTCATCACATGTGACCACCAGCCAAACTTATCAATTAAGGGAATAAAATTGTCATAAGAATTTAACCTAAGTAAGTCTCTAAATCTATCTGTATTCATTTCATTTATTCAAAGTCACTCTCAAGGTTCCTAACTTTCCTACATCTCACTTGTTGAATTTTTTTTGTTAAGAACATAAATATGGAGATAATGTGTGGATGTGTGCCATCATTGGTAACTAAAAAACCTTTATACAGTATATTTGTTATAAAGTTAACATAGATATATAAGAAGGAGAAAGACTGTAAAATTAAGAGACAATTAATTCTGCTTAAGATGTTTATTTAATATGACAGAGACATGCCACTGTTGTTTACCATACATTATGTACAGCTGACTGGTGCAGGCTAACATAGGCATACAGCTTACAAGAACAGTAGCTGCAACGCTAATTACTTAACACCCATGACTTTTTTATGGAAATTTGTGGCGTTTCCCTTATTCTGAAAGTAGTAAAGCAGACACACATTAATTTCCAATTACAAGAAAAAAATCAGTTTTGGCCATAAATCTCAGTACGTACAGGTAATCCTCGACACACTTATTAAGGAGCTGTGGTCATAAAGTTCAAATTTTGGAGGCAGCATGGCCAGATTTACTCTCAGGCATAAACACTTTCCCAATAAAAATAAGCACCAACAGAAGGTCATCACTATAACCACAACACCCCCCATAAATGTAAAAACTCCTTCACACAGAAGCACAAGAGGCCAGGCTGTTGTACATCCTTATTAAATCAGCTGCTGCTGCATGATACTTGGCAAGTTTCCTCCTGCACTATCACTGGACAATAAAAGTGACTAGTGGTAAAATGAAATATAAATAAACACAATATAAACAAATAATAAGTAATTACCTTTTGAAGCCAAATCCTTGGAGCAGGCGCCCAGCAGGTTGACAATGTTCACATGACGTCCAATGTGGATCATAATCTTCACCTCTGACCGTAGCGCTTTTAGCTGAGCGTTGTCTGTCCGTGACTTCATCATCTTGACGGCTACGGTGGTGCGAGCCTGGCCAGGGAGGAGGTTGATTGCTGTGGCACGGTACACTCTTCCAAATGCTCCAGCTCCAAGTAGTTTGTCTGAGTGCATTTTGGTAATATTACTCAAGAATTCATTAAAAACATGGTATAAATTATACTGGTGTAATATAAATCTTCGAGAATAAGGTGTAAATGTATTTTTTTTATACATAATACAGTACTGATCAGTATATAACATATTCTAAACAGTTTGACAATTGTTTTTCAAAGAACAGTACAATACTGTATACACTATACATATTTCCAACTCAAGGTTCCACTAGTGCATAAGTCAGTACAGCATTGTATATCTTCTACGAACAAACTGAACTTATGTTAAACCCTCACCCACAGCAACAACCCCCAGGAGAGGGTGATCCTAGTGGTCAACTGAGTACAACAGCTTCCTCTACCACGGTTAACACTATACAGTAATACAACTAACTTTCATTAAAAGCCTTCAGAATTGTGAATAACTCTGACAAAAAAAACAAATATTAACAGGTAAATTGTTACTGCTGCTCCTGAAACCATTTTACACACTGACTGTCATATAAATCTTCCTCTCCACTACAGTAAACCCTCCCAGTACCAGACTAATTCTTCCAACCCCTGCCCATTATTAGGAGTATTGTTTTTGAGAATATCTGCTATCAAGAAGTCCACTATTAAGAGGGTCTACTGTATCTATTACTTTGAGAAATCTGTTATTGAGAGGGTTTACTGGATCTACCGTATAGCATTATTGAGAGGGTTTACTGGATCTATAACATTATTGAGAGGGTTTATTGGATCTATAGCATTATTGAGAGGGTTTATTGGATCTATAGCATTATTGAGAGGGTTTATTGGATCTATAGCATTATTGAGAGGGTTTATTGGATCTATAGCATTATTGAGAGGATTTACTGTATAACATAATACTTTATCTCACCAAAGATGATAGAGTCCCGTGGCACTTCATACTTGGTGTTGTAAGGAAGGAGCTCCGCCTGTTGGTCTAGACCGATCTCAGGGTTAAGTCTGTCTGGGTCGCCATCATTAAACAACTTTTGCTCCTTTAGCCGGAGGTCCAGTGTATGTTTCTGTGTGATGCAGTACAGTATATAGTGATTGATCCATGACGACAAGTGGAATTGATGGGTGGGAGGTGAACACAGAAAAGAGCTAAGTTTCTTTATTCCTCTTAATGTTTCAGGCTACACAGAACCCATCTTCAGAGAGGAAATGGGTTCTGTGTAGCTTGAAGCCTTAGAAGGAATGAAGAAACTTAGCTCTTTCCTGTGTTCACCTCCCACCCATCACAGTATATAGTGTCTTATATCTTTCTTTATCTAAATTAATTTTAGTCAATAATATTCACGTGATGTCTTAATTTTGTATAAATAGGGTGCTCATAAATCAAACGACCCATTTTAAACATTATAACTTAGTAGGCTTCCACAAGTGCATTGTGTTCTACCTATAATATTACTGAGGATAGTAAAGTTGTACAATGGGTGAGATAATGCCTGTACAGTTACTCACCCGGTCCTGGTAGATCTTGCGGCAGAAGACGGCACTGATGACCAGCAGGATGAAGCTGAGTACACCCACAATGATCAGGATATTTTGGTCAATCACATCATCTGGATCAGTAACCCCCACGTAACATTCGGCTGTCTTGGTTCCTGCTCTGTTCTTAACCTGTATTATCACAAATAAATTACTTATATACAACATACAGTACATAAGTCTTAAGACAAAAATATAAAAAACTGTATTGTATAAAAACATTTTGTTACAAATCTTAAAAGAAATACAGGTATAGATAAATATTATTAATTTATAAAGTAAATCATCATACAAGTTTATAACTGTTTTAGCATGAACATTCGCTCCTAAAATTATCTTTGCGATTTTGTGTGAGACAATAAGAAAACAAGGGACGAAGGTTATTGACACTCCTTCCAAGACAGCAGGAGTCGCAGTGTTCAATTTGAAATTCATTGAACCCCTCCATAAAGATACTTTTTTTGGAGTGTGTGTGTGTGTATATATAGACAATGCAAGTATATAGTCCAACATGTATATAGACAATGCATGTATATAGTCCAGCATGTATATAGTTCAGCATGCATATAGACCATGCATCTTTTTAGTTCAGCATGTATACAGAAAACATAGGTATACAGTTTATCATGTACAATATATAGACAATGCAGGTATGCACCTATCACTTGCTTAGCTTTCAACATGTATATAGACAAGCCATGTATATAGTTCATCATGTACAATACAATGAAATATACAGTATATAGTCCAACATGTATATAGACAATGTGCATGTATATAGTTTATCATGTACAATACAATGAAATATACAGTATATAGTCCAACATGTATATAGACAATGCGTATATAGTTCATCATGTACAATACAATGAAATATACAGTATATAGTCCAACATGTATATAGACAATGCAGGTATACAGTTCAGCATGTATATAGACAGTGCAGGTATACAGTTCAGCATGTATATAAACAATGCAGGTATACATTTCAGCATGTATATAGACAATGCAGGTATACAGTTCAGCATGTATATAGACAATGCAGGTATGCACCTATCACTTGCTTAGCTTTCAACCAAACAGCCACTCTCCACACCAACCACAGCCACCACTTGTCTGTAAAGATTTGCAACCCCCTCGCTCTCCCAAGAAGAGTACAGGCCAAGCCATGCAGTACAGTAAAAAAAAAATCCTGTACACACTGAGATTCATTCTTCAAATGACTCACACTTCATACAGTTAGACACTTCACACGTTTCATACTGAGACTTACATGACTCATACTCAATGTTAGACTCACCTCACGCCTCTTCCCAGAATCAGTGGTCTTAGAGATAGTTAAACACTATCTTATTGCTTATAATGTGTCTGTGCTTTTTGTGTCTTCACCAACTTTTACCATCCTGAAAAAATAAATAATATATATATATATATATATATATATATATATATATATATATATATATATATATATATATATATATATATATATATATATACTATATAAATAATATATATATATATATATATATATATATATATATATATATATATATATATATATATATATATATATATATATATATATATATGTTTTGAACATCAGCTGATGGGGTACTCAACCAATTCAGTAATCTGTTCTATGTTTATATTTGCTTCCAATGGAGTAAATATCAATAAAGTTGTGCTTTATAATATTTATGCATGTTTTCTGTTAAAATTGTTAGTCATTTTAACATTTATTTAACTTATTGATAATATATGTAGTACAGGGAACTAGTTAGTTGTGCACCCATCAGATGCATGGGTCAGCCACCAGTTGTCAGTCTGGCTTTGTTTTCTGTGGAAAGAACACCTATTTTGTTGGTGTCTTGAATATTTTTGCATTTTTCATTGAAATTATTGGTCATTCTGAACTTTAGTTAACATATTGATAATATATAGTGCAGTGTTGATTTAAAGAAAATAATCTTGAATTACACCTAGTGAACTTAAAATTTTATTGGTGAAATGAGGCATTAAGCATGGGTCCCCTGAAAGGTGATCTCTCCTCCATCCCCATTTCCTTCTCTTCTCCTCCACCCTACTTCTAATTCCCAACATCATCATCAACCAGGAGCCTTCTACATACACACCTCAAAGTAAGTATACTTTATTGCATTTTTTTATACTTTGTATGTACTTTTCGGTGAGCTGGAACCAATTACCCATTATCCCATTGAAACAATGGATTCAGTTAACGAACGACCTTCTGGAATGAATTGTGTTCGTTAACTGAGGGACCACTGTATATATATATATATATATATATATATATATATATATATATATATATATATATATATATATATATATATATATATATATATATATATATATATATATATATATAAAATCTACGGGAAAATGGAAATATGAGAATTGCCTTAACTTTAAGTCTTTATTCAAAGACATCTTCAGAAGTTATATATATATATATATATATATATATATATATATATATATATATATATATATATATATATATATATATATATATATATATATATATATATATATATATATATATATATATATATATATATATATATATACAGGTTGTGCCTCTCTGGTCCAGCGTCTGTGGTCGAGCGATTTTGGATTTGTCCATGCAGTGATGCAGATAGGAAGCTTTTTTGTTTTTTGTTTTTCCTTTTTTTTTTTTAACTTATCTGAATTATTATTATTATTATTACAGGAGTATTAAATTTTTGCTCCTCAGGCCCCAATGTGGGTCAGTGACCTATGCCCGGGTGGGCTAATCCCCTTAAAAAAAAACAAAGCCGCGGGAAATTAAGGTTTGTTTACATCCGTCAGTTCGGCTGCTCTCTCTCTCTCTCTCTCTCTCTCTCTGCTTGTCTATACAGAGTACAACATTTAACCCTTCAATATATATGAGCAGTAAATAAGTGTTGCTTTCATATTCTTATGTAGAGTAATGACGATATGTTTTCACATGTGCGCACTTACATACGCGCAGTCTCACTTTTTCTTTTTACCATTAATGGTTAGCTACTTATATTGTTCCATTTATTAGCATTAAATAACATTACAGGTACTTCAAACAACCATATTAATTTTTTTTACATTAATTTTACTACAGCTAAAATCAGGGTCTTATTTTCTTCAGTTTTATATGTAGAACCAATCAGTCACTGGTTTTGTAAGCTTTAACATAAACAATGCCGGCAGCCGTCTCGTCTCCTCTAATATTCCACGTATTATTAATAAATTGTATTGTTAATTTTGCACACAAACATTAATTCAATAAAAACAAATTCAGAAACATTAATTAAAATATATATGAACAGTAAATAAGTGTTGCTTTCATATTCTTATGTAAAATAATGACGATATGTTTTCACGTGTGCACATGCGCACTTACATACGCGATCTCTCTTTTTTCTTTACCATTATCATTAGCTACTTCTATTGTTCCATTTATTAACATTAAATAACATTACTTAAAACAACCATATTAGTTTTACTACAGCTACAACCAAGGTCTTATTTTCTTCAGTTTTATATGTAGAACCAGTCAGTCACTGGTTTTGTAATCAACGAAAACAATGCTGTCTCATTTCCTCATGTGTTTTAATATTCTACGTATTATTAATGAATTGTATTGCTCATTATGCACTCATAAACATTAATTCAATAAAAAAGACATTCAGTAATAAACAATAATGAATCTTTTGTACATAAGAGAAATAACGCTGTTTACACGATTATGCACGTCGTCTGCACATTGGCAGGCCGTTCAAACCCTTCGAAATTCAAGTTTCCGCCTTCAAAATTTTTATTTATTTATTTTTTGTGTGTTCCAATAAAATACATTAAGAATTAAAAACTCGCGAAATTTGAGAAGCTACTATACGACATTTAACCCTTCAATATGTCTTCAAAGATACCATGATGCATAGAAAGTGGTGCTAGTGCTTCCAAGCATAAGCACAAGTCACTATCTATCCAGGAAAAGGGTGAATTTCCATGGTCCGGCCCCGGTCAGGTCCCGAGGTTGCCGGACTAGAGAGGTACAACCTGTATCAGAGTTTTTTAGTTACCTACACAGTGAAACCTCTATTTAACAGACTACAATCCATGAATAAGAAACTTCATTATATTGAGGGTTCTTTAGATGAGAAACCCCCATCTAATGGACTATTTAGAGATGAAAGTCCATTAAACAAGGGTTCATTAGATGTGGAACCCCCATCTAACGGATTATTGGAGAGAGAAGTTCATTATAATGGACTGCACTCACCTATGTAATCTGTTTTATGGAGGTTCACATCTAATAGACTGCACTTTCCCATATACAGTACAGTAGCCCATTAAATAAAGGTCTCACTCTATACAGTACATATAAATATGGATGGTATAACAATTATTGTGCATTGCTATATCTGCGTTGGTTGTTTACCTTGTACCAAGTGACCACTGGGGCAGGGGCGCCATCAGCACTACAGTCAAGGGTAAGGTTGCCCATCTCCTTGAGGTTGACATCTTTCAATGGTGAACCTATGGGGTTCTTCCACTTAGGCTTCTCCATTGCTGAGGAATAACATTTATCATAAAGAATAAAAACAGTCATTAAAATGTTTGAACAGTACTGTATGTCCAAAGCAATAAATTTTGAATTTTGAAAAATGGAAGGTTAAAGTATTTTATTGGGCCAGGATGGATGAAGCAGGATCATTAAATATTACTTCAAAGAGATTATTACATTTATAATCTAAGTACTAATGTACACTATATCATTAATAAATAATTTATTATAAAGCAATAAAATGGTAAAACATAAAGAGAAAACTAAATTGTCACTAACGATTAATCTGGATACTGCGGACGGCTTCCAGAGTGGAGTTATCTCCGGTCATGCAAACTAACTCCAAATTGTTTTTCTCCATCGTCACATTCTCAATAGTGAACTTGGAGATGTAAGAAAATTCTGAGGCATTCTCTGAAACTTTTGTACAAGTAGTTTTAATATCATTTAAGTTAGAGTTCACAAATTACAAAAAAGTTTATCTGAAATTATAAAAATATGAATGTTAGCTATACTGTACAACTTCACATTTCTCTCCAAAGCTAAAAGAAAACAACCACAGAATTACCAAGTGGTTATATATTTTCTCTAAATAAACAATAAATGAGAAAAAGCCTCTTCACTTAAGTTTTTTCAAACAGTATAGTATATACTGTATTCATTCACCATAACATTATGACGAGGCAAATCAATATGAAACTACTTGTACTAGATACGATCACTGGGCTGTTGGCGGTACACAGCTATAACATGCATAAAAAAAGAATAATGGGTCCTGGGTTAAAACACTAGCCTCTGACAGAAGTGAGAAGGATGTTTGTTATATAGTGTGAAACTACCAAACAGGGCAAGTTATCTCCAGGTACTGTACGGGTACTACAATTTCCTCCTGTACTTACACTGGAAAATAAAGGTCATAACAGAGCAACATAGAAGAGACTAACTGATTGAACGGCTCGTATGCTAATACCCGGAAGAGGTAAAATTATATACCTGTATACCCTGTTTAAAAAAATAAATAAAAAAAACAGTGTAGGGACTGATTAAACACAATAAAATTTACCAGTTATATATTTAAAATAAAAAAAAACTTACTGTTGCTATGCCACCGACTCTCATTCAGCGGCTTGTCATTCAACTTCCATTTCAAAAGCCTGCTGATGAGGAACTTGTTGGCCAGACACCGGAAGGTCAAGTGGTCCCCCTCCAGCACCACCACCTCGTTCTTTCCAGCTTTCTTTTCTCCATTTACCATGACTTCCAGTGACACCTTAGAGTTGACATCATCACTCTCTGTTAGATAGACATAACATATATATATATATATACAGTATTACCCCGCCTAACGCGGTTTCACTTAACGCGTTTTATCATATACGCGGTGCCTCGCCAGAGCTGAACTTTCACTTAACACGGATTTTTTCCACATATACGCGGTGAGTGTCCGGCTCGAGACGCTATTTTTAGATTTGCGCCACCCTGCCTGACTGCCTGTTTTAGCTCATAAAATTCATACAAATTACCCGGCCAGAATATAATTTACATTGCTGGAATTCTTATAATTTGGTGATCATTTTGAATATAAACATCATATATTTTGCATTAGACATACAAATTTTAGATAAAAATTTTTCTCAATTAACTATGTTATCTTTTGTGCAAAATATATGACATTTATATTCAAAATATTCCTGGTCTTACAAGGAATCCAGCAATGTCAATTATATTATCCTAACTTTAGTTTGAGGTATTATTTATTAAAATTTAGTGGTTATCCCACACATCTCCTTGGGACGGTTGGTGGGGGGGGGGGGGAGGGAGGGACCGACCGACCATCTGTTACCCCGTGAAGAATTATTATTTTTTTTTATTAACTGAAGATATTTGTTTTAGCTCATAAAATTCATACAAATTACCCGGTCTGAATATAATTTACATTGCTGGAATTCTTATAATTTGATGATCATTTTGAATATAAACATCATATATTTTGCATTAGACATACAAATTTTAGATAAAAATTTTTCTCAAATTAACTATGTTATCTTTTGTGCAAAATATATGACATTTATATTCAAAATATTCCTGGTCTTACAAGGAATCCAGCAATGTCAATTATATTATCCTAACTTTAATCTGAGGTATTATTTAATACTAAATGTTAAAAACCCTGGAAGGGAGGATTGGTGGGGGGTGGGGGGGAGGGTTGGGACTGACCGCGCGGTTGGAAGAGGGGGGGAGGCAAGGTGGGGTACTTTGATTGACAGATAGTGTCCTGAAGATTATTTTTTTTTTTATTAACTGAAGATATTTGTTTTAGCTCATAAAATTCATACAAATTACCCGGTCAGAATATAATTTACATTGCTGGAATTCTTATAATTTGGTGATCATTTTGAATATAAACATCATATATTTTGCATTAAACATACAAATTTTAGATAAAATTTTTTCTCTAGGTAACTATGTTATCTTTTGTGCAAAATATATGACATTTATATTCAAAATATTCCTGGTCTTACAAGGAATCCAGCAATGTCAATTGTATTATCCTAACTTTAGTTTGAGGTATTATTTATTAAAATTTAGTGGTTTTCCCCCAAAAATTTCTCTGAGAGGGAAGAGCCGGCAGTGTAGTGTGAGAGGGGGAGGGAGTTGAGTCCATTATTTGAATGGACATTAACTTGGCGACTGTATTTCTCTATTTCTCTTAAGTATTAATTGTGTGCATGTACCATCATAAAATTAAGATGTTATTTTTACTACAACATAGGTATGTGCCTTCAAAAAGTGGAGTTTGGGGGTCGGGCCGGTTTCTATTGGAATTAATCCCATATGTTCTGTTGTTCACTTAACGCGACCTCTGGGTTCAATTGACCGTGTTAAGTACAATCTGTATATATATATATATATATATATATATATATATATATATATATATATATATATATATATATATATATATATATATATATATATATATATATATATATATATTTCAGTTGCCTCTGAAGATGTCTTGAATAAAGACGAAAGCTAAGGTGCTCCGTTGTTTTCTTTTTCCGTGTAATTTTATCAAGATATATATATATATATATATATATATATATATATATATATATATATATATATATATATATATATATATATATATACAGTATATATATATATTCAGTAAAGTCATCATGCAAGTTTACAATTGGTTTAGGATGTACTGTATGTAGGTACAGTATACAGTTGAGAGCAGGTATACTACAATGTAGTCATGGAAAAATGTTGTCAGTCCTCCATCCCAACCATGATCCCTGAGACTCATGAACCTGTGAATCCAAGACATTACACAATGTTGGGCCCATACATGGTACTGATACGTGAGGTGATAAATAAACTCTTCATTCAGGAAGTTTTATCAGAAAGTAATCTTCACAAAGATGAAAGATATCTATAATAACTTAAAAAATAAAGTACAGTAACATAAATACAAATACCTGCCTTATAAATAAAAAAAATGATTTAAAGTTGCTTAAAAACAATAATAGTAATAATAAAAAAATAAAAACATGAAAAAGATGGTTGGACTCACCAGTCACTAGAAACTTGAGAGGATCTGAGGACACTGTACCGTGTTCATTAGTGGCAACACACCTGTCAGAGACCAGGGCATAGCATACAACTATTAATGTCAGTAGATTAAATTACTGTTAATAACCTTATATGTACTGTACTGTACTATCTACATTTGTATACAGTATATCTATTCATCTATCTACAGTACAGTATCTAACTTACAGTGCATTATACAATAATCTGGTAATCTTTATTCTTAACCTGCCCTAACCTATTACCAATATAGTACAGTATAGGTAGATAGATAGTGTAACCGCTCAATGAGTGATGGTGGGATAATGAGACCCTTGCACGTAGGACTCGATTGTTCTTTATTCGGTCAAAACCTGCAGAGTACAAATTACATATGTTACGTATGAGATAATTAATTCACTCGTACGTTCCTTCACTGTTAACTTCATATAGTATATTTGAGTAGAGTAGGGTGTAAAACCATATAAAAACTTACGTTTTTTGGGTCTAATGTAGGATCTATTAGCTCCCTGACTTGATAGCTCACTGGATCGATCGAGACTAGTCGAGCTAGTCAGCCCGAGGCGTGGGCCATCTGTTTCACATTTAACACCTCAGCAAAGCTCGTTGTCAATGTCATGGTCATAATGACATGGATAGTCTGTTAAAACCTAATAATTCAAATTACGCTCCACGCCCACAAAACCTGTAAACCTTTTGAGTCTCCCAGTTGAAACAGTCGTTCTCTAACCACGTCAGGAGATCTGAGTCCTCTGTTTTCAATGTCATATTACCGGAGAAACTCAAGTACAGTATACAGGGTGTACCTAAATTCTGCACAGGGTGTTCATGCATTTGAATTGATAAGAGAACACCCTTGCTTTGCGTCAACTTAGAGATGTGTGATTGCAGATGAAGCATTTAAGATCCGTTGTGACTGATGTTGAAAGCTTCAATTGTATTTACTGTAGCGTAATTGTTAATATAAGTCAGGGTAGAGTCGGCAGTGAGAGTGAGGTATCATTGACGTCGGCCCTCGTGAGCGTCATATTTGTTAATGTTCGGTGGTTGGTTGATGCTCTACCAACATTCACTTAAAATCCAATTATAAATTTATATGAGCCCTAGAACAATGGATGTTAAACGTGCATTATACACTAATATTAGTTGTGGTCACAGAAAGAAGAGGACAAGTATTACTTTACCGGGTAGAAGTTAAATTAGATGTGGTAAAGAGATTTGAAGAAGGACAGAGCTGTGGACAGCAAGAGCTGTTGGTTTGCAGCCTACAACTGTAGGTAAGAACAATTTGTGGAAATTTGTGGGTTGGTTATAGCATGGGTCAGTTATTCGAGGGTCTGTTAAACGAGGGTAAATTTGCATTAGTGCAAACAACTCTTAGAAAGTCAAAACTATGTTTTTCTCGTGTATTTTTTGTGTTTTGATTGATTTCCGTCGAAAATTACCTGTTTAGTAATCGGAGATTTTGGGTGGGACGTTTTCCGACAAAAATCATGGCCAAACCAATACATAATACACCAAAAAACACTAGAAAAACATATAAACCTACCCTAACTTAACTTAACCTGACCTGACCTAACCTACCCTAACTGTCACCATATGATGGAATCACTTATTTCTTACCTTATTGTCCTGGTTCATGCCAACTATGTTGGTCTTGACAATATTTACACTTCTTATTACACTTAGAACACTTTACTGAGGTCAGGAGAACACCATTAGATCTAAAAAATGATATAGCTTGTTTTTTGTTTTATCTCCCCAAATTCACAATTAACTCCATATAATTGAAGTGACACCCATAGCAGACTTATGTGGTCGGAAATGAATTTGAATTTCGAAATATGAGACCCAAAATCACAATCGAATCTGATTGGGCAAAAAATACTTGAAAGTAAACCACAATTAATTTTAATTGGTGCCCCCGGCCAGGGGGGGCAGCAGTGCACCCTCCACCCACTCAACCCCCCACCCGGGAGGCGGCACCAGCTCAGCCTACCGGACAGGAGGGAACGAGCGCCGTGTAAACAATGACATTTCTAACCACACCCTGCAAAATACAGTGTACTTAGCAAATGCTGCAGCTTCTGAGAATGTGGGGGAGCGGGTTTATTACTAAGAGCAGAGACGTTACCGAGAACAAATTCTGGCTTGAATGTCATGTACACTAATACTGACACGTTCCTTGATAAGAGAGAGGAGTTTGAAACACTACTAAGAGTACACCAACCAGATATTGTAGGAGTTGTAGAACTGTTGTACAAGAACAGGAGAATTGACCCAGAGGAATGTGAGTTCAGTATTGCTGGATATGACTCATTTACGAACCTAACTCAAGAATCCTGCAGGAGGGGTGTGGTTATCTACGCTAGGCAAGACCTTAGAGCCAGCCAGGCGAGGGTACAGGGAGAGGATGTTTTTGAAGAGTCCAAGTGGTGTAAAATTAAATTAAAGGGAGGGGACTTACTTATCGTCGGGTGTATCTACAGATCCCCAAACTGTGGCCCACTAAATCAAAGGAACTTAAGAACCTTAATAAACAATGCGGCGATGCTCAACCCTAGCCACCTCCTTATCATGGGGGACTTTAACTATGGCGACATCGACTGGAGAAACGAGTCCACCCCGAATGACTTGAATAACCCTGCTACTCTTTTTGTAGAAACTCTGAGAGATAATTTTCTGTTCCAACATGTGAGAGACCCGACACATTACAGAGGGGAGCAAACACCCAAGCCACTTGACCTCATCATAACAAACGAGGAGGGTATGGTGGCCAAACTGGAACACCTTGCCCCAGTTGGCACCAGTCACCATACAGTGTTGTCATTCAGATTTAACTGTTACCTAGTTCAAGATAAGGCCAGGCCAAGGTGCAAATATTACAAGGGAAATTACAATGGGATGAGGGAAGAGATGAGGGGTATCAACTGGCCTGACTTATTAAGGTACAAGAACGCAGACACTACGCTGAATATCATAACTAGTAAAATGACCCATTTGATCGATAAATATATACCCAAGACCAAACCCAGTGCTTCTAAGAATACGAGGGGATTCCTACACATGAACCATGCGGCGGTCGACAAAATTAAGAAGAAAACCCAGAAATTCAAGACGTGGGTTGGGTCAAACGATGAGCAAGACAGGAGGATGTATGCAAGAGCCAGAAACCAAGCAAAGATAGAGTGTAGGAGGGCTGAAAAGGAGTTCCAGAGGCTGGTTGCACACGAGGTCAAGTCAAACCAAAAGGCGTTTTACCGCTATGCAAAGTCGAAATTGAAAACGCGAGTAGGAGTATCAGACCTGAGGCTTGAAGATGGTAGTTACGCAGATTCTGACCAGGATAAAGCTGAGGCATTGAACAGCTTCTTTTCCTCAGTGTTCACAAGAGAGGATGCAACTAACCTTCCTGCGTTTGAGGACAGACGGTTCGACACAGCACTGACCCACATTGTGTTCACAGAAGAGGGTATTAGAAATAAACTGTCCAGGCTAAAGGTCCATAAGAGTCCTGGACCTGACATGGTGCATCCTAGAGTGCTAAGAGAGCTGTGCAACGAGCTTGCAGAGCCCCTGAAGATTCTGTTTTGTAAATGCCTGGATGAACAAATGGTCCCCAGTGAATGGAAAGTGGCTTATGTGAGTCCTATCTTCAAGAAGGGCGATAGTCACTCCACGAACAACTATAGACCGGTGAGCCTGACCAGCATAATATGTAAAGTACTTGAGAGTATTATCAGAGATGCCGCGATGGAACATCTACTACGAAACAACCTTGTAAAAGATTGCCAACACGGTTTTATGCCGGGGCGCTCTTGCTTAACACAATTGCTCAAGGTATTGGATATTTGGACCCATATTCTAGAACGGGGTGGTAATATCGACAATATTTACCTAGATTTTGCCAAGGCTTTCGACAGTGTACCCCACGAAAGGCTGAAAATCAAACTGGAAGGGTACGGAATTCGGGGAAATGTCCTAGCGTGGATAGAAGACTTTCTACATGACCGCAAGCAGTGTGTGGTGATTAATGGCACGAAATCGTCATCTGTACCTGTAACAAGTGGGGTACCGCAGGGTAGTGTATTGGGCCCGCTGTTGTTTGTTTGTTTCATAAATGACATGCCTGACGTTGTACACTCCTCCATACAAATGTTTGCCAATGATGGCAAGTTATTTCGGGAAATTAAGAACCAAGCGGACTGTGAAGAGCTGCAGAAGGACCTCTGTGGGCTCCAGGAATGGTCGAAGAAATGGCTGCTGAGATTCAATGTCACGAAGTGTAAGAGGATGCACCTGGGGCGTACCAACGGTAAGGAGGCGTATCATATGTCCCAACGGGATGAAGAAAATGCACTAGTTGAGACTGTGTGTGAGAAGGACCTAGGTGTGTATGTTGACAATGAGCTGAAGTTCTCGGGCCATTGTGAGAAGAAGGTAAATCAGGCAAATAAATTATTGGGTCTTATAAGAAGGTCGTTCAGATATCTAGACGGTCCGTCCCTCGTGACGATCTTCAGGAGTGAAGTGCTTCCCCATCTGGAGTACTGTCACCCCATCTGGTCCCCGAGATATGCTAGGGACTGTCAGTTGGTTGAAAATGTTCAAAGGAGGGCCACCAAACTGGTGCCTGCACTTCGGCACCTCAGCTACCCTGAGAGATTGGAGCGCCTGAACTTGCCTAGCTTATACTACAGACGGGCAAGGGGGGACCTAGTTGAGGTGTATAAGCATCTCAGGGGGCACTACTCAGTTGAGTGTCCTTACTTGGAGCTGGCGGACGCTCGCCCCACAAGGGGTCACAGCTCAAGATTGAAGAAGCCGCAAGTCCAGAAAACCGTGAGGGCAAACTTTTCGGAGTGAGGGTTGTAAACTCTTGGAACAATCTACCAGAGAGTGTTGTGACGGCACCGAGTGTGAGCTCTTTCAAGAGAAGACTTGACCAACACTGGAGCGGGTTCAGGTACATTCAGGAGCCGGTGCATGCCCAGTATTTGCCAACAGTGCGTGACCGAGACGTGACCGATTGCCCGGGCGGCTAGCGAGCCGATCTTTTGGTGAAGAATATAAATGAAAAGAGACGTGACCGATCGCCCAAGCGGCTAACAAGCCGATCAGTGGCGAAGAGGATAAAAGTAAAAAAAGTAATAAAATACGAAGATTTTTCCAATAATTTATAAGGATAAATTACTGAAAGTAATCACGAGCGGAAGAAATGCTATAAAAGAAAAGTGTATTTGAATTGTCTAAACTACCGATTCAAAAACTTAAAATCCTAAAAATCGTAGGATGACCAAAATGATGATACTGAAAGATTTCTGTGAACTTCAAGAATGGTCGAAGAAATGGCTGCAAAGATTCAATGTCACGAAGTGTAAGAGGATGCACCTGGGTCGTACTAACAGTAAAGAGGCATATCATATGTCCCAACGGGACAAAGAAACTGCATTAATAGAGACTGAATGTGAAAAGGACCTTGGTGCATATATGTTGACAATGAACCGAAGTTCTCAGGCCATTGTGAAAAGTTGAACCAAGCAACTAAATTATTACGTCTTATAGGAAGGTTGTTCAGATATCTAGATGGTCAGTCCTTCGCAAAGATCTTCAAGAGTGAAGTGCTTCCCCTCCTGGAGTACTGTCATCCAGTCTGGTCCCAGAGATATGCTAGGGACTGTCAGTTGATTGAGAATGTCCAAAGGAGGGCCACCAGACTGGTACCTGCACTTCGGCACCTCAGCTATCCAGAGAGATTAGAGTACCTGCAACTGCCTAGCTTATACTGTACTACAGATGGGCAAGGGGAGACCTAATTGAGGGCACTACTCAGTCAAGTGTCCTTACCTGGAGCTGGCAGATGCCCGCCCCACAAGGGGTCACAGCTCAAGGTTGAAGAAGCCGCAAGTTCAGAAAACTGTGAGGGTGAGCTTTTTCAGAGTGAGAATTGTGAACTCTTGAAACAACCTGCCAGAGAATGTTGTGCCAGCACCAAGTGTGAGCTGTTTCAAGACGAGAGTTGACCAACTCTGGAGCAGGCTCAGATATGTTCAGGAGGTGGTGCATGCCCAGTACTTGCCAACAGTGCATAACAGAGATGTGACCGACCGCCCAAGCGGTTAATGAACCGATCAGTGGCGAAGAGGATAAAAGTAAAAGTAAAAAAGTATACAGCTCAGCATTTTTATCAACAATGCAGGTACAGTATACATACATAGATAATGTACAGTTGTGAACAAAAAGAATTCAGCAGGGAGAGCAGAGGTGCGTAGGTGGAGACTTTTCATTGTAGCATCAGGGTGAAGGTAAAAAGTCTCCTCAAACTTTCAACATTTGTGGTATTTTTTGTGGTTGTTTTAGTGTACTGAATTATTTACAGTGCATAGTTAGTGTATGCTGTACCTAGACCATGCAGGTATACAAACAATGTACAGTCGCCTCTCCTGAACCACAACCTGATGCATTCATGGATAGAAGAACGCATTAGTGTCTAATGCTTCTGGTTCAAGAGTCTTAATCTCGGGGTTCATGGAACAGCAGGAGAATTGACTAGAATTTTGTGGGTGACTGTACCTAGACCATGTAGGTATACAAACAATGTACTGTACCTGTAGTACCTGTAACCAAACAGTGAAGATGTACCAAAAATGCACTACAGTCAACTACAGAAATTCATCCCAAGCCAACCTGCATGATATGAGCCAAGTGAACTGGTAAAACACTGTATGGAGAAGAGTTGACAGATAGGATTTAAATGGCTAGTTATTTAAGATTTATTAGTGGAGTTTGCTTAAGAATATATTTTTTTAATGTACAGTAACTTAATTATTACCAGTGTGTAAAATGTAAAAAAAAATTATTTCAGAAATATATAGTAATTTCTGCTACAACGCGATAGTTGCACTGTGAAAATTCGCGCAATAAAAATAACAGGGCTTATGGAGCAATAGGGTTAGGTGCATGTTACTTTGACCGTGATCTCACAGATTTGCTAGCACTCAAGCTTGTTCCAGCAATAGTGTTATAGCCTTTCTTTTACGTTCACCACCGGCAATTTGATCACCAAAACTTTTCTTGAAAACATTCTTCTTACCTTGTCTTTCCATATTCATGACTAACACAACAAAATTGGAGAAAACAGCGAAAATCACGGAGCAATCGACATAAACCGCGCGATTCAACTGATCACGTGATGTAAACAGAGAGCACTGGTGTAAACCATTATTAGTCTGCACTGCGAAACATTATTTTTACTTATTCTTTTCATACAGTATTTATGGGTAACAGCTAAATTTGCTAAAAGAGAACAAAATTTACAGAGTACCTCTCAAAAAACACTTAACAAACAAAACACACGAATCAGTTGAACATGTGATGTCGAACGTGAACTGTAAACATTGCATAACCCCGCACCACGCTACGTTTAAAACGTTGAGGATGGAATTGTGTTATAGCCAACATTCGTATGCAAAATTTCTCATTTTACAAACAGCGTTCCCCTATTCATCAATCGCGTTACAATCAATTCGCGTTGACAAAACACTCGTTGTAGCAGAAATGACTGTACTGTACTTTACTCCTCATCTTCTTTTCCTGTATCATCCTAACCCTGGTCAGATCCCCAATTAAAAAGTTCTACTGTGCACAGTTATTCACCTGTAAGATCCTGGAACATATGCACGACCCAGCCATTCCATCTTCTCGGTCACTCTGTGGCTGCTGTTTGTGAGTTTTTTTTCCTCAAGTTCATTTTCCTATGAGTTGAAAATAAAACAGAAAAGTTGAGAAAAGTATTCCAAGAACCTTAAATGTTGAAACAATGATGGTTCTGTATAGATTGTAATGTTGTGTGTATGTGTGCACCTATGTGGTTATAATCGTACAGTACATACATTTTAGTTCTTAACAAATCTATTATATTTTAAGGAGATTAAGTTCTTTACATAACTATCAGATCCAAATCAAATAAAAAAAAAAAATAAATAAAATAAAAAGTTTCTACAATACCAACAAAGTTAATCCTAATCTTCTCACCTTACTGACTGGAGAGAAATTTGTGCAGTTGTTTTGGTTGTAACATCGCTGGAACTCCAAAGTCACTTGAGGCTTTGGGTAGCCAATTACCTCACAGGTCAGTTTGAATGGATATCCCTTCTTATGCATCTCTTTGCCATCGGAGAAGCTTAACTTGATATTTTGGGGTTTAACTGTAGGAAGAGAGTATGATTTCTACCAAACATTTTCTTTATAATTTACAATAAAATTAATACACACCATAGACAGGATAAAATCATACATTGTTATATACAGTAATGATTTTTGTATACTGTACTGTATATCATCTTAAACAAAATTTCTCAGGTGTATTATACTTCTGTATTGTAGTTATAATAGTTAGTACTAAGGTCAAACAGTGTAACAACCAATTTTAGCTTCATCTGGCTTATGTAAGAAGGGACTCTGCTTATACTATTATGAGACACACTGTTTATATTGGACAGACTCTACTAATATTCTGACGAACTCTACTTTATTATGACAAACTCTACTTTATTATGACAAACTCTACTTTATTATGACAAACTCTACTTTATTAAGACAAACTCTACTTTATTATGACAAACCCTACTTTATTATGACAAACTCTACTTTATTATGACAAACTCTACTTTATTCTGACAAACTCTACTTTATTATGACAAACTCTACTTTATTATGACAAACTCTATTTTATTATGACAAACCCTACTTTATTATGACAAACTCTACTTTATTATGACAAACTCTACTTTATTATGACAAACTCTACTTTATTATGACAAACTCTACTTTATTATGACAAACTCTACTTTATTATGACAAACTCTACTTTATTATGACAAACTCTACTTTTTTATGACAAACTCTACTTTATTGTGACAAACTCTACTTTTTTATGACAAACTCTACTTTATTACTTGCGTAAACTCTACTTTTATTATGACAAACTCTACTTTAATACATGACAAACTCTACTTTATTATGACAAACTCTCTGCTTTATTATGACAAACTCTCTTTATTATGACAAACCCTACTTTATTATGACAAACCCTACTTTATTATGACAAACTCTGCTTTATGACAAACCCTGCTTTATTATGACCAAACTCTACTTTATTATGACAAACTCCTGCTTTATTGCCATAAACTCTGCTTTATTCACGACAAACTCTACTTTATTGTGACAAACTCTACTTTATTAAACAAAGCTCTACTTTATTATGACAAAACTCTACTTTATTGCGAAATAAACCCTACTTTATTATGACAAACCCTACTTTATTATGACAAGAAACTCTACTTTATTGTGACTAAACCCTACTTTATTATGACAAACTCTACTTTTGTTATGACAAACTCTGCTTTATTATGACAAACTCTACTTTATTATGACAAACTCTACTTTATTATGAAATAAACTCTGCTTTATTATGACAAACTGGAGCTTTATTATGACAAACTCCTGCTTTATTATGACAAACCCTACTTTATTATGAGCAAACTCTACTTGTGCCAGTAAACTCTGCTATTATGATAAAACTCTGCTTATTGTAATAAACCCTGCTTTATTATGACAAACTCTGCTTTATTATGACAAACTCTACTTTTATTATGACCAAAACTCTACTTTTATTGTGACAAACCCTACTTTATTATGACAAACTCTAGCTTTATTATGACAAACTCTACTTTTGTGCTGACAAACCCTACTTTATTGTAATAAAACCCTCTACTTTATTATGACAAAACTAAACCCTACTTTATTATGACAAGACGACAAACTCTACTTTATTATGACAAACTCTACTTTATTATGACAAACTCTACTTTATTATGACAAACTCTACTTTATTATGACAAACTCTACTTTATTATGACAAACTCTACTTTATTATGACAAACTCTACTTTATTATGACAAACCTACTTTATTATGACAAACCCTACTTTATTATGACAAACCCTACTTTATTATGACAAACTCTACTTTATTATGACAAACTCTACTTTATTATGACAAACTCTACTTTATTCTGACAAACTCTACTTTATTATGACAAACCCTACTTATGTTATGACACTCTACTTTCTTATGACAAACTACTTATATTATGACAGACTCTAGTTTATTATGACAGACTCTACTTATATTATGACACTACTTAATTATGACAAACTACTTATATTATGACAGACTCTACTTATATTATGACACTACTTAATTATGACAAACTACTTATATTATGACAGACTATACGTATATTATGACACTCTACTTTATTATGACAAACTACTTATGTTATGACACTCTACTTATATTATGACTGACTGTACTTATATTATGACACTCTACTATACTAGTTGTAAAAATAAAGAAAAATGTCACTAACCTGGCATGGTGAAGGCCATTTGTACGGAAGCATTACTTTTTTTCCCACTAAGTTTATTTTCAACTTCTGCTATGAGGGTGTACTGTCCAATGTCCTTGTATACTGGATGATCAATGATGAGATGCATTGCGCCTTCTGATTGGATCTCATCCAGCTTATAGTGCATATCACCCTCATGACGTCCGGTGTCAACAAGCGGCTCCTTTTTACCTATAGAATGACAAAAAACAATATGTCTGTTTGTACTATACATGTTTCTACAGTATGTTTGAAATATACAGTATCTTCATCATCTTTCACTATTTCTCACTTATCCTCATCTTAATTACATTCTATCCTTAACAAAGAAATTGACCCTACTACACACCAAATTTTGTAATGTCAAATATAAAAAGGAAAGAAAAAAGAGTGTACGTATGTGTCTGTGTAGACACACACACACACACATACAAATAAATAATAATTGGAAAATACTCCCTGTTCCAGTCGCGAAAATGCCGGCAACTTTAAAACTACCCACAGACATTCTTTGGTACATCCAGGGTGTCATCTGTGAATAACATAGAACTGCGAAATAAAAATCCCCGAACTTGGGGGGGGGGGGGCCTGTACTGTGTTGTATTCTTACCTTCCTTATACCAACGGAATTTGGGTTTTGGGTAAGCCTGGTAGAGAACCTCCCATGTGATCTCACTGGCGCTGTCAATTGTGATGTTGGGCTGACTGATATTCAGTATGACATTAACCGAATCATTGCCTGATAAAAGACAATAAGCATCATTATGTAATAAACGTAAATATCAGTGAATGGGAGAAGACAAGTGTGAAAATTAAGAACTGTAGTGAAAGTATTGTAAGTACTCCACAGTAGTTGGTAGTGTATACTATATGAAAGAACTAGTGAATTAATAGAGTAAGTTGTAGTAGGAAATAATTATCAGTAGGTGACTTTGTTCTTACTAAAATATACATTTTGGATATGTCTAGTACTTTAAAAAAAACAAGTTCTTTACAGGTACACCACCGATTTTCCGGGAACTGATGGTCCGACACCTCCTTTAATCTGGTCAATATTTCCGCAACCTCCAGATTAGTTTACTGGGCTGCCACAGATGGCGTTCCGTGTTAACCGAGCTCACTTTGTTTGTTACTCTGCAGATGCTGGTGGTAGCCCCTTGATTTTGTGTGATTCTTAGCTTATTTTGCACATACAGTATTTAACCCCAGCTATGGCTTCAAAGGCGAGTACAAGTGTCAGTGGTGGTGTAAATCGTAAACACCAGTCCATAACAATGCAAGATAAGGTGGAACTCTTGAGAAAACTTGACAGTGATGTTTCGGTGCGACAGGTGTGTGATCAGTATGGGTACTGGTTCGTCAACTGTGTATGATATAAAGAAGCAAAGAGAAAAAATAATGAGATTCTTTGCAGAAAGTGATCTTCAGTATTTGTATAACTCTACAAATTGCCACTCTAGGAGCGGCAGTACAGCAACATTCTTTGTAAGTAATTAATAAACCTGCATCATTTATACAGCCTGTATTTCATTTAATTTACATTTAATATTTGTTTAATTTAAGTTTTTAGCAGCCATGGTGCTTTAAAGATACTGTACCAGGAGGTGTATAGCTAGTGGGTCAGAGGTGCATTGTTTAATTATTATATACCGTACAGTATAAGCATCTCAAGGGGCACCACTCAGTTGAGTGTGCTTACTTGGGGCTGGCGGACGCTTGCCCCACAAGGGGTCACAGCTCAAGATTGAAGAAGCTGCAAGCCCAGAAAACTGTGAGGGCAAACTTTTTCAGAGTGAGAGTTGTGAACTCTTGGAACAATCTGCCAGAAAGTGTTCTGACGGCACCGAGTGTGAGCTCTTTCAAGACCAGACTTGACCAACACTGGAGGAGGTACAGTACATTCAGGAGCTAGTGCATGCCCAGTACTTGCCAACAGTGCGTAACAGAGATGTAACCGATCGCCCAAGTGGCTCACGAGCCGATCAATGGTGAAGACGATAAAAGTAAAAAAAGTAAAAGTATGACCTCTGTTAATCTGGCAAAACGGATGGTCCGACAAGGCTCAGGAACCAAAAGTGCCGGAAAATCGGTGGTGTACCTGTAACAATACTGAACCATTACCCTGTCATGCATATTAAAAATTTATTTGAAAAAAATAAATATAAAAATTTACTTTTCTTTGGTGCAGTTCTTACCCAGGCAGGGTACACTACTATCACTTTATCATTGGCTATTTTAGATATCGGTATTTATAGTTGTTGTTGTTGTTTTTTAGCTGGCAGTAATAGGCTAATTGGGTATCCTTAACAGTTTTATATGGATTTATTTGCAATACAGGTACATCAATAATAATCGAATATTATGTATGAGTTAATGAGCTGCAAGAAGGGCAGGGCTTGAACCTATGAGCCAATGAGCTGCAAAAAGGGTGGGGCTTGAACTGTCAACTAAAAGAAAAAAAGACAAATTAAATTAGGGATATCTGAGATTTACACATACAACACAGGCATCCCTTGGTTTACGAAGGGTTTCTCGGGAAGAGATAGATTAGTGCTTGTACTGTATGGTAGTCCCTACTCACTTACGTATAACATTAAGAACAACAAAGCTAGGTTCCGATTCTTGCTGGGAACTCTTTGCTTTACACCAGTACTCCCCAGAGTCCAAGTCAGGATCAGCTTCCACAATCATATGGACACGTTCTATCTTTTCATTGGTCTTTGATTTCCGGTAAATCCTGTGGTTGCCCGTCTGGAGGAGAAAGAATACATAGGACCACATGTGATGGATGATAAAATATGTAATCTCATTCAAAATACTGAGTACTGCACTATAACAGTACTCCTTAAAGGGTGAATCATGTGACAAGGTTAGTACTGTACAGTACTGTATAGTAATTACTGTGCGCTGGCCGATATACAATAATTCATTAGATGGAAGTTTCACATCTCACAGACCCTGCATATA